AAAAGATTAAACTCAATATAATTGTTGTTTTGTACAGAATGATTTATGCAACTGTCACATGTCATATCATTTTCTTGTTGAAATTAGGGAAAAAATATTGGAGGACAGAAATAAATGATTCGAGGTCTTATAAATATTCATGATCCGTACGTCTTCGACATATGCAATAACGCATATGCATCCTGCAGTTGCACTATTTTTTTTAAATCGAAAACTTCTTCTTTCTTTGCATGCATCGAATCTCCTCATCATTCTAATATTCTTCAAATATTTCTCTAACCGTTGCATTATCTTCGTGTTCTACAAATATCGAAATCCAATATCTTATTAACTCTTGATTTTGATTATAAGCATTATAATATCGTAGTGTTAAAATTCTGTCGTTATATAAGAAATATTCTCTCTGTTATATAATAATATTTTCTAAATATTTTTCAAACTGTCGCACTATCTTCGTATCGAACTTGTCGTTGCAGTTAAGCTTAGTTAGTGCAATGTCCTACGAGTCAAGATGCGGGGGCCAGGTGTTCGCGCAAACCGGGCATTACCATGGTGTGGTGGTGAGGATAAAGGAGCTGAAGTTCTCAAAGAAGAAGGACATATCCAGGGACGTGATGAAAGAGATGCGTATCCTTCGCGAGATCAGGCACGGTAACCTAAACTCTTTCATCGGGGCGTGCGTCGAGCCAATGAGGATATTGTTAATTACGGACTATTGCGCCAAAGGAAGTCTTTATGTACGTCACCTTAATACACGAATGAACGTGGTAATCTGGCCTGCTGGTGTTTTCAACGAATGATTGCATTGCACGCCTGTTTCAGGATATTATCGAGAACGAAGATATCAAGTTAGACGATATGTTCATCGCGTCATTAGTTCACGATCTCATTAAGGTAAGTCTCTACACACAGTTCGAGCTGGAAATCGTAAATACATGTGTATGTGTATCCCGATTGCTCAAGAATTGTAAAAACATTTTCACTTCGTTGCAGGGTATGCTGTACATTCATGAGTCATCTGTGCTAGTCTGTCATGGTAATCTGAAGTCCTCCAATTGCGTGGTGACCTCGCGATGGGTACTCCAAGTCTCCGATTTTGGCCTGCACGATATGCGACACTGCGCCGAATCCGACAGCATTGGTGAACATCAGTATTATCGAAGTATGAAGAAAACAGAACAGTATTAATATACATTGCATATAATAGAGAATGTTATGCGCAAGTTTACGATTTTCGGGACTTCCAATTTTTGAAAGTTATTTAATTTTAGAAATAACTCTTTCCATTTGGGAATTATAGTCACGTTTTTTCATGAATGCAATAATGTTTATACTAGCACAAGCTGTTGAAGAAAATGAGCAATACAACTAGCATAGGATTAACGCGCGCTACTTTATAAAAATTAGCAATGAGATGGCACACAATATTGCGATCACTAGTCCTTCAATTGATATTTCTGACTCAATTTGTAATTTAAATATTCGTTTTACACAGACCTATTCTGGAAAGCACCTGAGCTATTAAGGAATCCCAATGCTCCAATCAAAGGGACCCAAGAAGGCGATATTTACTCGTTCGCAATCATATTGTTCGAGATGATCGGACGAAAGGGGCCATACGGTGGCGTGAATTTAGAACCCAAAGGTAAATATATCCGTGTATAGTAATTGATGATCCTTAAAACATTGGCGATTGTCATTCGTTAATCGGCATTTGCCAAAAGGTAAAGCTGCAGAAATATAAATATGAACGTTAACAAATTGACAGAAATCATAGACCGAGTGAAAAGATTCCCAGAAGATGGTGAACCGCCGTTTAGGCCTAACATAGATATACTGTCCGAGTCTGAAGCGGACTGTGCTGAGTATATAGTTAGTACGATTACGGACTGTTGGGCGGAAAGTCCAGAACTTAGACCTGACTTCAAAATGATACGGACGCGATTAAAGAAAATGAAAGCGGGTAGGCATCGCAATATCATGGATCAAATGATGGACATGATGGAGAAGTATGCGAACAACCTCGAAGATCTAGTCAGTGAACGTACACGCCTTCTTTTCGAGGAGAAGCAAAAAACCGAGGATCTACTTCATAGAATGTTGCCTGAGTGAGTTTGAATATAGAAATTCTTCCATTATTAATATATAAATACATCTAACTTTCTTTAACTATTACTTTAATATAAAGTATATAACTTCTTGTTGCGGATTACAAAATGGATCTAATATCTGATCTGTGTAGTCGGCCATGCGAGATTTAAAAAGAAAAGAAACTTTACAGTGCATATTGTGATATCATTATCCGTTTCTTACAGACCCGTAGCAAATTGCTTGACGAATGGAATCGGTGTGGAACCTGAAGCTTTTGACTTGGTTACTATATACTTCAGCGATATCGTTGGCTTCACTGCAATGTCAGCAGAAAGCACACCTTTCCAGGTATATTTTTCGCAGACGAATCATCGAGGAAACAAGATACACAACTTCTTGCAGTTCTTAATCTTAATTCTTTCGCCTTTTAGGTTGTAAACTTCTTGAACGACTTGTACACTTTGTTTGACCGTATAATCAAAGGATACGATGTATATAAAGTAGAAACGATCGGCGATGCCTACATGGTGGTAAGGAAATCTCTTTCCAAATTTGATATACAACTATTCATTCATTTATATACTAAATATTCTTATAGTCGAACACATAATTCTATGACATATTATTTTTACCAGGTTTCTGGTTTACCAATAAAGAATGGAAACAGACATGCTGGAGAAATTGCATCAATGTCTCTAGAACTACTTAATGAAGTGAAAAATCATACTATAGCTCATAGGCCTCAGGACACACTTAAATTGCGCATTGGAATTCATACGGGTATTGTGCATTGAAAAAAGAATATCAAACTTAACAAAAAAACGAATAAAAATTATACATGAAAAATATTACAGGACCTGTGGTGGCAGGTGTTGTTGGTTTAACGATGCCTAGATATTGCTTGTTCGGAGATACCGTGAATACAGCCTCACGTATGGAATCAAACGGCGAACCATTGCGTATTCACATAAGTGAGCAGTGTAGAGATGCTTTGGATAAGGTCGGTGGCTACGTCATTGAAGAACGTGGATTAGTTCACATGAAAGGAAAAGGAGAGGTGAAAACTTATTGGCTCACCGGAGCCACTGAGAAAGCTATTCAAAAACGAGAGGTTTGTATAAAAAGTGTGATGGTATTACCATAGACGGATTTATTTAATCTTTATTTCTGTGTTACTAGGTTGACGTTGGTGATCTTCCACCATTATTTTGTAGACCAAGGAGAAGTCCGAAATTAAATTCAGATTCTCGTCAAGCTTCGTTATTAGCTGGTCTAGGAGCAGGTAGTCGCAGACAGTCGAGTGTTCCAAGACCGACACCGGATGATACTTCGTCTCAGTACGGAGGATCCAGTCCAGTACCTAAATCACTTAATTCTCGGAAGATAGAACGGTCTCCTTTGTATTTGACCGATAGCGTATCAAAGATAACGCTGGTGGACAATGTCGTGTTGCAAGAAGACGGTAAAACTCGAGCGGCTAACATTAAAATGGCACTCGACGATTTCTTTATCGACACGAGGCCGAAATTTAGGAAAAATGCTAGAGTTCTGTCAACGATTGCCTCGTCGTCCTCCACAAGCGATTATCCGTTCCAGACAATAATACGGGAATCACGTTCGTTAGATCCTTTCCCGTTGGAGCTCTATAGCAAGAGGTTCGAATCGCCGAATTTCTCTTGGAAGGAGCCAAAGAAAAGCTTTCGATCGCTAGAAAACTGTGAAAAGTGCACGAGGACTAACTCGAAGACGAATATTTCTGAGAAAGTGTTGAATAATAATTATCCGAATGGTAATGTAATAATAGTGCCCCATACTGACGAGTCGCCGAACGAAGCAGAGACACCATTACTAGGAGATGAGAGCGGCTGTATGGGAGAAATCATGCCTGTTAAACGTTGGCGTTCTCTCGATCAAGTGGTATCCGTTCCTAGTACAGACAGTGTGCCCGACAAAAAATCGTCCGCAAGAAATTCGATCAGAAGCTGGCTGGTTAATCTATTTAGCGGCAATGGATTACGAAACAGCGATGTTTCGTTAAGAAGAGGTGTAATAACAGGTTACGATATGCAATCGGAACGGGAAAGTATAGTTTGATATAAAAATCAATCTTGTAAACAGAAGAAAGACAGAAGGAATTCAATCTTCTACTATAAAACGTATGAGTGCAGAAAATTATTAGATTTATGAATCATAAGCATGATGTATTGTTGCCATCTTTTTTAGCGTATAAATATGTGGAATGTATGGGTATAAAAGTTACCGATCGTGTATATTTTTAATACCTATATTTTATGACTTGTATTAAACTACGCTTTATATTGGCGGCACATGTTTTTTTTTTTTTTTTTACATAGTGCGAGATTTATCTGTTAAAATTTTTAATCCGAAAATATAATAAAACTAGAATGACTTTTATAAAAATAATTCTAACCAAAGTATATACAAATACAGAAATCACGTAAGAGAGTTTATCTCAAGGTGTAGCACAAACGATTCTGGTTTTAATACAAAAAAAAAAAAAAGAAAAATATGCATAGTTGCAAGTATACATTTACGCAAGTTCGAATACACTCGTTTAAAACATATGTATGTATGTATATATGTGTATGTATGTACAATTTCGATACTTGTTCACTGAAGGAAAGCAAATTATCCGTATGGCTGTGAAAAGTGAACTAGATTGTACCTAAGGTGCTTAGTAATATATCATCTTGTCAAATGTATATAAGTGAATAATAATATATAGATGTAAAGATAAAATGTAAATTAAAAGAAATATTATCTTCTGTAAGAGCTGATTAAAGATTCATCTTTTGAAATGTTGTATAATTCGATTTTTTAATAGAAAAAGGTACATTCTCTTCCTTTCTAATATATTTACTTTTCAAGTAAATAACTAAACAATATAAACATATCGTACATATTTAATTATACTATGTTATTTACAAATATACTAAAAAAATATTTTATTCATGACCTGATAAAAACTTTGACATGAAATCCTTTGGCTTTGGTTCTTCAGTTTCTTTCCAATAACGCAACAATGTTGCAGCTGGTTTCCATTGAGCACAAACCTCCTGAAGTTCCATTTGCCCCTATTATAACATACTTATTAATATATCTATTATGTACATAAAATAAATAAGAAAATATTATTCTTACCTTAACAAGTAACATGTCAATTACTCTTAAATCACGTACATTAGCATGACGATAAAATTCTTCCCTTAACTTTTGCTGACACTCCTCCTTTGTTACTGGGATAATATAATTAGCTTCTATAAAATAAATTAATTATATATAAGTACATAGGTTTCATAATTTTGTAATGGGAGCAACAGATGGAAAATTTTCATCAAATTATAAATCATTTAATTCTAAGTTACTTTTAACAAAATTGAAATAGACTAGAGAAAAAATTAATATAACTTAAAATTAATATAAAAAAATATTGCAATTTGGTAGACGTTGAGGTTAGGTAATAAGATCTAAATGATTTTAGCAAGTAATAATGATTGGAATACTTACTAATAAATGGAATTTGACGATACCATGTTTTATATAATGTTATTACTTTCCTATGAGCTTCTATGTGAGTCAGTGATAAAATTGGTTTTACTTGTTTTAAACCTGATGTTACAGGAGTAGCCATTTTCACAGTTCACATATATACTTTGTACCATATTACCTATGTGCATAATACCAACTTTTTCAATTATGTGAAGATATAAGAATATTTAAAAACATATTTAAAATTAAAATAAAATACGACATTGAATATATAGTGTTCTTTCTTATTACGAGTAATTCGTTTTTATATACTTTTACGTGAATCAGTATATATTTATTATTATTTCACTATAAATCATTAAACACAAATTGTATTGTACAAAAACACAAGGATCACACATATATTATATATTGTTAAAAACAATAAACTTTAGTTGAGAAACATTTTTCAAATGACACATGAAAATCACATTTATATACATGTTTGTGACACTGATATTAGTTAGGTTTACATGAAACAAAAACCATAACCGGTGAAAGGTGTTAATCTCTTCTTCGTATTACCCGTGATAAATATTGTGTTTAGTCTTATAATCTTAGTTTCTCTGTATTTAGTACAGTCTTTTGTAAGAAATCATTCCTAGTTTTAAAACATAATCAGTATTAAAATTTAAATAAAATAATTAGTGTTGTCTTTCTTTCTTTTTTTAATAGTAATTTGTTATAATAGAATATGGTAGTTAGACAGTATCAGGAAGAAATAAAATATTTAGAAAAGATAACTGAAACATGTTGGAGAATAAAAAAAGGTTTCCAACCTAATATGAAGGTAATCATTTATGATATAATTTTGCTGATGTATAATAATGATGTATATAATGATATATATTTTTATGTATATTAAGTACTTTTTAATTCACAGGTTGAAGGTGTTTTTTACGTAAATAATAGTTTGGAACGTTTAATGTTTGATGAATTAAAAAATTCATGCAGACCAGGAGCAGTGGGTGGCTTTCTCCCTGGTATGAAACAAATTGCCAATGTTGCTGCTCTTCCTGGAATCGTTTGGAGGTCTGTCGGATTGCCTGATGTACATTCTGGATATGGTTTTGCGATTGGTAATATGGCAGCATTTGATATGAATGATCCAAAATCTATAGTATCACCTGGTGGAGTAGGATTTGATATAAATTGCGGAGTACGTTTATTAAGAACTAATCTGTTTGAGGAAGATGTTTTACCTGTGAAGGTATCATTTTTTATAAATTGTAGTTTAATAAAATTATATCATAAGAATGAAAATAAATCAGTGTAATTTTCCAGGAGCAACTTGCCCAGAGCATGTTTGATCATATTCCTGTTGGTGTTGGTTCAAAAGGAATTATACCTATGAATGCAAGGGATTTAGAAGAAGCCTTGGAAATGGGAATGGATTGGTCTCTAAGAGAAGGTATACATATATTTTTGACTAAATTACATTTCACTGTCACTATAATTACATTACATATTTATCTTTAAATTTCCTACAGGTTACATCTGGGCAGAAGATAAGGAACATTGTGAGGAGTACGGTAGAATGCTTAATGCAGATTCTTCTAAAGTGTCAACGAGAGCTAAAAAACGTGGACTTCCGCAGGTGAAATATTAAGAGTTTGTTTTTATCACGGACATACATATATTAGTGAATTTTTTACCATTTAATCTAATTGTCTTACAGTTAGGAACATTAGGTGCTGGAAACCACTATGCAGAGATTCAAGTAGTAGATGAAATTTATGACAAATGGGCAGCATGTAAAATGGGTATTGAAGAGAAGGGTCAAATTTGTGTGATGATTCATTCTGGCAGCAGAGGATTTGGACATCAAGTTGCAACCGGTAATATTTACACAATAAACTCGTTTTCAAAAAGCAAATCTACATAAAATTTTTTTACTCTATAGATGCCCTTGTACAAATGGAGAAAGCTATGAAACGAGATAATATTGAAACTAACGATAGGCAGTTAGCTTGTGCTCATATAAAATCTCAAGAAGGTCAAGATTATTTAAAAGCTATGGCTGCCGCCGCGAATTTTGCATGGGTTAATAGAAGCTCTATGACATTCCTCAGTCGACAAGCATTTGCCAAACAATTTCAACAGTCTCCCGATGATTTAGATATGCATGTTATATACGATGTTTCTCATAATATTGCAAAAATAGAGGAACATATGGTCGAAGGAAAACAGAAAACCCTTCTAGTACATAGAAAGGTAACGAATATAAATAATAATTATATTTAAGAACATTTATATAATTGTATTTTTTATAGGGATCTACAAGAGCCTTTCCACCTCATCATCCTTTAATTCCTGTAGATTATCAATTAACAGGTCAACCTGTTTTAATTGGTGGTACTATGGGAACTTGTAGTTATGTTCTTACCGGAACTGAACAGGCCATGAAAGAAACATTTGGATCCACGTGTCATGGGGCAGTAAGTATTTCTGAATGTTTTTTTATTTATAAATATATCTAATGTTATCTAAATTAAATATAATTTCTTTCAGGGTCGAGCTTTATCCAGAGCTAAGTCACGTAGAAATTTAGATTACACTGATGTATTAGAGAAATTAGAACGACAAGGAATCTCGATTAGAGTCGCTTCACCTAAATTAGTTATGGAAGAAGCACCAGAGTCTTACAAAAATGTAACAGATGTCGTAAATACATGTCATGCTGCAGGCATTTCTCGGAAATGTATAAAATTAAGGCCAATCGCAGTTATCAAAGGATAATTGTTCATGCTATAGACGCGTTAACCATGTAAGAATTTTGATTTGTCTCTCCCGTTTTTCATGGAAAAATTAAAGTTGCATGATGATTTGAATTATCAATAAATATATGAGAAATGATTCAGTACAACTAAACATACGAAACAATTTAATGTAAATGACTCGATATTACATTTTCAGGATAAATTAAGACTTTGAATAATCATATGTTTTCTATAACTTGTTATAAATAGTCACATTGAATTCTTATTAGCAAATTAAATGTTGATCGAATCTCTGCGTTCGAAGATGATTAGAATTTAATTTAATAATTACAAGATATCTATTAAAAAAAGGTATGATTTAAGCGTAAACATTATGAAATATTATCTGTTAAAATATCGTCCATCTTTTGTAAATTATGTAAATTTTGCGGAAATATATAATTATAAAAGTGTATAACACTTTTAACAATATTTTGATGTGATTCGATACTTTTAGCATGCCTTCTTTTTCATCGATTTTCTCAAACAAATAGGTATTAAGAAATATGGTGTAATAAATGAGATTATTTTAAAAATATTACATTAGCATTTTATTAGATAAAATGTACAGTTACTTACGCACGAAGTAAGAAAGCTATATTAGACTAATTCGTTCGACTTTACACGGGAATTAAATTCGCTGTGTTACGCTTGACAAATCCTCCAGTGACTACAGGAAGAGGAGAGTAAAGTTACAGACAAGAGGATACGACGGAAGACAGAGTTCTATCAAATTGTGTAGATAATGGAAGCAAACCATCACCATAAATAGTAAACGTTTTTCTCTCGTTCTACACGTTCCGTTTCTATCTAACTATTTATATATATTCAGGGTACTCGTATGTATCGGTTGAACGTGTAATACGCTCGGTATGAACCCTCGAGAGGATAGAGTCTAGTCACTGGAGGAGTCGTTAAAAGAAATACATGACCGACCATCAAGAAGAAAAAGAAAAAAGTAATATGGTCTGTACTGCATTTCGTTGAGAATTAAAAAATTACGTTATAAAATAATTATCCTAGAGTAATTACGATAGGTGATAATCAGGAGATGGTTCAGCTACAGATTCGGTAGTGAACAATGGATTTGGGAACTCTGGTGGGTGTGGCAGTGGTCCAGCAGTCTTTGGCTGACGACGATACGCCATTAGCCAGCACGATACAGCAATAGCTACAGCGACTAGTGCCAAGAGTGCTGTAATTACTAGTGCTATCACAAAGCCGACCATAGAAACGCAAATGTCTTCCACTTTCTGAGCTGAAGTAACTGAAACAGGAAAAAGATCATGTTTTAATTGAATGATCAGGGATTAATGGAATAGTGATAGGCAAATTAGAAGTTAATTACTTAAAAATTAATATGAATTATCTGTAAAAATTGAAATTGACTCAGTCTTCGTCAACCTAAAAATTCTTCTTTAATTGAAAACTTACTTTCAGCTGGATCTGCTGTGAACCTTTCTTCTCTCCTCTCCAGAGTGAATATAAGATTCGACTGGATCGTTATTTCTTCTCGAAGTTGCCCTTCGAAGTTGTCCGTGACACTTAAGGACGTATCATTTGTCTCGGAACTCACATCTCGACGGCGACGACCGAAAGCGTTGTATCCTCGACAATTGACCTGGAAGAAACATATCAATACCCAATTCGATACCTTAATATACCAATTATTTATTTCAAAATGTTAGAAGAACACTCACGGGTTGACAGCGTCCAAAGCACACACGGATATTGCACTGGAATCGAATATTGTCGCTACTTGGGAATTTGAAGGCATTAAAGCTGGCCATTAACGTTTGAGTTTCAGGATTCTGTTCCCATTCCCCGAATATCGTCGGATCTGTCGCGCAGCCGTTTTCATCTGTTACAATGTACTCATTCTCCAAGTTGTCTTCCATCGTTTTAGCCACGCAATTTCGGGCAAATCCACCGTAAATAGTGGAAGGCTGAACTTCGACTTGCAACATCAAATTATCTCCAATTTCGGCAGAGTTTATTTCATTTCCGTTTTGAGTAACGATCTTCATTAGACAGACTGGTGGAGGGCCAGTATTGGCAATGGTACCAGCTGTAGTTAACATCGAGACGTTGAAACCGAGGGTGACATTTTGTTCTCCAGTTTGATATATGCATTTAATATGGTACGCTTGAGTCTTATATGTCATTAATTTTGGATGCTTTTGTATGACCAGTACGAAGCTTGCTTGTCCGTTTACATGTATCAGTCCGCAATTTCCAAACGCCACCTTGAATATCTCGGTTTTGTGCATAGTTTCTGCTGGAATGGAGACAACCCTTCTGCACTGTTCATCTTTGCTGTGCCCTTTCACATACAGGACCCCGTCAAATTCCTGATCGTGAAGGTGTATTTCAACTTGCACTCCATCTGACAAACAACTGACAACCATCTCTGGTCTAGGGAAATCGGTTCGCCACCGATTTTTGTCATAGCATTGAGTATAAGCATTTCCAATATATCCATTGATACATATGCAAATGGCTTGATGACGAGTAGCATTGCAGAGCGCATATAGGCCACACAATTGAGTTGAACAAGGATCTTCGCATGTCTGACTCGTCTTATCGCAGAATCTGTTATCCGCACAATCGTCGTCGTGTTTGCACTCGATTATATCAACTAATTTGCAGTATCCATTCGCGTCCAGCCTGTATCCATGTTGAGTTGGACATACGCAGCGACCATATTCATCGATGATCATACCGTTCTCCAAGGCACATACACAGTATCCTTCATCATTGATAATCATTCCAGATTGTTTCCTACACGGTATACACACTTCTGTCTCGTCCCTAGCTGATCCAGGTGGACAGACACAATTGCCATACTCGTCGAGAATTTGACCCTTCTCTACTGGACATACATTAGTTTTGTCACAGCGGACAACTGCGTTTCCTCTGTATCCAGGAATGCATTCACAAATCATGGTCCTTACAGGAGATGTGTCGAGCACTTTGCAATCTGCATTTATTCCACAAGGTTCGATCTTCACGCAAGGATTGATGCACTCGCCGTTGAAACAGGCAGTCTGAGATGGACATTCGTTATCCGCTTTGCATTTCTCCGTTAGTTTGGTACATCCCAATTTAGTGTCCCCAATGTAACCAGGTGGACAAGCACACTCAACTACGTGGTTATAGACGTTGCAATCCATGTTTCCGGTGCAAGGATTCACCGCGCAAGGATTCTCGCAGCGATCGTTGATACAAGCTTTATTCGTAGGACAATCAGAATTACTCTTGCAACCAAGGAGGACGCAAGAGACTCTTGCATTGCCTCCGTATCCTGGTGGACATTCACAGATCGCTTTATGATTAATGCCATTGCATACGGCGCCTTTTCCGCAGGTGGACAACAACGGAGAACACACTGGAACACAGTTGTGCTGAACACACGCGTGTGATCCACTGCAATCACCGTCTGTGCGACATCCGGCGACTTTAGTGCAAGCCAAATCGGGATTACCGTCGTATCCCAAAACGCATGAGCAGATCGGCTTATGATTTGCGACACTGCATTCCGCATTGGGACCGCAGGCGCAAGGATTCTTGCACACCGCGTTAATACAAGACTTCTCCGAAGGACAATCGCTGTCTCTGGTACATTCTACCTCGACGATCGGTTTCGTCGGTCTACAAGTTCCGCTGCCACTGCTCACGTATCCACTGGGACAGACGCAAACCATCGTGCGTACTGGATACGTTGGAAGAACCTTGCATTCAGATGGTTCGCTGCAAGGTTGCACAACAGTGCAAGGATTCTGACACTTGTTATCGAAGCAGGCCAACAAATTAGGACAATCACTGTCCTCTGTACACTCTGGCCTCTCCTCTAGTTTACAAGCAATGTAAGGATTGCCAGTGTGATAAGCTGGACAACGACATATTGGTAGATGATTGAAGACTCTGCATTCAGCTCGTGACGAGCAAGGATTGCTGTGAACGCAAGGATTGATACACTGCATGTTGATGCAGGAATAGTCTCCTGGACAATCGCCATTGCTGTAGCAACCGATCACTCTGCAACGATCCAAAGGATTTCCATAATAGCCCTTGCGACATCGACAGTCGACTTTGTGGTTGTTGGGGAAGCATTCCGCGTTTACTCCGCAGTTATCGGTGATTAGACAAGGATTCACGCAGTTGTTGTTCACGCAACTCTTGTCTAAGGCACATTCGCTGTCGCGTGTGCATTCCACGGAGTAGCAAGCGATGTCTGGGTTGCCTTGGTAGCCTTCGTCGCAGGAACAGATCGGTTTGTGGTTTCGTACGTTACACGCGGCGTTGGTACCGCAGTTGCACGGATTTCTGCATTGCCTGTTGATGCAAGCTTCTGCGTCGCTGCACTCGTCGTTCGTCGTACAGGTGCCGATTATCGCTATTTGGACTGGAAAGTGAATTATTTTTTATAAAGTTAGAATTATAGATGCTTTTGTCTGTCATCAAATTTGGAATTAGATATTAAAATCTCAAAAGAAATAACTAGTAAAGTTTCTTCTAGTAAATCTTGTATGTTATATTATTATTTATACTACTAAAATTTTAATTAATTATATTTGAAATTATACATCCTTGCTTCTTAAAAGAATATACAAAATTTATTTCTAAATAAGTAAACCTATAACTTCAGAATCACTTACTTGGTCTACAAATGCCATCAATATCAGTGGTCCAGCCCTCAGGACACGTGCACGTCATGGTTCTCACCGGAACAGTGTCCAAAACGTTGCAACGTGCATTCTGTAGACATGGTTTGATCACTGGACAAGGATCGATACACTTATTTTTAATGCACACCAGTTTGTCAGCGCAATCAATGTCGATTCTGCATTCCGGCTCGTCGAATTCTGTCGTGGGAACGTGCGTGCAATAGGAATATGGATTTCCAGCGGGAATATTTTCTGGACAACGACAGGTGGCTTTGTGATCCTGGACGTAACAAATTGCGTTCTGAGCACACGGTGACTCTTCTAAGCATGGACTAACGCAACGTCCACTGTAGCAGGCCAAATTTCTAGGACAATCATGATCAGCACTGCACTCTACTCTTTCACAGTGCACTTCTGGATTGCCTAGATAGCCTGGACCGCAACGACAAATGGCACGGTGGTTTTGGCCGTAACATTCCGCGTTTATCGCACACTTGTTCTCCAGGATACAAGGATTCACACACTGGCCGTTGTAGCACGTGGCTGCGTTGTTGCATTCGCTATCCGATTCACAGTCCACTGGAACAGAGAGTTTTTGTAAAATTGAAAAGCAAAAATGAATTGATCATCATTAATTTAATTAACTTACATTTGAAGCAACCTAATTGAGGATTTCCGGAATAACCAGGCGGACAAACGCAACATGGATAATGATCAACGACATTGCACTTGGCGTTTGAACCACAATTGCAAGGATTAATGCACAAGTTGTTCACGCAGGCAGCGTTACCCGCGCAATCGCTGTTCGAAGTACATTCGGCTACAATTCCCGCTGTAAAAGAACGTTGTAAATCAACGAATTACTATACAAGAGAAAGTAATAAAAGATCATTCTTCGATGTATTTGCTTGTTATTAGACTGCCGATTTTCATACGAATTCATATGAAAACATAGAAATAATTTGTTTCACTTATATTAGATATTATAATTGGTACTGTACTTCGAATATTTTTTATACTTTTGTGTGTTACGTGCATTCTATCTTGAAATGTTCTATAAATGCGTAAAAATCTGCAGTCTACTTGATTATTGAATCCTAATGTCCGAATATTAATTAGAATCATCTTATATTAATTTTCTTAAACTTAAGACTTACGTGGGGCACAATTGATTCTTGGGTCACCAATATAGTTCACAGGACATCTGCAGATTGGGCTGTGATTATTTACGTGACACAATGCATTTCTACCGCACGGATCCCCGACAACGCAAGGATTCACGCAGAAGGAATTTATGCACTGTTTATCATTGGAACATTCGCTGTTAGTGTAGCATTCTGGGCGATCTGGTGGCAACAGTGCTGGAACTGGAATACAAAATTTCGAAATTCGAAGTATACGGATTTAGAATTTCAAGTGTTGAACAATTAACAGTTAACCCTTTACAATTGGCCATTTTTCTAGTGGTATTATTAACGGAGCACAATAAGTATTAAAATATTTTTTAATTACAAAATTCCACTATAATAGCTGACATCTGACTTTGAAGACTTTAAATACTATGATGGTTACAGTGTATATTTTAATATTATATCCAGAATTCTAGAATCTATGAAATTAAATTTAAATATGATGTATAGAATTCTATTAAAATTCTTAAGAATTAAGATTCTACAGGCTGGAAAAATATTCGAAACTTACGTCTACCACACTCGATATAAGGATTGCCAGTAAATCCAGAGGCACATTGACAGATTCCAGTTGCCACGCATTGAGCATTCAATCCACACTGAGTGGTGAGACAAGCTTCAATGCAAGTTCCACCCACACACTTGTCAGAATCGTTGCAGTCTTGATCTTGATGACATTGCACAGCTAATATCGTACAAAAAGAAAAAAAGAAATAGTTAACGTCGTGATAAAATGACGTAGTGTCAAGTGATAAAAATACTATACGATTATTGATTTTAGAATTAATATTAATTAAAAATTAAAGATACCGATTTTTTTGCACAGCCCATTTATATCGGTAATGGTGTTTGGAGGACAAGTGCATATCATCGTACGAAGAGGCACCGTGTTCAATACTTTGCACTCTTGTTCACCAGAGCACATGTTGGAGGATAAGCAAGGATCTTGGCATTTTGAGTTGAAGCACGCGAAGTATGCTGGACATTCGCTGTCTTCCCTGCACTCTGGTTCGATTGGTATACCTTGAGGAACAAGAGAATTATTTTTAATTTTTCCGTCTATTTTGCATTCTTATGTAGATGTTAAAATATCATTCGTGCAAATTAATATTTTTACAAGTATCATGAGATGGAATCCTTACTTGCTAAGTTGTTTTATATATCTATTTTATTAATATATTTACATATTTATCTACAAAATAATGTTGTCAAAAATCCACAATATTTCTCCACAAATAAAAAAAATTCGCAGTGTATTAATTACTTACCACTACACTCAACATATGGATTTCCAGTGGTTCCCAGAGGACAAGTGCACTTAGGTTGATGATCTCTTGCGATGCATTTCGCAGTGTCCGCGCAAGTATCTTCCTCGCAAACTGGACGACAGACTCTGTTCAACCTGTCGCAGGCTTCGTGATCCGCACAATCTTCGTTGTAATGACACACTGTGGAGATGCAGGCGATCTTTGGATCACCTTGGGTACCTCGTGGACAGACACACTGTGCTCTGTGCGAGGCTGCGATGCATTCTGCTCCACGACCACACGCAACGTCTTCAACCAGGCAAGGGGTGACACAGTTGTTGTTTCGACAGGTCTTATCGTAGGGACAATCGTTGTCCGATTTGCATTCAGCTATAGAGAAAGAAGAATAAATTTTTGTATTTCAGAGCGATAAATTTGAAAATTGTTGGTAAAGTTAAAAATTCAGAATTATAAAAGTAGTAGAATTTTAAACTCTAAGATAAAGAAAATTGGAAAAAGATAAAATATTATGAAATAATATGAAATAAAAAATCTAAATATTATGAAATAATTTATTCCAAACAATAGAATACGTAATTTATTTTAATGATATTTCTCAACATTTTCTAACAATTTAAATTATTTATTTACAGCAATTAAGTTATTGTAAAATACTTACGTCTGAAACATTGGACTTGAGGATCTCCTGCAAAGTTCTGTTGACAGTGACAAGTCGGATGATGATTGACAGTGATACACTCCGCGTTTAGACCACATTGCGTGCTGACACATGGATTCTGACATAGTTGGTTGATGCAAGCCTCGTTGGTCGCACAATCTACGTTTGATGTACACTCTGGGAACGAGTCAGTATCTACAACAAAATTAAAACATTTCATATAATTAATCATCAGTGAAATTCTAATTCTAATTATTTATCTTCTACACTGTAACAACTTTAATTACCTCTATAACAGTTTACAAATGGATTGCCAGTATTGCCACGCGAGCAATGACACTGTAGATGATGATTTTCGACAGAGCATTCCGCATTTGGCGCGCATGGATTGATAATGCACGGATTGATGCACTTTTCATTTAGACAGGCCATATTTGACAAACATTGAGAGTCGGATTTACAGACAGCCTCGATTTTCTTGTCCACTGGAGAAAAGAAGGACAAAATTATTATTATTATTATACTTACGGTAAAGAAATAATTATTCTCTAAATTCTGAATTATTCGCTATTTTATCGTTATTGAAAGGTTGATCTTTAACTGTATCAGACTTCGAATTTTATCGCCATCAAAGAATTAAATTTCATCGTTGTCGAAGAATTGAGACTTACCAGGGATACAAGCGACAGTTGCATCGCCAGCAAAGTTTTGCAAACACTCGCAGACCATGGTCCTCATTGGTAAAGTATCGACGACAGTACACTTCGCGCCAGCGATGCAAGGTTTAGTTTCAGTACATGGATCTTTGCAAACGCCATTGAAGCAACCCAGTTTGCTGGGACAGTCTCCATCTACTTGACACTGTGGCTGTTGTTCGATTGGTTCTAGAAACACAAATTTTTCATTTATTAATCTATCTTATCGTTAGTATACAATCAATTAATCCTTTCACAATGTGCTAAATTATATTTTAACAAAGTCGAACTATTTCTCTAGAAATTTTGTAGAATCTCATGAAATTGAGGAGCTTAAATAGATTGAATTGTCTTCCTAGAAATATAGTCGTCTCATCAATGTCAACGTGTTAATTATTGGGCATAATTCACCTTATGTAAACACGGATTAAAGGAATTAAGAAACGAAGAATTCTAATTACCCATTAGACACGAGGTGTATGGATTACCCACGTAACCCGGAGGGCATCGACAAATAGGACGATGATTAATCACGAAACACTGCGCTGATGGTGGACAGTCGCAAGGATTTACGCATCTTGAATCATGACAAGCTAAAGATGATGAACAGTCGTTGTCACTGATGCACTCTGGTCTTTCACATGCTTGATACGGATTTCCTATGTATCCATCAGGACAATAGCATCTTGGTCTGTGATATCCGTCTGATTTACAGAATGCATTGATACCGCACTGTGTCACACAGCAGGCGTCTATGCACTCGTTGTTGATGCATGACTGAGTCAGTGGACAGTCACTATCGCCACGGCAACCAACTGCAACAATTCATATTGATGAAAATGTAGGAACGATTTATAGATTGGAAATCAATTTTAGATACAAAAATAAATTAAATTAACAAAACATGTGAAATATTTTAACATAAATAAATACGCAAAACAAATGAAATTGATATTCATTGTATTGATAATATAGAATAGTATGAAATATAGAAATGATTGACCAAAAATATTTGCAGGACGTACTTTCGCCACAATATTGTTGAGGATTGCCAGTGAAACCTTCGTTGCAGACACAGACAGCACGATGCATTTGCACGTGGCAACGACTGTTAAAGCCACAGGAGTCCAGTGTGCAAGGATCGACACATCTTTGATTGTAGCAGGTTTTGTCATTCGAACACTCAGAGTTTTGAGTACATTCTGGAATTGGCTCTGGAATGAATTAAACGTAAGTATCTCAATTCTTTTCCTTTCTCGTTACAAATATTTCTTCCATTTGACAATAGAAAACGAATCATTCTGGCAGATTTGATAATTCTTTAATGATAGAATCACTGTGTCTATTTATTTTTCAACGTTGAATAATACTTAAATTGTAAAAATAATTAACGATACTTCGACAATTTACACACCTTCAATCGTTGGAACCGTGCACTGTATGCGAGCGTTGCCAGTGAATCCAGACGGACACGAGCAGACAGGCTTGTGGTTCACCGTCTGACACAGCGAATTAATTCCACAGGCACCAATGCATGGGTCTCTGCATTTTTGTGCGAAGCAAGCCTTATCTCGTGGACAGTCAGAGTTAATAACACATTCTGGATAGATGCATATTGCAATGCCGTTTCTCACTTTGCATTCGCCATTATAACTACACGGAGATGGATTGCAAGGATCGGTTTCTGAAACAATTGAATAATCATTTCACTTGACTAATTCGAAAATTATTTCATGAAATGTGACAATTAAGTAATTTTGTTGTTAGAATATTATTATTATTAAACTTTCTGGTGTGTTGTTACTATTTTCTGATATTATTAAATTAATAAAAATTCATGAACAATTAAGTTGAAACAAGAACAAGTGGAGGATCTCGAAATTACCAATTTTGGTGTAACATTCTTCAAACGGATTTCCAATTAACGGAGATGCGCAGCTGCAGAGAGGACTATGGTTGATAGCTTGACATGTAGCCTTGATACCACACACATTTTGCGTGCAAGGATTTATGCATTTATTGCCGATGCAAGCCTTGTCTCCTGGACAGTCAGAACTAATCACACACTCTGGATGACAACCTGTGATGCTCGAAGGAACTCCTTGAAGATCAGGTAGACATTTACAGACTGCAGTGTTGCCGATCTTTTCGCAGATAGTATTGGGCCCACATGGAGATGGAGAACAAGGATCTTTTTCTCTCGGTACTGTAAGTAAAAAATTCAAATAAAAAACGAAAAATTACTTGAAATTACTTATAGTATTGCAGTACCGGAAAAATTTTCTATCATTTTATTATTCTTTTAAATTTATTGAAAATTTTATGTAATATTATATATATTATAACATTACATAATTCTATATAAAAAAATTTAAGACACTTAGCAAATCGTTAATCTTGTTAAGGATAGCTTTATGAAACATCAGGATATTTTTATAAAAATCAAAATACCTTCAGAAGCAGCTTGACAAATAGTGAACGCGTTTCCAATAGTAGGTGCCGGACACGAGCAAATAGGAATGTGATTAGACACGGTACAGATGGCTCCAACTCCACAGGTACCAGGACAAGGATCCTGACACTTGGTCCTGATACAAGCCTGCGATTTCGGACAATCGGTGTTTACCAAACACTCTGGTTGACAGCTTTCGTACGGGTTTCCTCTGAAATCTGGCAGACACTCGCAATACGCGGTGTTGTCTCTCTCTCTGCAATATGCGTTAACTCCACACGGTGAAGGACTGCACGGTCTCGAAAGTGTTGTTGGTGGTTCTGGAGTTGCTAGAATAAAATGCAAAACACGAAGAAAATGAACATCATCTTCAAAATAATACTAAAATCAGTTAGTACTTTACAAGAAGAAGTTTGCGTGATCGTGAAAGAGAGTTAATTTACAAAAAACAAAGAACAATAATTTAAATGAAGATCGTGGAAAGAACAAGAGAGAATGAAGAACGTGTATGAACAAAGCTTTGAGATTTTGATAATATTGAGATATTTGAGATATTGATAATATAGAGAGCTGATAATAGCATTTATAATCAACATGCAGTTCTTTCTATGTATGTTTGTACAATTCTTATGTACAATATATACAAACTAAAGGAATGAAAATGAATTAAAAATTCAATAAAATCATTACTAACGGTAAATGATAAATAAACTGCGGATATTTATACAAATTATAATTTTATAAATATCTAAGAAATAAAATATAGATAAAAATTATTTATATTGTTAAATAGTTAAATACAACTAGTATTTACTATATTTTAAATATTTTACATGTTTTTGAATCGAGTATACATTCTAGGTATTATTGCATTTTCATGTTTCTCATTAATGCATAAAAATCCGCAGTAATAATAATAATAATAATAATAATAATAATAATATTAAATGATACATAATAATCTTAATAATCTTATCTCAAATAAATAAAAAAATAAACAATAATTCGTCAAAAAATTAAATAATCGTAAAACAAAATGTCTCTGACAAATGAAAAGAAGCACGAAACGTTTCGAACAAACAAAAATATGCAAGACTTCATCTCTCATTCTTGGTGGCTCGACAAAGTTCGATTATTCCTTAATCACGGAATTATTCCTTACTCTTGGCCACGGAACAAACAGTGAACGGGTCTCCGGTGTATCCCTCGGGACACACACAACGGATGTAATGCAGGGTAACTTGGCAGAGAGCGTTAGAGCCGCAGAGTCCTGTACAAGGATCGATACACTTCTGTCTAACGCAAGCTTGATTGCTGGGACATTCGCTGTTCACGAGACATTCTGGCCTACAATTGGGAGGAGCGCCTATAAATTCAGGCATACAGGCACAGGAGGCTTTATTATCTGGTGACACGGTGCATTGGGAGTTTGGTCCACACGGCGAGGGTTTGCATGGGTCCTGGCTAGGTTCTTCTTGCGTTTCTGTTCGTTGATAAAAATTTTTCCACGGTTAAAAATTTATGCTCGACTCTCGTCGACTTTTGGTGCAGCATTTTGAAATAGAAATCGGTGCTGTTTGGAACTTACTGCATTAAATAGTATTTGAATTTGTTCTTTATCTTACAAATTGACTGTTTTGTTTTGAATGAGAGATTTGTGCTAGAATAATTAAATAATTAACAATTGGTGATAGTAGGGTAATAAAGGGGGAATGATTAAGTAATTGATAAGTAGAAATAGTAGTGTTTAAAGGGAAATGATAATTAGTAATCATAAGATTCAAAGGGGAATGATTACAAAAGTAATTGAAGTTCAAAGAGAAATTCTTCTATTCTAAGGACATTTCAATTCTTTATAGAGAATCTATAAAATTAAAATCTCCATCATTTTAAGAAGAATTTATAGAAATAAAAAATTAAAAATAATAAAGATAGAACAAAAACTCCACTTCTATTTATTTAAAAATTACAGGGAGAACCTGTAAATAGTAAAAAAATATTCAAAAAAGGAAAAGATCATGAATTTTAGAGACAGCACCGATCGAAATACTCATTGGTGGGTTACTTACTCATGGGGAAACAGCTGACGAACGGGTCACCGGAATACTGTGCGGGGCAACTGCAAATGGGATTATGATTTCTCACGTTACACAACGCTCCTTGACCACAAACGTTTTCACACGGGTTTTGGCAGCGTTCGTTCACGCAAGCTCTACTCTGTTCGCAGTCAGAATTCACCAAACATTCGGGTCTACAGCTGAGTGGAGTTCCAAAGTATCCAGGGAGACAGGAACAAGAAGCTTGCTCGCCAAATTCGCGGCAAACGCTGTTGGGTCCACAGGGCGAGGGTTCACAGGGTTTCACACGTTCTATCGTAACGTGACACATAAAGTCATTCATTAATCAATGATCAATGACATTTTTCTCTGGTTAATGGAATTTTTGTAATGTTTCTTTAAAACTAATTAAGGGTTAATAAAGTGTTCCTTCCTCATCTGTAATCTCTTCGAAAATTAATTATCAGGGGCTCGTAGCATTTTTAAAGATTTTTCTTGAGTGTTAATTAAAGTAATTAACGGTAAATGGAGTTTTTTAAAAATTTATTAATAGGAGAGGTTGATAGAAGTTTCCAAATTTAGTCGATAGAACATTGTTCTACCAATGAAAATTATATTCAAGGGTTAATAGGACTTTTCAATTTCGGGATTAATTAATTCTAATTACACTCACTTTGAATTGGTTTACACAGGGTAAATGAATCTCCTTCGTAATTCTCCACGCAACTACAAGTGGGAATATGGTTAACTACAACGCACTCGGCGTTCTGTCCACAGATTCCAATACAAGGGTCCACACACTTATTGTTGGAACAAGCTTTATCGAAAGTGCAGTCTGAATTCTGAACACATTCCGGTCGACAACCTTGGTAGGGATCACCACGATATTCGTTTATGCAGCTGCACACGCCATTTCGACAAAGAGTGTTTGGTCCACAGGGCGATGGGTTGCATGGGTCTGATAGGACTGGCAGGACAGCTGCATTTGTTCCAATCAATTATTAATTAATAATTAAAACATTAATAATTAATAATACATACATTAACAGGTCGGTCTCAAATTTTAATCTCTTGATACTAAATGTCTCTTTATGGTACTAAAGATATGTTCGATATCTTATGATTCGAATATATTGTAATAATTACCATATGATTCGAATATATTGTAATAATTTATAATAATATTTTCAAGTAATATATTATATATTATATAAAAACGTTTCATATAATAATATATAGACTATAATATGATACTGTTAAATCAAAAGTTATAGGATAAATAATTATATTTATTTTAAAACTGGAAAAATGAAATAGTACTTTATACAACAAAGATTTTAATAAACAAATATAGTCTCAAGTTTTTTGAATGAGAATATACCTAAAATTTTTTATAATTTCAAATACTTTTCAAACATTTTTTGATAAGTTTCCGTAATAATCAATAATAATCCTTACGTGTGGGCATTGGACGACAACTGGTGAAGGGATCTCCGGTGTAATCTCTAGGACAAGTGCAAATAGGTGTGTGATTAACCACATTGCAATATGCGTTCGTTCCACAGGATCCTGGACATGGGTCTCTACACTTTTCTCTGATGCAAGCCTTATCACTGGTACAGTCTGAATTAATTGAACATTCTGGTCGACAGTTAGGAGCTGAACCAACATAATTGGGCAAACAGGAACATGATGGAATGCCTCCTATGTTTTGGCATTGAGAGAACGGGCCACAGGGTGATGGAACGCACGGATTTACGGGCACAGGTGGACTTGGTGCTAAAATTCAAGAATTCCCTCGTAATATTTAAAAAAATATATACCAAGGCGTAATTCATATATATGTGTATACGAACACAGAAATATGTAATTTATTAAATATAGAGAGTACTCTTAAAAAAAAAAAGAAGGTATAACCAACTGGAGAGTAATTCTACATGTGAAAATAAAAAGAAAGGAAAGAATAATAGTTTTTCATTTAACGTTGTGTTTTTGAGAAAATCGACTAGTTTGATTTCGAATTGAAAAGAAATAATCGATCAATAGAAAAAATTCTATGTGTAAAAATAGATCGAAAATATAGAATAAAATTTTTTCGTTTGATGCCTCGTTTTCGAGCGTCTTATAAAAAATTTTATTTCATATTTTTCACTTAGTTTCGCAAGTAGAATAATCTTCTATTGATCATGAGGTCTTCTTAATTTCCAATTAATCAATTAAAGTATATCTGACAAATTTTCTCCGAAACGAAATTTCATTATTTTTCTTATTTTTGCATGTATAATCATTTTCTAGCCAATTATACCATGGAGACTATACTATTCTCTCAAATGATTCACAATTTAATTCAAGAAACAGAGTATTAAAAAGCTATTCTTTCAAACGATTCACTTACTGGTCATGTCAAAGCATTTTACGAACGGATCTCCCGTCTGACGAGCATCGCAGCTACAAATGGGACTATGATGGAAGACCTCGCATCTCGCGTTTATTCCACAAACTCCCGGGCAGGGATCAACGCATTTCTGATTCACACAAGCTCTATTGCTAGCACATTCTGTACTAACTACACACTCTGGTCTGCATCTCGGAGATGTGCCTTTGAAATCAGGAAGGCAAGAGCAAATGGCTTGACCATTCACATCGCGACATCTACTATTTGGCCCGCAGGGTGAAGGTTCGCACGGATTTGTCGCACTTGGTGCAGCTATTAATATTATCATAGTATAATATTATTATTCAATTATTTTAATTTAGCTTTTCCAATTTACTAGTTATTATTTTGTTAAAGATACTGTAATACTGATTGAAAGATACTAATGTTATCAAATTCTGTATACTTAGAGCATACATTCTGAAAATTTGAGACACTCACTAGGTTGTTTGAGTACGTTGCAAAATCTGAACGGATCACCGGTGTAACCTGAACTACAACTGCAGATTGGAATGTGATTGACCACTTGGCAATCTGCGTTAAGGCCGCAGGTTCCTGGACAGGGATCTTGACATTTGTTTCTTACACAATCTCGATTGAATGGACAGTCGGTATTTATAATACATTCTGGTCTACAATTTTCGTATGGATTTCCGTAGAAGTCCGGTAAACAAGTGCACTGAACTGTACCATATGATTCGCGACAAATGGCATTTGGACCACAGGGAGATGGCTGACAGGGGTTGAGTTTTTGCGGTATTGTATCTTCGACTATAAGTGATATAAAAAAATGAAATTAATTTTGTGTACATATGTTAAGTTCAAAGGATAAAAATTTCCAATGAAGACAGATAGGTAATGCATTAAAAACAATGATAATACACTGTGAAAATAAACTCTTTAAAGACAATTATAATCCATTGCGGCTCTTTAGAAACAACCATAGTGCATTTTAAACATTTGAAAGTCTTCACAATGACTTAATTATGATAATGCATTTTGATTGTTCGAAAGAATTACGATATTGTGCAAAGGCAATCAAAACATTCGCAATTATATTCTGGTCATATTAAAAATGAATGATAAAGAAAGAGAAGATCTTACTTGGTTGGGGTGTGCATTGCACGAACGGATTTCCAGTGAAATTGCTTGCACAAGTGCACATTGGGGTATGACTAATAGTCCTGCACTCTGTGTTCCTTCCACAAGAGCCAGGACAAGGATCTATGCATTTCTGATTGATGCAAGCTTGCTGCGTTGGACATTCTGTATTACTAAGGCACTCGGGTTTGCAGTATGGTGGGATTCCTACGTATTCGGGCAGACAAGAACACGAGGGTGCATTGTTGATCACTTGGCATTGAGCGTTTGGACCGCAAGGTGATGGCTGACAAGGATTTATCGGGACGTCTGGCTCTTTTGCTAAAAGAAAATCCCAATCTTAGAAGCATTACTTTTCAGAATAGAAATAAATTCAATAAATATAAAGATATACTTTGATTTTTTTCAAGAATTTTGAATTTATAAATTTCAAGGAAAAGATTTGTGACGAATTTTAAATATCTAAATTTCTAAATTTTCAAGAAGAACCGGGATAAAATATATATTTTCAATGAGAAATATTTGGCGTGGCAAATAGATCTTACTTTTCGGGATACACTGAACAAATGGATCTCCTGTGTACTGTTCGAAACAGCTACATACAGGATTATGATTGATCACGGTGCATTGGGCAGATAGTCCACAAGCACCGAGACAAGGATCGATGCATTTCTGATTACTGCAGGCTCTGTTACGTGGACAATCGGTGCTAACGACACACTCCGGTCTACAGAATGGTGGTGATCCTTTGAATCCAGTAACGCAACTGCAGACAGCTTGACCATTGAAGGAACGACAATGACTGTTTGGACCACAGGGTGATGGGTTGCACGGATCAACCATGCTGGTTTCTGTATGTTCCAGAGGAAAGTTAAAAATATTAATAATAATGTGCTAATAAAGACACCGATTTTCAAATTTAATATTTAATGCACTCTAATAATTGCAATGTCATTGCAATTGTAATTTGCATTTCGATAAACTCGTACGATCGTAATGTTCCTTTTTTGTTACACTTCCAATTTTAATATCAGTAACTATTTTATTTTGTCCATTTCATTATACTTTTCGGTTTCACATCGTCCATTATGCAAGTGAAAATAATTCGGGGAAACGATGAAAAGGAAAGAAGTCGAAACCAACCTTGGACAGGACTACACGAAACGAAAGCGTTGCCTGTCATGTTCCTAGGGCAACTGCACATGGGTAGATGATTGATCACGTTGCATTCTGCATTTGTTCCACAAGTTCCTATACAGGGATTTCTGCATTTCTGCAATAGACAAGCTTCGTTTCGGGAGCAATCGGTGTTGATAACGCATTCAGGGCGACAAATGGTATATGGATCGCCTAGATAACCAGACACGCAAGTGCATAAGCCATCGTTGCACTGTGCGTTTGGTCCACAAGGTGACGGGTTGCATGGGTCTGTTGGGGATTCTGGGACTGAAACAAGTTAATGTACTCCTTCCAGTATAACACTTATACAAAATACACAATTGACTAGATTACTAGAAAGTATAATACTGGACCAATGCTTCTCCAGTTACAATTTGATATCGATATTAATTCCAGTGCTATTTCACTCATAATAGAAACATTATTGGTCTTTTATCTACCACTGTACATAATTACTGAAATTCTATTAGTATGATTAATAGAATCCATTGGGACTTACTCATTGGCGAAGGAATTGGCAAACAGATGATGAAAGAATCACCGGTGAATCCTTCGGAACAAGTACAAGTTGGTGTATGATTCACCACTGTACAACGTGCGTTCACGCCACAAGATCCTGGACAAGGATCTCTACACTTATCTCCAATGCAAGCTTCATTTGCTGGACAATCTGAATTGATGGAACACTGTGCTCGACAATTTGGTGGCATTCCGATGTAATTATTCATGCAAGTGCAGACTGGAGTCTCTCCAAGAGCTTTGCACATCGCGTTTGGACCACAGGGGGATGGAACGCACGGATCTTTTGGGTATTGTTCTTCTGGTTTTGGCACTATACAGTAAATATCGTTGGAACATGAGATACCAATAGGGAACGCTGTTCAATTGATAATAGAATTTTTAAATTTTTTCATATGGATCGAAAGAATATATCAAAGAAAAAATATATCATTCCATTTTGATTAACACTAGAGTTTGATGATTTGACAACAATATCGGAATTTATTTACTACTACTCAGAAAAGTATCATAAATATGAAGTTAATAAATAATAATTGATACTTAGACAAAACAATCTTCTTTTTTATCTCACACTTTTTTCTTCCGAGTTTTTCAAAATTATATCAATTTCCAATAAAATTTCCAATTCTTTCGAGCCATGTTTCGAAATTCACAATATTATACACGTGTATATAAAATTATTAGAAACTTCTTTACAAAGAATTATAGAACAAGAATTTTTTCCCATCTTACTTGGAGCAGGGAAACAATAGACGAACGGATCTCCTGTCGAATCGCTTCCACAGCTACAAATTGGACTATGATGGACAACCTTGCACTGTGCATTGCGACCACAGGTACCAGGGCAAGGATCTTTACACTTCTGATTAATACACGCGAGATTCGAGTTACATTCCGAATTTACGACACATTCTGGTCTACAGTTTGGTGGAGTTCCTACGTATTGAGGCAGGCAAGAGCACACTGCCTGATCATTTACATTCTGACATTGACTATTCGGGCCGCAAGGTGATGGTCGACATACATCTCGGTCCTCTTCAACTGTAAAGTTTGTAACTCCATAGAATTTTTGTCTCCATATGAGAATAGAAAGACAAATTGAAGCTCGCGAGAGAAAAACCTGATATCTCGTACGATTTTTTGTTTATGATGTTATTTTATGACTAGAATAGTCATTGAAGCAAACAATATTTTAATAATTAAATTATATTAGTCAATACCACAAGTTGAAATGTAGAGAAAAATGACAATTACAAACGTCATTTTTAAAAACTTGTGTCTCTTTAAAAACTTCTTTTTTGTAAAAAAAAATGAGAAATATAATTTATCACGTTTCTCTTTCTGTACTCTTCAATTACTAATTATTAATTACTCACTCGTGAGAACTCTGTATACGCAATTCACGTATGGATCGCCAGTGTATTGTGGGATGCAACTGCACACTGGTAGATTGTTCACGACTTGACAATTGGTATTGGAGCCACAAATACCAGGACAAGGATTTTGACATTTGGATCTGATACAAGCTAAATGAGAGGGACAATCTGACGATCGAGTGCACTCTGGTCGACAACCTTCGTAAGGATTGCCAATATACTCGGGTGAGCACGTGCAAGAGCTAAGACCATTTTGTTCGCGACAAATAGCATTTGCTCCACATGGAGAAGGTTGACAGGGTCTAGGTGCGATTGTTGTTTCCGCTAGAAGAAATTAATGACGAATTTTAATCGATTATTAAGTTGAATTGGAATCGGAATTGCTTGAGTCACTCTTGTCATTTCAAGGCACTTACGTTGTCTAGCGATGCACTGAACGAACGGATCTCCCGTAAAGTCTTTCGCGCAAATGCACGACGGCACGTGATTCACAACGTGACATTCCGCGTTCGAACCACAAGAACCAGCGCAAGGATCTCTGCATTTACGTTCGATACACGCCAAGTGACTACTGCACTCGCTATTACTGATACACTCTGGCTTGCAATTTGGAGGAGTGCCAATGAATTCTGGTTGACAGGAACACGATGGGGAGTTATTGATCACTTGACAAATTGCGTTCGGACCACACGGTGATGGCTGACAGGGATTGGTTGGTTGCACGGGTTCTTCAGCTTTTAAAGAAGACAATCGAAAGATTAAATTTCTCTCCTCCAAAGAGTCATTTTCAAATTAAATGATTCGAAAGGGCACGTACATTTAGGTAAGCAACGTACGAAGGGATCGCCAGTGAATGCCGGAGGGCAGCTGCAAATAGGATTATGATTGACCACCTGACACCTAGCTGTCACTCCACAGGATCCAGGACACGGGTCTCTACACTTGAGGTTCACGCATGCTTCGTTCAATGGACAGTCGCTGTTAACGATACATTCAGGTCGACAAGCTGGAGGGTTTCCTATGTAACCAGGGACACAGGAACAGACTGCCTGTCCACTGATGTCTTGACACCTACTGTTTGGACCACAGGGTGACGGGTTGCAGGGTTGTAATATTTCTGGGTCTGCGCACAAGTAAAGGGAGTTTACAAGTAAATTTTTATTTCTATATAAAACATAATTCTGAAATAATTTTAAAATTCTCCTATAAAAATTTCTACCACAGAAAACACGTTTCTGAACATCGTGTATCATCGAATTACCAAATCCTAAATAATAGCTTCGGTTCAAGTTCTTCGATTCGAGTTTTTATTACTTCGACACCTCGACTATAGAGTAGTCGAGCATCATAAATCTCATCAAAATAAAAATAATAAAAATTGCTGATCGAATTTACCTTTTACTGGGAAACAGGCTGTGAACGCATTTCCTGACATGCCATCGGGACAACTGCACATGGGAGTGTGGTTTATCACCACACACTCGGCATTTCGTCCACACACACCAGTACAAGGATCGAAACACTTGTTACGATTGCAAGCTCTATCGAGAGGACAGTCTGGGTTCTGAACACATTCCGGTCGACATCCGTAATATGGATCACCGCGATATTCTGGCAGACAAGTGCATATACCATCGCGACAGAGTGCGTTTGATCCGCATGGTGAAGGGTTGCAGGCGTCTTGGGGTGCTGGTGGTGAAGCTAGCAGGAAAGATATCATTAAATGCTAAAGTTCCAAAAGGTGAAACTGCGGGGAAAAATATTATTAACCCTTAAGTGGTATCGTAAGATCACAGATAATTATATCATATTATAAAAATTTAAGATGTTTAATTTTATTTTGTATTTAATATTCTCCTTACATAGAGATAAAATAAAACTTCTGACATTTCTGCTTCCAACGTTCTATGATACCAGTTATGAGTTAAACCCTAGCTTTAAAAAAATATCTTGATGTTTCGTTTCTATAAAATTTGAAAATTGATGGCTAATTCTTACGAGGAGATTCTAGGAAGCAATTGGCAAATGGGTCGCCTGTGAATCCTTGGGGACAAGTGCACACAGCCATATGGTTTACTACTAGACACTCTGCCCCAGTACCACAGGAGCCTGGACAAGGATCTGTACACTTTTGCCTTAGACAAGCTCGGTTACTGGCACATTCTGAATCGATAGTACATTGTGGTCGACAGTTTGGTGGAGTTCCTGTGTAATCATCCATACAGGTACAGCTTGGTAGGTTCGCGTTTCCAACGACACGACACACGGAGAACGGGCCACAGGGTGAAGGAACGCAAGGATTCACTGGTTCTGATACCACTAGAGAAAAATATTATTATTTAGAATATACTGTTATCTCTTTCATGAAATATTGCATTTTGATATATTTCTGACAATCGGCTTTCATGCATTATTTCTTTTCTACAAAACTTTTTAAATAATATGTTTTCATTGTTTTAATTTCTATTTTAATTTTGATTTAATTTAATATTTAAGTCCAATTTATATTGTGTATCGAGGAATTTAAGCTACATATATAGATATTGTAATAAATATAATAGTATTAATTCCAAAATAAATAAGAAAATCAATGATCTGCAATTAAAACCGTCAAGACTTCGAAATATCAATCTTTGAGAATTATTTTTTTTAATTAGAAGTCAGCTTCGAATGGATTAAATAATTTCGCAACAACCGAGACCCAAGTACTCACTTGTAACTTTGAAACATCTAACGAAAGGATCGCCCGTGTATCCTACATTACAGCTACAAATGGGACTGTGATTAATGGCCTCGCATCTAGCATTTATGCCACAAATTCCAGGACAAGGATCGACGCATTTACGATTTTTACAAGCACGGTTCGTTGTGCAGTCTGTGCTGATTGTACATTCTGGTCTGCACATTGGTGGAGATCCCAAAAATGTGGGTGAACATGAACAAATAGCTTGTCCATTGGATGCACGACACTGACTGTTTAGACCGCAAGGAGATGGACTGCAAGGATCAGCTGGTTCCGCTATAAAAATACTCATGTTACAAAACCATGTAGACTTTTAACTTTAATATTATGTCTGAAAAATCAGTGGAACCACAACGATAATTTTACTATTTTCACGATAATTTTCTCTTATATTTCTCAATTTAATTATTACTATATATTTTTCCTTTGATAAAATATCAATTCATGTGATGTCAATTTCATATTAAATTAATAAACTACATACGCTGTTCAAATAATAGAACGTTCGAGTACAGGAAAATTCCAATGAAACAGTCAAATAATAAATCCTCGAATAATAAAGAGAAAAAAATTCTACCATACTAAAAAAACTTACGTGGAGCTTGAATAACGCTACATTGAACGAACGGGTCTCCAGTGTATCCAGACTGACAAGTACACAGTGGAGTATGATTAACAATTTGACAAACAGCGTTATATCCACAGAATCCTGGGCAAGGATTCTGACATTTAGACCTAATGCAAGCTTGATTAGCTGAACAATCGGAATTAATGACACACTCTGGTCGACAGCCTTCATAAGGATTTCCGATATAATCAGCAATGCATTTACAAGACGCTGCACCATTTTGTTCGTTGCACACTGCATTAGACCCACAGGGAGATGGTACACACGGGGTGAATTTCTCTACTGGACTCTGGGCGACTATAAATTTGAAATTATTTCTCTTACAAGGAACTCATTCGAGAACAAAATATTTTTTGAACATTCCATGATGGATAATGAAGATCTGTTTGATGTTTTGTTCATTTCTTACCTAGCTTTGGAATACACTGTACAAATGGATCACCAACGAAACCAGGAGAGCAAACGCACATAGGTGTGTGACTAATTATTCTGCACTCTGCATTGGCACCACAGGAACCGGGACAAGGATCGCGACATTTTTGGTTTATGCAGGCCAAATTCGTGGGACATTCACTGTTACTGATGCACTCTGGCTTGCAATATGGTGGTGAACCGATAAATTCAGGTAGACAACTACAGGAAGGTGAGTTCCCTGATATCTGACATTGAGCGTTGGGTCCACATGGTGATGGCTGGCAAACGTTTATCGGTTCTGGTGGAGCTTGTGCTATAATTATTTCAAAAATGAAGTTTCTTGGGAGGATATTTAAGCGTTTATGGTATATGAAAGATTCAGTCAAATATTGGTACATTTTCTTTTCAAAACAAATAAAGAGATATTTAGAGAGTTAATATAATGAATTTTAGAAATTTTTCATAAAACTTGTATAGTATTAGAAATAACGTAAACTTTCAATTTTTTTTCATTTCTCTGATAGAAGATACTTTAGTAATCGATCATTTAATACAGTATTTGATATAATAATTTTTAATGTAATTTCGTTTCTATTCTAGCTTAATGTCATTTATATTATTTTTTGTATTAGTTTAATTTCATTTGAATTGAAAACTTGTACCATTTTTGCTCTGAATCCCTGCGTTAAAAAAGAAAACTTACGAAGTGGAGTACACCTAACGAAAGGATCTCCCGTGAATCCCTCAGGACAGTGACAAATGGGATTACGATTCGCGACAGTGCAACGAGCTGCCAAGCCGCAAGTGCCCACACATGGATTTATACACTTCTGATTACTACAACTCTCATTTGGTGGACAATCAGAGCTGACCACACATTCTGGACGACAGATTGGTGGGTTTCCTAGGTAGCCTGGTACGCAACTACAAATTGCTTGGCCATTCTTCGCTCGACATTGACTATTAGGACCGCAAGGTGATGGACTGCATGGATTAGATGGAAGTTCGGCTGTTGAAATATAATTACTTGTGAAGAGATTTTCATTTACTCGACATTCTTAACGTAATAAATTATCTTGATCTAACTGACTTTTTAACACGTTCGCTATCAGATGTAATACGTATGTAATAAGAGAAGTAGATAAATTCTTATTAATTTATTTTCATGGAAGATGCTTCTCTACGCAGTTTCTACACTGACTAACTTTTTTAATGTTGCAACATGTTTATCATAGTTATTTTATTAATTGTCCAATATTTACTGTTGTTAAAATGCTCGAGCAGTGCATGATTTTGTTGTTGTCATTTCGAAATAAAGTTTACCAAGGAACGATTGCCATTTCATGCTTCGATAAATAAATAATATGATTTTCATCTTCGATAATCCAATACGACACATAACATGTGTAATGTGTGTAAATATAAATGTCGCTCATATTGATACGTGAAAATTTAATAGTTAGAAAAACAGCGATTGCGAACGTGTTGAATTAAAGAGATAGAAAGTTCATTTTCCAAAATAGCGAAGTACCTATAGCTGGACGGCAGAATGCAAAGGCATTTCCTTCGAATCCAGTAGGACAACTGCACATTGGAACATGATTAACCACCTCGCACATTGCATCAGTGGCACATGCACCGACGCAAGGATCTTCGCACTTATTCTTCACGCAAGCTCTGTTTCGAGGACAATCGTTGTTAAGTACACACTCTGGTCGACAACCGATATTGGAATCTCCGTAGTAATCAGGCATGCAAGAGCAAATTCCATTGTCGCATATAGCATTTGGTCCACAGGGAGATGGATTACACAAATCTATCTCCGATGGTTCAGCTGAAGATTGAAAATATTGAATAAAAATTACTGAAATAGAGTCGATTAAATGGAGATCGAAGGTGCTGATTAAAGAGCTCTTGGAGAAGAACGAATCAAAATGACAAAATAAAGACTAAAAAGAAATGCTAAATAAAGAATATTTCTAAGAAACTATTACTTACGAGGACTGATTAATTGATTGCATTGACTGAAAGGATCGCCAGTGTACCCTTGGATACAGGAACACATAGGAACGTGATTAAATACTCTACACTGGGCATTGAAGCCGCAGGAACCTGGACAAGGATCTCTGCACTTTTCTCCCATACAAGCCTGACTGGGGGAACAATCAGAATTTACTGTACACTCTGGGCGACAATTTGGAGGGCTTCCGATGTAATTTGGCAAGCATTGACAAGATGGACCTCCATTGATTACGCGACATTCTGAATTTACACCGCACGGAGAAGGCAGACAGGGCTGTGAAACATCGACTGCTGTAGGTGGTGTTGGCTCTAAACGAAAAATCACGAAATGAAAAATCTAAGCAATTTAAACTAATATCGAAGTTTAGACCAGTTTCAAAATGGCTTACGTGGAACAGGGAAACACCTGGTGAAAGGATCTCCGGTATATAACTCTCTACATGCACAAATTGGGCTGTGATTCCTAACCACACAAGTGGCGAATGTTCCACAGGAAGAAGGACACGGGTCCACACATTTCTGGTTAACGCACGCGCGATTTGGTGGACATTCTGAGTTTAGAACACATTCCGGGCGACACATGGGAGGTGTGCCTGTGTATTCTGGCAAACATGAACAAACTCCTTGACCATTTACTACGCGACACTGACTGTTCGGTCCGCAAGATGAAGGGTTGCATGGATCTTTGTACGTTGTATCATCTTCTATAAAATTTTAATTACCATCGTGTGAAATATTTTGATAGCCTTCGAAAGAGTGACTCCGTTTTGAATTTTAAAACTAAATTTGATACCAAATGATAGTTTATAATTAGATTTTTTATTGCAAGTTCAAGTATTACTTAATATACTGCTTAATTTTTCGGTCACTCTTTCCATTAATCAAAGTTTAAATTAAATACAAGGACGATTGAGAGTGTATTCGTACCTATTTCACGTATCAAAGTACAATATTGGAAGGGATTTCCACTGTAACGTTGAATACATGTGCAAGCAGGACGATGATTGATAACTTTGCACTCTGCGTTTGTACCACAAGTGCCTGGACAAGGGTCTTGACATTTGGAGCGTATACAGCTCATCGTGGACGGACAGTCGGTGTCAACGACACATTCAGGACGACAACCTTCGTAGGGATTGCCTATATAATCGGCTAAACAGATACAGGAGCCTACACCGTTTTGTTCTTTGCACATCGCGTTGAAACCGCATGGCGATGGGGTGCACGGTGACACGTTGATAGGGACAGCTAAAAATTTTCGAAATAACAAAAATATGATCAGTGAGTATAGTTAGTGTCAAAGATTTCAACTGTTCAAGATGATTGCTATTGCTGTGAATAAATGACATTAACAGTAAAGAATAAGAAATACTGTAGTATTCGTGGGCAATTATTGATGATTGTAATCTGAAAATTGAAAAAGTAGAAAGTAGTGTTTTCAAAGAATCAAAATCTTTAGCAGCTATCATTCAGAGATTAAAAAATAGAAATTAGTATCTTTCAGGAATCAAACAAAATTAAACTAAAAAAAAAAAAAAAAAAATAGAATAGAATATTTTCAAGGAATCAAAATCTTTGGCGATCATAATTGAAAGTTTAAAAAAAAAAAAAAGAAATACTTCATTCTTACGTAGTATAGGTGAACATAAAGTGAAAGGGTCTCCAGTATAGTCGCTGGGACAGACACACATGGGAGTATGACTGACAACACGACACTCAGCGTTTGCCCCACAGGATCCAGGACAAGGGTCTCTGCACTTCTGATTCATGCAGGCCTGCTTACTGGGACATTCGCTATTGCTGGCACATTCAGGTCTGCAATTGGGTGGGGTGCCTATGAATTCCGGTGAACAAGAGCAAGAGGGTGCATCATTGATGACTCTGCATTCTGCATTGGGTCCACATGGAGAGGGTTCGCATGGGTTTTGCGGCACTACAGGCTCGGGTGCTAAAAGTACACGTGTGAATTACGATTATTTACCTTAAAACATTTCGTTGGTCATTGAAATATCAGGGAAAACAAGTCTTACGTTGTGGAACACACTGAACGAATGGGTCACCAGTTAAATCAGGTGGACAGCTGCATATAGGATTGTGATTGACAACATTGCAGGTGGCTCTAAATCCGCATGAGCCAGGACAGGGGTTTACACATTTCTGATTGTTACAAGCTTCTGTCAAAGGACAATCGGAGCTGACTGTACACTCTGGTCTACAAGAAGGTGGTGTACCCAGGAATCCTATTACGCAGGAACAGACGGGTTGTCCATTGATTTCTCGACAGACACTGTTTGGTCCACAGGGCGAAGGTGAGCAAGGATTTTCCTTTTCAACATCTGTCATCATTACAATATGGTAGATATTTAAGAGAGTTTGCTTTTGAGTCCTTAGGACTTGGTGTATTGACGCCTGTCGAGACGGTTCGAAAACCCCTAATTTGTGGCACGACTATGAGTATTGACAGAGACACGCGAAAGTGTGTCTCATTTCTTTTGAAATATCATAGTCGTGACATAAATTTGCTAACATCGTATAAAATAAAAATTTACATACATCTGACAAATTTTCAATATTACAGAAACAATTTAACATAACAAAATCAAGTTAACAAATTAATTAATATCCATAAAATATCTAAATTCTTTTTCTGTTTTAAATATATCAAACTTAATAGATACATATATGTAGTATAACATATATGTAGACTTCTGTGATTAATTATAAAACAGAAGTTAAAATTAAATATACACGAACATAACTGGAAGTATTGTGTTCCAGTCAGTGTGAAGTATGTAACCAACAATTTACTGATATAAATTAAGGGTTGAAAAAATATTGTACCTTCCACGATATTGCACTGAACAAACGCATTTCCAACCATTCCATTGGGACAGTTGCACATGGGTACGTGATTGTATATTAGACATTCTGCATTTACACCACATGTGCCAGGGCAAGGGTCAACACACTTATTTCTTATACAAGCTCTATTCTGAAGACAATCAGTATTCAGTACGCATTCTGGTCGACAACCAACGTACGGATCTCCCTGATACTCTGGTAAACATGTACAAATTCCATCGTTGCAACGTGCATTGGGGCCGCAAGGCGATGATGCACAGGGATCAACGACAGTCGGTTCAGCTATGAAGGAAACAAATGTATCTCTCATGTTTTTTTAAACATATCATAAATTCTATTTAACAAAGTATTTTCAATTTTCTTACTTGGTCTAACCGGGGCAGAATAGCAATTGCTGAAAGGATCTCCCGTGTATCCTTCGAAACACGAGCATATTGGAACGTGATTAAGCACCATACATTGAGCATTGGAACCACAAGAACCTGGACAAGGGTCTCTGCATCTTCCTCTCATACAAGCTTGACTAGGGGAACAGTCAGAATTTACTGTACATTCTGGACGACAGTTTGGAGGGCTACCGATGTAAGTAGGTAGACATTGACAGGATGGTCCTCCATTGACCACGCGACATTCTGAATTTGGTCCGCAAGGGGAAGGTAGGCAGGGTTGTGAAACTTCAATTGCTGTAGGTGGTGTTGATTCTAAATGGGAAATTACGAAATGAAATTTATCTATCTTTAAAGTAATATAATTCTCCTACCACAGATACTATTTGTTTGAGATTATAATGGAACTTATAAAAGCTTGAAGTGAAGTGTAAATGATTTTAGAACATTCCTGACAAATCATGTAACTGATTCAGCTCTATTGCATATTTTCATTATTATCTATAAAATTCAGGCTTCGTGTCGGCAGTAGAAGGTTAAATTACTTTCGAAATATCTTACGTGGAGTAGGGAAGCATCTAGTGAAGGGATCTCCAGTGTATAATTCTCTGCAGGTGCAGAATGGACTATGATTCCTGACTGCACAATTGGCGAATGTCCCGCAGGAAGCAGGACATGGATTAACACACTTTTGGTTAATACATGCGCGATCCTGAGGGCACTCTGAATTTAGAGTACACTCGGGACGACACATTGGAGGTGTACCCGTGAATTCTGGTAGACAGGAGCAAACACCTTGTCCATTTACAACGCGACATTGACTATTTGGTCCGCAAGGTGAAGGATTGCACGGATCCTTATTTTTTGTTTCATCTTCTGTAAGATTTTAATTTTTGTTTTACACCATGAAAAATATTTCTGATAGCTATTAGTTATAAATGGAGGGCTCAGAAGTTAATGAACTCACTTCTCATTAAAAGTAACTTGTACTATACAAATACATTATATTTTCAAAATCTTCAATTGATAAAACAATTTATTCATTATATTATAATTATTATAATACCGATAATTAAACTGTTCAATGTCTGAAGATTTTGACACAATAGTGGACTAATTGTCTGCATGTGAGTTTTAATTATTAAAATAAATTATTCAAAATAACTTGTAAAAAAAGACGAATTCTTTAACAATGTAATAAAAAATATTTCTTTTCATTTTAACTCACATTTCCTTGTATAATTTATTTTAATATTAAATATACTACGAACAATTATCCTATGTCTTTTATCACATGCAATTATTAATATAAAAAAAACTTGTACTGATTAGTTTCTACGTCTTCCAAGTAAACCTTGACTTTTCTTTTCATTAAAGCTTATTGAGGATATATAAAATATTTATCATGATGATATCAAACAAAAAATTTGAAAGTTTGTTCATACCTATCGGAGTAGGAATACAATATTGGAATGGATTTCCACTGTAACCTTGAATACATGTGCAAACAGGACGGTGATTAATAACTCTGCACTCAGTGTTTATTCCACAAGTACCAGGACATGGATCTTGGCATTTAGATCTTATACAACTGAACGTGGATGTACAGTCCGTGTCAATCACACATTCAGGACGACATCCTTCGTAAGGATTACCAATATAGTCAGGTAAACAGGTACATGAACCTACACCATTTTGTTCTTTGCATATTGCGTTAAAACCGCATGGTGATGGACTACATGGGGAAAGATTCACCGGGACCGCTAAAATACGATAAAATAATCAGAAAACTTGAGAAATTGGAGAAAAAAATTTAAATATACTCCAAGTTAAGTCGAAAAATATTTCATAATTCTTACATGGCCTAGATGTGCACTGAGTAAAGGGATCTCCCGTATAATCGCTAGGACAGACGCACGTAGGTGTATGACTGACAACTCGACATTCAGCATTAGCTCCGCAAGATCCAGGACAAGGATCTCTACATTTCTGATTCACACAAGCCATGTTACTTGGACATTCACTGTTACTGACACATTCAGGTCTACAATTGGGTGGAGCACCTATGAATTCTGGCGAACAAGAACAAGAGGGAGCATCATTGACGACTCTACACTCTGAATTGGGACCACATGGAGAAGGTTCGCATGGATTTTGTGGTGCTACGGGTTCAATTGCTAAAAAGAGACAGTAATGATCTTTATATTTTATGTGAAAATTTGTGAGCAAACAAGTATAAGAAATAAATCTTACGTCGTGGAACACACTGAACGAATGGATCGCCAGTGAGTTCAGATGGACAGCTACATATAGGATTGTGGTTCACAACGTTGCAAGTGGCTCTAAATCCGCAAGTACCAGGACAGGGATTTATACATTTTTGATTGTTACAGGCTTCTGTCAGAGGACAGTCAGAACTGACTGTACACTCTGGTCTGCAAGTAGGTGGACTACCTAGGAATCCTGCTACGCAGGTACACACTGCCTGTTCATTGACCTCTCGACAGACACTGTTAGGCCCGCAAGGCGACGGCGAACACGGGTTTCCTTTCTCGGTTTCTATATCATAAAAAGATAGAGAAATAGTATTATGAAAATTTCTTTTAATTAATTTTGCAAGATTAATAACTCTTTTTCAACTAATATTGTTGAATCTTTGCTAATTCTCCAGTTGGTGTCCTTCATTGTTATAATTATTAAATTGTACAGTATTGCATTCAATCTGATATTTTATATTTTATGTGATAAAGTAATAAATAACATTAGATCCCTGTCTAGAGTTAGGGAAAAAAATTCATCAAACTCTACCTTGAAGTATGTTACATTGAACGAACGCGTTTCCAACCATTCCACTAGGACAACTGCACATGGGTATATGATTGTATACTAGACATTCTGCGTTTACGCCGCATGTTCCAGGACAAGGATCGACGCACTTGTTTCTTAGACAAGCCCTATTCTGAGAACAATCTGTATTTAGTACACATTCCGGACGACAAGCTACGTAAGGATCACCCCGATATTCTGAAAGGCATGTACAGATTCCATTGTCGCAACGTGCATTTGGACCACAAGGAGATGATGCACAAGGATCAATTATGGTTGGTTCAGCTATAGAAAGAACGAACGTATGAGCTTAAAAATTCCTTATAATTTTAAAGTTATAATTTTCTTTTAATTTCTTACTTGGTCTAACAGGGACAAGGCTGCAACTGCTGAAAGGATCTCCCGTATATCCTTCGAAACAGGAACATATAGGAACATGATTAAGAACCGTGCATTGAGCATTGGTACCACAAGAACCTGGACAAGGATCTCTGCATCTTTCTCTCATGCAAGCTTGACTAGGAGAACAGTCTGAGTTTATTGTACATTCTGGCCGACAATTTGGAGGACTTCCAACGTAAGTAGCTAGACACTGGCAGGATGGGCCATTATTGATAACACGACACTCTGAATTTGGACCACAAGGAGAGGGCAAACAAGGTTGTGTGCTTTCAACTGCTGTAGGTGGAATGGCTTCTAAATAAAAAAGTTACAAGATAAGAAATCTCTTTAACTTTAAAGCAATTTAAATTATGTTCGAGCTATCTTACGTGGCGCGGGGAAACATCTTGTGAAAGGATCTCCCGTATACGATGGTCTACAGGCACAAATTGGACTGTGGTTCCTGATCACACAGGTGGCGAAAGTACCACACGAAGCTGGACATGGGTTCACGCATTTCTTATTAACACACGCGCGATCTTGAGGGCATTCTGAATTCACAGTACACTCGGGGCGACACATTGGAGGTGCGCCAGTAAATTCTGACAGACAAGAGCAAACTCCTTGACCATTTACTACGCGACACTGACTGTTTGGTCCGCAAGGAGATGGACTACATGGATCCTTGTATTTCATTTCGTCTTCTACAAGAGATTTTGATTTTTACTTTACATCATGGCAAATATTCCTTCTGATTTTTAGAAGCTACTAAATTTATATGTGCGAGAAGAATTTATTAAAATTAGTGGAATTAATATAGCGTGATTGAAATAATAAATATAAATTATTTATAAAAGTTTGGGGAGATTTTCTCGTACCTATTTCTCGAATCAGTGTACAATATTGGAATGGATTTCCACTGTATCCTTGAATACATGTGCACGCAGGGCGATGATTGATAACTTTGCACTCTGCGTTTGTGCCACAAGTACCTGGACAAGGGTCTTGGCATTTGGATCGTATACAGCTCAAAGTCGATGGACAGTCCGTGTCAATGACGCATTCAGGGCGACAGCCTTCGTAAGGATTACCAATATAATCGGACAAACAGGAACAAGAACCTACTCCGTTCTGTTCTTTGCATATAGCATTGAATCCACATGGTGATGGACTACACGGGGAAAGATTAACAGGAACAGCTAAAATATTTTAAAGAGTAACTTAATATCCCCGCAAAAAATTAATATTTTTGTAACTAATAAACCACGAATTTTTATGCAAATTCATATTCTAAAACAACGTAATTTAAAAAATTATATATTATAGAAATGACACTTGTAAGATTTAATGTTACAGAATATATTGTATAATTATATTTTATATAATTTTTCATAATACGTGAGTACTATAAAATTCTCTATCATCGCATGAAAAACCGTAGTTTAGTGATTAAATCCTAATCAAAAAGAAAAAGAATTGTTTCTTAATTCTTACGTGGTCTAGGTGTACATTGCGTGAAGGGATCACCAGTGTAGTCGCTAGGACAGGCACACATAGGAGTATGACTGACAACGCGACACTCAGCGTTAGCTCCACATGATCCAGGACACGGATCTCTGCATTTTTGATTGATACAGGCTAACTGACTGGGACATTCGCTATTACTGGCGCATTCAGGTCTACAATTTGGCGGGATGCCTATGAAGTCCGGTGAACAGGAGCAAGAGGGAGCATCATTGACGACTCTACACTCTGAATTGGGTCCGCATGGAGAGGGTTCGCATGGATTTTGTGACAGTACAGGCTCGGGTGCTAAAAGTACACGTGTAAATTATGATTGCCTTGAAAAATTTCGCCGATCAGTGAAATAATTCACGGAACAAGCCTTACGTCGTGAAACACAGTTGATAAATGGATCGCCTGTTAAATCAGGTGGACAACTACATATAGGATTATGATTGACAACGTTGCAGGTGGCTCTGAATCCACATGAACCGGGACATGGATTTACACATTTCTGATTGGTACAAGCTTGTGTCAAGGGACAATCGGAGCTGACTACACATTCTGGTCTACAAGTTGGTGGTGCTCCCAGGAATCCTGCTACGCAGGAACAGACTGATTGTCCGTTGATCACTCGACAGATACTGTTTGGTCCACAAGGTGTAGGTGAACAAGGGTTTCCTCTCATGGTATCTGTTGTGATGATAATATAATAATTACCCAGAAAGATTATAAGAATTTTTTTATGCTAGTGTTAATAATTCAAATGAAAATGTTGTGGCCGCCAATTTTCTAACAATACAAATTAAGAATTCAAAGAATGGTATCTCTAGTTGTACCTTCGGCGACTGTGCACAGAACGAACGCATTTCCCACCATCCCGCTGGGGCAACTGCACATGGGTACATGATTATAAACCTGACATTCTGCGTTTCGACCACAAGTACCAGGGCAAGGATCAACACATTTATTTCTTATGCAAGCACGATTCTGAGGGCAGTCAGTGTTCAATACACACTCTGGTCTACAACCGATATAAGGGTCTCCTTTATATTCTGGAAGACACGTACAGATTCCACTGTCGCAACGTGCATTAGGACCACATGGTGATAATGCACATGGGTCAATAACAGTCGGTTCAGCTGTGAAAGGAGTTAATTTGTTGTCTCATATTCAAACGTTTTACATGTTCAACGGAATTATATTTCTTTAGCTATCTTACTTGGTCTGACAGGGGCGGGATAACAATTGCTGAAAGGATCTCCAGTGTATCCATTGAAGCAAGAACATATAGGAACGTGATTCAGCACCGTGCATTGAGCATTGGAACCACAAGAACCTGGACAAGGGTCTCTGCATCTTTCTCTCATGCAAGCTTGACTAGGCGAGCAATCTGAGTTTATTGTGCACTCTGGTCGACAATTTGGAGGGCTTCCGATGTAATTTCGTTGGCATTGGCACGATGGACCTCCATTAACTACACGACATTCCGAATTTGGACCACACGGGGAAGGCAAACAAGGTTGTGAAATTTCGACTGCTGTAGGTGGCGTAGTTTCTAAAAGAGCAATTGCAATATGACAAATTGTACAACATAAATGTTTTTAACAGAGAGACTTTCGAATATCTTACGTGGAACGAGGAAACATCTAGTGAAGGGATCTCCGGTATATGATTCTCTGCAGGCGCAGATTGGACTATGGTTTCTCACTACACAAGTGGTGAACGTGCCACAAGAAGCTGGACATGGGTTCACGCACTTTTGATTAATACACGCGCGATCTTGAGGACACTCTGAGTTCACAGTACATTCAGGACGACACATAGGAGGAGCACCAGTGAATTCTGGCAGACAGGAGCAAACTCCTTGACCGTTTACTACGCGACATTGACTATTTGGTCCACAAGGCGAAGGGTTACATGGATCCTTGTATATATCATCTTCTATGAAATTTTAATTAACCAAATGCAAGAAATTGGATATTTAATAAATGGATAAGGGTGATATTTAATAAATAAAATTAACGGTTTATTCATACCTATTCCACGAATCAGGATGCAAGATTGGAAAGGGTTTCCACTAAAACCTTGAATGCAAGTGCACGCAGGGCGGTGATTAATGACTTTACATTCCGCGTTCGTGCCACAGGTGCCTGGACAAGGATCTTGGCATTTGGATCGTATACAGCTCAATGTGGATGGACAGTCAGTATCGACGACACACTCGGGACGACAGCCTTCGTATGGATTACCAATATAATCAGACAAACAAGAACACGACCCAACTCCGTTCTGTTCTTTGCATATTGCGTTAAAACCGCATGGTGATGGACTACATGGAGATAGACTGACAGGGACAGCTAAAACGATTCAAAATTGTCAGAAACATTAACACCTGAAGAACAATCTATCAAATTTTTAAAAGATGGAAATTCTTCGTAACTACGTATATTTGGAAAATTAAATAGTTGAGAAAAGATACATCTATTCTTACGTGGTCTAGAAACACATTGAGTGAAGGGGTCACCGGTATAGTCGTTAGGGCAAACACACATAGGTGTATGACTAATAACGCGGCACTCCGCGTTAGCTCCACACGATCCAGGACAAGGATCTCTGCATTTTTGATTGATACAGGCTTGACGACTTGGACATTCGCTATTACTAACGCATTCAGGTCTACAATTTGGCGGTGCTCCTACAAATTCCGATAGACAGGAACAAGAAGGAGTATCACTGATGACTCTACATTGGGAATTGGGACCACACGGAGTGGGTTCGCACGGATTTTCCGGCACTACGGGTTCAGGTGCTAAAAATATGAAGGACAATTATTGTTTCGTCTCGTAAAAGTTCTTTTAAGAAATCATATCTAAAAGAGCAGATCTTACGTCGTTGGACACACTGAACAAACGGATCACCAGTCAAATCTGGTGGACAGTTACATATGGGATTATGATTGACAACGTTGCAGGTGGCTCTGAATCCGCATGAACCAAGACACGGATCAACACATTTCTGATTGCTGCAAGCCTGTGTCAAGGGACAGTCGGAGCTAACTATGCACTCTGGTCTACAAGTTGGTGGTGCTCCTAAGAATCCTACTACACAGGAGCAGACAGGTTGACCATTGATCTCTCTACAAACACTGTTTGGTCCGCACGGAGAAGGTGAACATGGGTTTCCTTTTATGGTATCTATGACGTAGTAAAGATTTAAAGAGGTGTAAGATAATTTGGTACATTTAGAACTATAAACATTTCTCAATCTCTACCTTGGAGTACTGTGCATTGAATAAATGCATTTCCAATCATTCCACTAGCACAACTGCACATAGGTACGTGATTATACACGCGACATTCTGCATTTAGACCACATGTGCCGGGGCAAGGGTCGACACACTTGTTTCTTAGGCATGCTCGATTTTGAGAGCAATCTGTGTTTAGTACACATTCCGGTCTACAACCCATATAAGGATCTCCTTGATATTCTGGAAGACACGTACAGATTCCACTGTCGCAACGTGCATTAGGACCACATGGTGACAATGCACAAGGATCAAGTACAGTTGGTTCAGCTACGAAGAATAAAATACAGTTTTACAAATATTTTACAATTTTGAGATTTCAATTTTATTTTAATATCCTTACGTGGTTCAACGGGGGCAAGAGTGCAACTGCTGAAGGGATCTCCCGTATATCCATCGAAACACGAACAAATAGGAACATGATTAAGAACCATGCATTGAGCATTGATGCCACAAGAACCTGGACAAGGGTCCCTACATCTTTCTCTCATGCAGGCCTGATTGGGAGAACAATCGGAATTCATTGTACATTCTGGTCGACAGTTTGGTGGGCTTCCGATATAAGTTGATAAACATTGACAGGATGGTCCTCCATTCACTACCCGACATTCTGAATTTGGACCACATGGAGAAGGCAGACAGGGTTGTGAAACTTCGATCGCTGTAGGTGGAGTTGCTTCTAAATAGAAAATTACGAAATGAGGAATCTATTTGACTTCAAAATATTTCAAATTAGCTTCACTGTGTCTTACGTGGAACGGGGAAACATCGAGTGAAGGGATCTCCGGTGTATGATTCACTGCAAGCACAGAATGGACTATGATTTCGGATTACACAAGTAGCGAACGTGCCACAAGATGCTGGACACGGATTCTCGCATTTCCGATTGACACACGCGCGATCTTGAGGACACTCTGAGTTCACAGTACACTCAGGACGACACATGGGTGGTGCACCAGTGAATTCTGGGAGACAAGAGCACACCCCCTGACCATTTACTACGCGACATTGACTATTTGGTCCACAAGGTGAAGGGTTGCACGGATCCTTGTATATATCATCTTCTATAAGATTTCAATTTAAAATTAAGTAAAAATTTTGTGCAACTTTTAAAAATACATGAACTGAGATTTTTCCATCTAATTGCAATTGCATATGAAAATTTCTTCGTACCTATTTCACGCATCAAGGTGCAGTATTGGAATGGATTTCCACTGTAACCTTGAATACACGTGCAAGCAGGACGATGATTTATAACCCTGCACTCTGCGTTTGTGCCGCAGGTTCCTGGACAGGGATCTTGGCATTTGGAGCGAATGCAACTTAATGCTGATGGACAGTCTGTGTCAATGACACATTCAGGGCGACATCCTTCGTAGGGGTTGCCAATATAATCGGGCGAACATATGCACGAACCTACGCCGTTTTGTTCTTTGCATATCGCGTTGAAACCACACGGCGATGGGGTGCACGGAGAAATATTCACTGGGACAGCTAAAACGTTTTAAAAAATAATTCAACATCCTGAAGATACCGTATGTTGGATTAAATCTGAAGAAAACTGCGGAAAGAAAGTTCTTGATTCTTACGTGGTCGAGGTGTACATTGCGTGAAGGGATCGCCAGTATAATCATTAGGGCAAACACACATAGGTGTATGACTGACGACACGACATTCGGCGTTAGCTCCACAAGATCCTGGACACGGGTCTCTGCATTTTTGATTCACACAGGCCAATTGACTGGGACATTCACTGTTACTGACACATTCAGGTCTGCAGTTGGGTGGAGCACCTATGAATTCTGGTGAACAAGAACAAGAGGGTGCGTCGTTGACGACTCTACATTGAGAATTGGGTCCGCACGGAGAGGGTTCGCATGGGTTTCGTGGCATTACGGGCTCTGGTGCTAAAAATATATGAGTTATATTTCATTAAATTTGTTAAAAAAATCAGAAGGCTTTTTGAAGAAATCAAATGACAGGAATCGATCTTACGTCGTGGAATACATTGAACAAACGGATCACCAGTAAGGTCCGATGGACAATTGCATATGGGATTGTGATTAACGACGTTGCAGAGAGCTCTGAATCCACACGAACCAGGACAAGGATTTACGCATTTTTGGTTACTGCAAGCTTCTGAGAGGGGGCAATCAGTACTGACTATACATTCTGGCCTGCAAGTCGGTGGTGCACCCAGATATCCTGCCACGCAGGAACAAACTGGCTGTCCATTGATCTCTCGACATATACTGTTTGGTCCACATGGCGAAGGTGAACAGGAATTCTCGTTTACGGTATCTGTTGTTATCAAAATATGAAATAGACAATCACAGAAGTATTAGAGTAGAATCAAATATAAGAAGCCCTTCTAATTGTACCTTGGAGCGTAGTACACTGCACAAATGCATTTCCAACCATACCGTTGGGACAACTACACATGGGCACGTGATTGTATACTAGACATTCTGCATTTACACCACATATACCAGGGCAAGGATCGATACACTTATTTCGCAGACAAGCCCTATTTTGAGAGCAATCGGTGTTCAGTACGCACTCTGGACGACAACCAACATAAGGATCTCCCTGATATTCTGGTAAACATGTGCAAATTCCACTGTCGCAACGTGCATTAGGGCCACAAGGTGATGATGCACATGGATCAACTATTGTTGGTTCAACTGTAAAGGAAATATAGGCCCTCAGTATTTAAAAAATTAATCAAAAGTACTGCTTTTCCTGAAATTTTCTTACTTGGAGCAGGATTGCAACTGTTAAAAGGATCTCCAGTGTATCCGTCCAAACAGGAACATATAGGGACATGGTTCAACACCATACATTGTGCATTAAAACCGCAAGAACCTGGACAAGGATCTCTGCATTTTTGTCTCATACAGGCTTGATTAGGAGAACAGTCAGAGTTCACTGTACACTCTGGACGACAATTTGGTGGACTTCCAACGTAAGAAGGTAGACATTGACAGGATGGACCACCATTAATTACGCGACATTCAGAATTCTGACCACAAGGGGAGGGCAAACAGGGTTGTGAAACTTCAACTGCTGTAGGTGGTGAGGCTTCTAAAAAGGCAATTATAATATCAGAAATCAACTTAGCTTCGAAAGTAGTATAAATTAAGTTTGAACTGTTCTGAAATATCTTACGTAGAACGGGGAAACATCTAGTGAAAGGATCTCCGGTGTATGATTCCCTGCATGCACAAATTGGGCTATGATTTCTTGTCGCACAAGTGGCGAACGTGCCACAAGAAGCTGGACACGGATTCACACATTTCCGATTGACACACGCGCGATCTTGAGAACACTCTGAGTTCACAGTACATTCAGGACGACATATAGGAGGAGCGCCAGTGAATTCTGGCAGACAGGAGCAAACTCCTTGACCATTTACTACGCGACATTGACTATTTGGTCCACAAGGTGAAGGGTTGCACGGATCCTTGTATATATCATCTTCTATAAGATTTCAATTTAAAATTAAGTAAAAATTTTGTGCAACTTTTAAAAATACATGAACTGAGATTTTTCCATCTAATTGCAATTGCATGTGAAAATTTCTTCGTACCTATTTCACGCATCAAGGTGCAGTATTGGAATGGATTTCCACTGTAACCTTGAATACACGTGCAAGCAGGACGATGATTGATAACCCTGCACTCTGCGTTTGTGCCGCAGGTTCCTGGACAGGGATCTTGGCATTTAGAGCGAATGCAACTTAATGCTGATGGACAGTCTGTGTCAATGACACATTCAGGGCGGCATCCTTCGTAGGGGTTGCCAATATAATCGGGCGAACATATGCACGAACCTACGCCGTTTTGTTCTTTGCATATCGCGTTGAAACCACACGGCGATGGGGTGCACGGAGAAATATTGAATGGGACAGCTAAAAAGTTGTAAAATGTTATTTGTATGATTCTAAAAGAATTGTTAACCATAATAAAATAAATCACGAAAAGCAAGATATAATAAAACTTTTGGCAACGAGAAGTCAATTAAAAAATAAGACATATAATATTTAAACTAAAAAATGAATTATTCGCTAGAAAAATATACAAAATTAAAGACCAGGATTCAGGTCATAAAGGGTAAACAATAATAATGTGGTAATGAATAAAAATTGGGATTCTTACGTGGCCTGGGTGTGCATTCAGTAAAGGGATCTCCTGTATAATCGCTAGGACAGACGCACATAGGTGTATGACTGACAACTCGACATTCAGCATTAGCTCCGCAAGATCCAGGACAAGGATCTCTACATTTCTGATTCGTACAAGCCATATTGCTTGGACATTCGCTATTACTGACACACTCTGGTCTACAATTTGGCGGAGCGCCTATGAATTCCGGTGAACAAGAACAAGAGGGAGCATCGTTGACGACTCTACACTCTGAATTAGGCCCACATGGGGATGGTTCGCATGGGTTTTGTGGTACTTGTGGCTGAGGTGCTAAAAATGCAAGTGTCTGTTATCTTTCTGTTTTATCTTACAAAGATATTATTAAAGAATCACATTTCGAAAGACAAGTCTTACGTCGTGGAATACACTGAACAAATGGATCACCAATGAGGCCTGACGAACAGCTGCATATAGGATTGTGATTGACAACGTTACAGGTGGCTCTAAATCCACAGGAACCAGGACAGGGGTTAATACATTTCTGATTACTACAGGCTTCTGATAAAGGACAGTCAGAACTGACTGTGCACTCTGGTCTACAAGTTGGCGGTGCACCTAGAAATCCTGACACGCAGGAGCAAACTGGTTGTTCATTGATTTCTCGACAAACACTGTTTGGTCCACATGGCGTAGGCGAACAGGGATTCCTCTTTACGGTATCTATCAATATCACAGTGTCGTAGATATTCAGAGATGTACAGTATGATAAATCAGTTGGATATTACAAATATTAATTATAACATGGCAAATTAGTGTAATATTGTCTAATCTATTGTGGCCATTTACGATCTAATGATATGAATTGAGGGTAGCAAAGTAAATTCCATTGGAGTAGTACCTTGAAGGACAGTGCATTGAACAAATGCATTTCCAACCATTCCACTGGGACAGCTGCACATGGGTACATGATTAAATACCAGACACTGGGCATTTCGACCGCATGTACCAGGACAGGGATCGACACACTTGTTCCTTAAACAAGCTCTGTTTTGCGAACAATCTGTGTTCAGCACACACTCTGGTCGACAAGCAACGTAAGGATCTCCCTGATACTCTGGCAAACATGTACAAATTCCATCGTCGCAGCGTGCATTAGGTCCGCAAGGTGACGACGCACAGGGATCAACTATAGTTGGTTCAGCTGTTGAAGGAAGAACGTTGCTCGTATTTCTTACAAACCATTCGCGAATTCCATTTCTTATTTTCTCGTCAGTTTTTTTCTTACTTGGTCTAACGGGTGCAGGATAGCAATTGCTGAAAGGGTCTCCAGTGTATCCTTCGGGACAGGTGCACACTGGCACGTGGTTGTAAACCGTGCACAGGGACGTGACACCGCAGGATCCTTGACAAGGATCTCTGCATCTTTCGTTTGAACAGGCAAGATTCATGGGACAGTCTGAGTTCACTCGACATTCTGGTCGACAGGTTGGTGGGGATCCGATGTATCTCGGCAGACAGGAACAAGATGCTGTACCACCGATGTTCCTGCATTCTCCGTACATGCCGCAAGGTGATGGCACACACGGGTCTTTGGGCACGAGGTCAGTGTCTTTCTGGGGCGATTCTAAAATTGTTTTTGTTACATTATGTCTGATGAACTGTGATAGAAGCAATTCGATTTGTTAGGATGAGTCAAGGTTTTTATGATGCTTTTGGAGGCTGAATATTCAATGCACTGGAATGGTTATGCATAATCGAAGGCTAGAAAATATTTTAAATATTGAAAGAGATTGTACGATCGAACGATGAATATTTGAATCACTGTCAAATATTTTGAAGATTGGATAAATAAATATAAATATTTGAGTAAAATAGATTATGCATAATCGAAAGTTACAGAATATTTTGAATTCTGGGTATTAATTAAGGAGTTAATGCATAATCAAAAGTTGTGTGGTAATATGAATGACGAAGCTTGATGAAGTGACTGCAGAATATTTTAAATTCTGAATATTGGATGAAGTAGATGCGTAATCAAAAGTTGTATGTTGAACATTTGACAAAGCAGATTATGCACGATATAAATTCGAAGCTGATGAATTTGTTACGATAAAACTATCCTCAAATCGTGGACTAATGAGTTAGAGAACTTGAATGAAACTATGCTAAACCAAGCCACTATGTAATAGAAGCCATGAATGTTTGAAATCTAAATGAAAACAGCTTACGTATACTTTCGTACACTTTCGTTAAAATCTAATGAAATTGAATTCATTATCAACTAAAATCTTGACTTTTAAATGAGGAGTTAGAACTGATTCAATGAAGCAAATATCAAGAGAAACATTCTTACGTGGAGCAGGGAAGCATTTCGTAAATGGATCACCGGTGTATCCAATATTACAGATGCATATGGGGCTGTGATTGATCACTTTGCATTGCGTGTTGATGCCACACGAGTTCACGCACGGGGACTCGCATTTCTGATTAATACATGCAAGTTCCCTCGAGCATTCGGCGTTTACCACGCACTCGGGTCGACAGGTTGGTGGGGTTCCAATGAAATTCGCCAGACAGGTGCACACAGCATGGTCGTTCACGTTTCGACATTGACTATTTGGTCCGCATGGTGACGGACTACAAGGGTCTGACTCTACCAGTGTTGCTGTGTGAGGGAAAATTGCATTAAACAGTCTAAATTACGAACATTTCCAGATTGATTGCTGTTTAAACTACTTGCGCGACGAATTTATAACGATATTCAACGATAATTTTCTGTTAAAAGTCGAAGGAAAATGAAGAGAATTGAAATTGAATTTTCATTGTATGCTAGAATTTTACGCTTCATGACAATTGCTTTTGCAAATGAATGAGATTAAAGAAAAATTTGTAATGGAGAAACATAAGAACCTTGAGGAATATTTACGCATTTTTCTTTGCGTGAAGTACAACTGTCACTTTATAGAAAAATACATAAATATCCCTCGAGACTGTATAATAAAAACCTTGTGCTAAATTTTCTTTTAATTTCATCCTTTGATAAGAAGACAAAATAGAAGGTTATTATTGTGCTAGTCTCATCATTGTTATTCCTTCTACTTAAATGTAAAAGTTTCAATCCTACATTTCTATTTCTATCTAATTTGATATCAAGCGTCTTTGGATGCAAAACGTGAGAGAAAACGAAATCTTACGAGCAACAGAGATCGGGGAGCAATACGTGAACGAATTTCCTGTGTATCCAGGATTACAAGAACACACAGGTATATGATTAATCGTTTCGCAACGGGCTTGCAATCCACAGGTTCCTGGACAAGGATCTCTGCACTTGAGGTTTATACAGGCCATCGTCTTGGAGCAATCGGGGTTTTGGGTACATTCGGGTCTGCATCCTTCGTATGGGTCACCAATGTAGTCTGGCAGACAGGAACAGGAACCGATGCCATTGTTCTCGCGACAGATCGCGTTGATACCACAAGGGGATGGCTCGCATGGTTTCCTAATGTCTAAGGGTGTATCTAATCGAAAAGAGAAACACTTTCTTTTTACATTTCTAATCTAATATCATGCGGTTGATCGAAGCTTGGTGCAGTAATATGAATACTCGTCGGATTTCCGTGAGGTTTGAATAAATGAATGATCGGGGGATAAGCAGAAGCTCTTTTAAATTCCTCAACTTGATTAAGAATTAATTTAACCAATTTCTAAGCTTAATTTTTCAATTCTCGAAGAATTTAATTTGAGAATTGTTCCTTTAAGAAATGACTCTTAGATTAGGAATTCTTAAATTAAGAATTTCACTCAATTAAGAATTAATTCTCTGAGAAAGTTCTTAAATCAAGAATTCTTCATCAAATTAAGAATTTTTAATATAAAAATTGATTCTTCAGGAAGGAATTCTTAAATTGAAAGTTCTTCGAGAATATAAAAATGAAATTTAAGAAAATTTTTCATTCTTAAAACGCTTGCTCGTGAACAACCCTTTAACAATAAGGTTCACTCTTCAATTCCTATTTTCGCTGTAGCATTGAGTGTTAGGGTGATATTGGGTTGTGAGGCGTGTCCTTCAGGGCCACTATCTTCTAAACACTTATTTAGCATTTTTAGGGTTCATTAAGGTTTTCAGTCTTCGTTAGGGAATTAATTCTTGTGGGGTACTTTTTAATAAGCATGTCTCCAGGGTCAATTTCCATCTTTAGTCAGGCGTGTAAGCTCGTATCACTTTCCTAGGGGTTAATATCTTTGTATCCAGAGTAACAAGGGTATTTCGTACATGTGGGATTAAGTGTTCCGAAGTACATTTTCAACGCAGGAGGGTTTCAACTTCCAGTTTCAAAGCAATATACTTGGATCGGGAATGGTCTATGCGTGCAATATCCTGCCTATTCGAGGGGATAAATTGGTTATCGGGTGTCACTCAGGGTCAGTATAATTAGAGCCTATACTCTATAGGCCCCGCCACCATATCAATCTCCTAACGTGGTTATTATACTTTGTTTATGGTTACTTTCTTAATCGTATGTATGCGTGGGGTTTTCGAAGCCGTGCTCAACTTCGTCGGATTCGTTAATCGCAGATGATATTATGCAATTATCGATTATTTTCGTTCTAAGTGCATGATAATTCGTGGCCCCGTCACCATCGTGACAATTTGTCACCGAATTTGTTAGGGCCTCTTCTTTCTCAATGACGTAAATATGAATGTTTGTTAGCAGACAATATGATTATCATCGTCAGACTGCGAATATTTATGGAAATTCATATTCTTATGAATATGATATCAGCTATTAATCTGAATTATTTGTTCTCTGTTATATTATCATTCGAATCTCGCGGGACAAAATTAAAAAAAAAGGAAATGACAGATAGAAGCTACTATATAAATATAAGTTATAAAAATATTTGTTTCACATGTTTTAATAGAGTGGAAAAATATATTTGTTATTTCTTAATTGATCAAATTTAGACGTGCTTGCTGACCAAAAAAAGATGATGTAATTAGAATAATGTAATTAATAATCTCCCATTTTTAATCAACAAACACAATTACCTTCAGACTTTTTCGTTAGTGAGAAAAATGCTTCAAATGTTAAGTTTCGATTTCCCCATAACGAATAATTCTAAAGATAATTGCAGATTAAAATGGGATATCCTGTGTAATAAATTTAATAAAAATTATAGAAAAATATATTTTTCGTCAGCATAAAAATCTCGAAAATGAATCCTGCATAAATCGAAGGATTGATGTAATTAAAAAGAAATGAATTTTAAATAGAAAATTATTTATATATTCAATACTTCATGCATTTCTGCATATCCTGTTAACTTTATGTATTTTTGCACATTCTCAAATTTTCCACAAATTCATAAAAATCCGCAGTCGAATTATTACGAAAGTTATAAATCAGCACTTACCTGCACTTATTCGCCCGCATGCGAGTGGCGAAAGTTTTTGCAAATAGGAGAAAGAGAAGGAGAGAAATAAGAAATTGTTCTTTGCAGACTCACCCTTGACGATCACCTCGCAAACGCTGAACGGATTTCCGTTGTAACCATCGACACAAGCACACACTGCTTGATGATTCACCACCGAACACTGTGCGTTCAAACCGCACAGGCCGACACACGGATCGCGACACTTTTGTTGCATGCACGCCAAATGTGGCGGACACTCGGGATTAATTGTACACTGGGGCCTGCAATTTGGCGGAACACCGATGTAATTCTCGATGCACGAACACGCTGCACTGTCACCACGCACTTGACACTCCGCGTTCGGACCGCACGGGGATGGTTGACACGGATTCGTTGATATTGGTGGTTGCTCTGAAATTAAACGAAATGATATTTAGAAATGTGTAAGTGAATAAATAGTACTAGAGTCTGTTGGAATAATAATTTTATCGTCATGTTGTTATATATAGGTATTATTATACGTGTTATTTATAGAAAATAAAATATACTTGAGAAGTCATCATAAATGAGTAAATAGAAAATGAGAGAACTTACTGGGCATGATGTAACATCTAGTGAAAGGATCTCCAGTGTATCCCTCCGAGCAACTGCATATTGGATTATGATTGACCACTTGACATTTGGTGTTCTGGCCACAAGTTCCTGGACAAGGATCTTGACACTTGTTCGCGAGACACGCTTGAGTCAAAGGACACTCTGCGCTCACTACACACTCTGGTCTGCATGTAGGAGGACCACTAATAAAACCAGTTTGACAAGAACAGACTGCGTGATCATTCACTACTTTGCAAATGCTGTTTGGACCACATGGTGACGGTGTACATGGTTGTCTTCTTGGCTCTGGAGAATTAATGAAGATTTGACTTATACGATCTTTATCTACCTAACGATATATAATTAATAGATACAATCCAAACTGATTGAAGATCTTCCAATTAGATTATTGTATAAACATACAAAATTATTTAGTAGACTTTAGTAACTGAAACTTCTATTAAATAATATTTATGAAATATTAAATTAATATATAAAAATATTAAATATTAATATATTAAAAAATAAGTTAAAAGATAAATATATGTGAAGGTTATATATGTATAAAAAAAAGTATTAAAAAATACATACCTTCAGATACTTGTGGTCGACATAGTGTGAATGGATCTCCAGTGGTACCAGGAAGACAGCTGCACATAGGAATGTGATTAACAACGTCGCATTTTGCATTAGTTCCACACGTGCCAGTACAAGGATCCACACAAAATTGATTGACACAAGCCTTCACTCGAGAGCAGTCTGAGTTCATAGTGCACTCTGGACGACAATACGAATACGGATCGCCGAAGTAGTTTGGAAGACACGTGCAAATTCCCTCTTTGCAATCTGCGTTTGGTCCACAGGGAGATGGATTGCATAGATCTTCTGGCTTTTTTTGTTCTGTAAAATAAATAATAATACAAATGTGAATTCTATCATTTAATTGATAAACAAAAATGAAGATCACAAAATGAAACGTAATAAGATTCGTAGGTTTAAAGATGTATGATAATTATGAAGAGATAATTAAAAAAGAATCTCGGTGAAAAATTGTTTTACGTAGCAAACATTATAGAAAACACTTTGACTATTTTACATATTTTTGCGTAAAAATACACAATCTAATAATAATCAATTTTAAAATCCAAAATAATTTCAAATTACGAAGCTCATTATATGAATTTAACATTTCAGTTGATTGTAGAAATATATTAAATATTTTTGCAATGTTTGGAACATTCAAAAAATTATTTAATACTTTACTTAATGTAATAAATACCTATTATCTGTGAGCACAGAGTGAAGGGATCACCGGTGTATCCAGGTTGACATAGACAGACAGGAATATGATTCTGTACTCTGCAATCTGCATTTTGTCCGCATGATCCGATGCAAGGATCCCTGCATTTCTCTGAGATGCAAGCTTGATTCGAAGGACAATCTGTATTAACGACGCACTCTGGTCGACAGTTTGGTGGTAATCCTATGTAGTTCTTGAGACAGGAACAAGCAGCTTGATCGCCAATTGCTCTGCATTCTGCGTAGAGTCCGCATGGACTTGGACTGCAAGGATCACCCACTGGTGGTGGTGGTGTGACTGGAAGAAAAATAACAATTTTAAATGTTTTCCTTTTTTTTCGAAAAAGCGTAACATTATGTGAAAGCAAGTATCCTCTTTTTAAAAATGAAAAGAAAAATTTAAATAGATTAAAAAAAATAAGTAAATATTTTATTGTTAATAATAATGTATTAATAATTTTATTCAGACCTTTCATCCAGACAGTATGTTTTAATTTTTGAAAGTACGAGTCTCTTATAGTTTAATTTCTCGCAATATACAGTAATTTTGAATTAGAAATTACTCGAGTTATTTTTTATTTTTTTATTCAAAAATTTAATAAGATATACGTGTAAGACTATCTTGTGTTTATTTATCATTAGCAAATTTTTATCCAAAATTTTATCAATCGTATAATGATTATTCAAAGTACTCACTTGTCTGAGGATAGCATCTGGAGAAAGGATCTCCCGTAGTACCCTGGGGACAGCTGCACAGCGGATTATGATTAATTACGCGGCAATTAGCTCCCACGCCACACGTTCCTGGGCAAGGATCGTTACATTTATATTTGTAACACGCTCTATTTTGAGGACACTCAGAATTCACGACACACTCGGGCTTGCAATTAGGTGGAGAACCAACGAATGACTCCTGACAAGTGCACACAGCTTGATCTTTCACTGCTCTGCACAAACTATTAGGTCCACAGGGCGAAGGACTACATGGATCAATTACTGTAGGCTCGGTTTCTCGACTGATTGGTAAATTGCAAATGCTGAAAGGATCTCCTACATAGCCTGGTTGACAAGTGCAAGTAGGAATGTGATTGATGACGGAACACTGAGCCTGGATACCACATATTCCTGGACACGGATCTTCACATTTGTTTTGAACGCAGGCTTTGTTCGTTGGACAATCTGAACTAAGAATGCATTCTGGTTGACAGCCTTCGTAGGGATTTCCTTGGTAATCGTCGATGCAGATACACGCGCCGACATTATCACGTTGTTGACAGATCGCGTTTGGACCGCAAGGCGATGGCTCGCATGGGTTAATTGGTTCCTCTGCAATTGGAGGTGCGAAATACATTGTTTAAAAATTTATATTTTACTATAATATAATAAATTGCAGATTAGTTGACTTTTACATGTTGTCAAAGAGCAATAATAACTATTGTACTAATGTTAATAAATAATTTATTCGAATTTAAATAAAATTTATTTAAAGGAGCTATTGCCGAAAGTAATAAAAAGAACTCACGAAGCTACCTAACAATTAAAGAAGTAGTTAAAAGAAATAAAATTAAGTTAATAAAATAATGAATTAATTAAAGAAACTTACGTTCTACTTCGACACATTGGACGAAAGGATTCCCTGTGTAATCAGGTGGACAGGAGCAAGTGACAGCGTGATTCACTACCAAACATCTGGCATTCTCCGCACAGGATCCTGGACAAGGATCCGTGCATTTTGAATTTACGCAAGCTTTGTCTGATGGACAATCAGGATTTATAAGACACTCCGGACGACAAGATGGTGGGATTCCGACATAAGTTGGAAGACAAGAACAGGATGGATAACCATTCACGTTTTGACATTGAGCATTTGGGCCGCATGGTGATGGATTGCAAGGATCTCCCGTGTCTTTCACATCTGGTAAAACTACAAAAATACATTGGAATTAATGTAATCAACGTCAAAATTTCTCAGCATTTCTTAATTTTAATTTTTAAATAAAGTTTTTAACATGCTATTGAATTTTGATAATGATTGTTACGAGAAAGAAGTTCAAAAGCCTGGTGACTTCTTACAATATCTTATACATTTGCGGTAATTAATTGAAAATTTCTTACTTGGAATATCGTAGCAGCTCTTGAATGGATCTCCAGTCTGTCCAGGAAGACAACTGCAGATCGGTGAGTGATTGATCACTTCACATCTAGCATTCAAACCACAAGAACCCAAGCAAGGATCCGTGCACTTCTTGTTCACGCAAGCACGAGTCGGAGGACATTCTGAACTGACCACACATTCTGGTCTGCACGAAGGTGGCGATCCAAGGTATCCTTGAAGACAAGAACACACTGCATGGTCCTCGATGTTGCGACACTGGCTGTTTGGTCCACATGGTGAAACGGGCAAGCAAGGATCCTTCTTTGCTTCTGGAACTGAAAACGGGTTTCATAATTTTTTGAATATTATTAGAAAATGTATCTTATTTAAAGATTTAAAGTTTGTGAAATCTAAAAATTCGAAGACCCAAAACTTTAAAAAGTCTCAGAATTGAAGAAACTTAATAATAATCCTATTACATGAATTATTTATCTTTCGACTAATTCAAATAAATAAAATTTTATTACATTTACCTTGAGGCTGAATACGACAACTAACGAACGGATCCCCGATATATCCAGGTATGCAAGAACACACAGGAATGTGATTCACGACATCGCATACTGCATTTTGACCGCACGTCCCAGGGCAAGGATCTTTGCATTTATTCTTCAGGCAGGTCTTATCGCGTGGACATTCCGAATTGAGGATACATTCTGGTCGACAAGCTTCGTATGGATTGCCAATGTATTCCGGTAAACACTCGCAATCTCCATTTTTACATATAGCATTCGGTCCACAAGGCGATGGACTGCATAGATCACTTATAGCTGGTACAGTTACTAAGAAAAAAAAAGAAATATATTTGTATTATAACAAGTTTGATTATAAATTATTTAACTGAAATGAAATTTTCGTATTTCCTAATAAATTTGAAAATTATAGGCTATTTAATTAAAATGAAGAATTTTCGTATTTTATAAAAGAAAAAAAAAACGTAAAGATCATTTAATTTAAAAAATAAAATATCTTCTTACCTGGTGAAGTTACTCTGCACTGTGTAAATGGATCACCAGTGAAACCATCCATGCAAGTGCAAACAGGAATGTGATTCAATACATGACACTGAGCATTAACGCCACAGGAGCCTGGACAAGGATCTTGACATTTTTGGTTCACACAAGCAAGATGACTCTTGCATTCGGAGCTTAGAATGCACTCTGGTCTGCATTCTGGAGGAACACCGATGTAATTTGGCAAACAGGAGCACGCTGGACTGCCTGATATGATCTGGCACAGGGAATTTGGTCCACAAGGAGATGGAGTGCACGATGGTGGTCGTTCCGTGATCGATGGAACGTCTTGAGCTAATAGATAAATAAATAACGTGTTAAATATTTTCAATTTTTTTTTTGTTTCGTTGTGAAATTTAAGAATCCGACGACTTGAAAATTTAGAAGTCGAGAGATTCGAAATTGAAAAATTTAAGAACTTGAAAATTGAAACATTCGGAAATTAAAATATTTGAAAATATTTACTGACAAATCTAAAAATTCGAAGGTTTAATAATTCGGAAAAAGGTTGGAGAATTCGAAAATTTTAAAGTTTAGAATTGGAAAATTCAAAGATCTAGAAACTTCAACATTTAAAAGATTAAAGAATAATCTAAATATTATTTGAAACATACAATTTACAGAATTTTCTATGAAAGGTACATATTTATTAAATACTTACCAGGCGAGCACTGAGAAAAAGGATCCCCCGTAAACCCAACAGGACAAGTGCAAATCGGATTATGATTCTTGGTATTACATAATGCTCTTAATCCACAGGTGTTTGGACATGGATCCGCGCACTTTCTATTTAAACAAGCCAAATGAGGCGGACATTCAGCATTGACTACACAGGTTGGTCTACAATTCGGTGGAATTCCCCTGTATTCCGGAAGACACGTGCAAACTGCTTGACCATTCACCTCGCGACATTTACTATTAGGTCCGCATGGTGATGGTGAACATGGATCTGATGGTGGTACTCCTAAAAATGAAAATAAATGAAATAAAATATTTATTTAATATTTTATTTAATAAAATGTAATATTTTATCTAATAAAAGATTATCTATTTCAATTTTAGGCAAATTCAATGAAAACTATTATCTAAAAGGAATCAAACATACAGCCTTTGACTGTACTAAATGTGAGATAAATGATAAATAAATTGAAAAAACTTACTCGTCATTTCTTTAATTTCGCAAGCAAAGTATGGATCTCCCGTATATCCTGGAGGACAAGTACATACTGGAACATGCTCTTGAACATTACAGATAGATAGTGTACCACAAGTGCTTGGACAAGGATCAGAACACTTGAAACCAACGCAAGCCAATTGCGGAGCACAGTCATTGTTCGATTCACATTCTCTGTGACATCCTTTTACGTTGTCATAAGGATCTCCGATGAGATCTGGTGGGCATGCACAAGCTCCTGCGCCGTTTCTCTCGCGACACTGAGCATTCGGACCGCATGGATTTGGCGAACACGGATTTGTTATGCTTATGTCTGTTGCTAAATAGAATAAAGATTAATTATGATAGAATAAAAATTTGAATATTTTTAAGAATTCAAATTAATCGGATAAAATTTGAGAATTCGAAATTTATAGATTTAAAAAAATTGAAAAATCGTAAACTGAAGAGTTTAAGGGTTCGAAACTTTAAAAATTTGAAAATTTGATTGTTAGAAAATTAAAAAAAATATGAATACTCAAAGGCTCGAAAATTAAGAAAGGCTTGAAAATTGAAAGGCTTAAAAATCTAAAAGCTTGGAAATTTTGAAGATTCGCGAATTTAAGAACTCTGAAAATTGACAAGCTTCTAAAAGAAACCTAAAATTTAGCTTAAAACAAACAGAAACTTACTCGGCGGCGGTGCCAGAATACATCGAACAGTGGCGTCACCTTCGTATCCTTCGGGACAAGTGCAAATAGGCACGTGACTCTGTACAGTGCATCTAGCCAATTCTCCACAGGCTCCAGGACAAGGATTTTTACACCTCTGATTAATACACGCGGCCGAGTGGAAACAATCTGAATTATCAACGCACTCTGGCCTGCAATTCGGCGGACGTCCGATAAAATTCGACAAACAAGAGCACGCGGGTTGAGATCCGATAACTCTGCACTGAGAATTCGGCCCACACGGATTTGGGGAACACGGATTTCCAGATTGGGACACGTTGAATTTAGTACACTGGACCAATGGATTTCCAGTGTATCCAGTTGTGCAAGTGCAAATTGGGTTGTGATTCACTGTCAAACATTTGGTGTTCAGTCCGCAAGAACCTGGACAAGGATCTGCGCACTTGTTCTCGATACACGCTTTATTCTGAGAACATTCTGAACTCACTGTGCACTCTGGACGACAAGTTGGAGGCACGCCGACGAATCCCAGTTGACAAAGGCACACAGCGTGCCCATTGTGAACGCGACAGTTGCTGTTCGGCCCACAAGGCGATGGCTCGCAAGGATTTACCAGTTCTGGTTCTCGTAGCGTTTCTGTCAGTGTACAAGCGTTGAAAGGATCCCCGGTGTAACCAGGAAGACAGGAACAAGATGGAGCGTGGTTGATTACGCGGCAAGTTGCTCCTTGACCACAAGTGCCTGGACACGGGTTCACGCACTTGTTGTTTAGACAGGCTTTGCTACGATCACAATCGGTGTTTGTCACGCATTCTGGTCGACATCCTGTGTAGGGATCGCCTATGTATTCTGGAAGACAGGTGCACGAGCCTACGCCGTTTCGCTCGTTACAGATGGCATTCGCTCCACATGGAGATGGGTTGCATGGTGTGCGTGGTTGTTCCGTGGTTGTGGGTACTGAGGATTTCGAAAGTTTAGCATCTCGAAAATTTGAAAATTGAGATACATAAAAGCTTGAGATTCTGGGAATCAAAGATTTCCAAACGTGGAAAATTTAACAATTTTGCGACTTGACAGTTTGAACCTTTAAAGATCAAAAAATTTGGAAGCTTCGAGAAACGATCAAAAATTTGAAATTTTAAGAATGTAAAGATTTGAAAATTCAGAAATGTAAGAACTAGAAACTTAAAAATATAAAAAAAGAAGTGACTTTTAAATTAATTATATACCTTCCACAATGGGTACGCATTCTGTGAATGGATTTCCAGTGTATCCAGTGTTGCAAATGCAGACTGGATTGTGTTTGACAACGTTACAGAAAGTGTTCACACCACACGAGCCAGGACAAGGATCGACGCACTGTTCGTTCTGACATGCAAGATTTCCAGGACATCCTTCGTTGATGACACACTCTGGTCGACAATTTGGAGCTCTGCCTACATAATTCGGCAAACAGGAACACGCTGGGAATCCATCAATCACACGACACTGAGAATTTGGTCCACAAGGTGATGGAATGCATGGATTTCCGCTTGGTTCTGGTCCCGGCTGTTTAGGTTCCGCTGTAAAAATTATTTAAACATTCTAAAATCATGAATACCAAAAATATAATTGTAGAGAAATATATGTATATCTGACACGAAATAAAAATAAAATAATAAATTAATAATAATAAAATAATAAAAATCTTACCTTCTTTAACGCATCCAAAGAATGGATCTCCAGTGTATCCAGACATGCAGCTGCACACAGGATTATGGTTGATAACCTGACAATCAGCATTCTGTCCACAAGTGCCTGGACAAGGATCTCTGCACTTCTGATCGATGCAAGCCATATTCTGAGTGCAATCTGTGCTGACTACACATTCTGGTCTGCACTGTGGAGGACTACCGACATAATCTGGTTGACAGGAACAAACTGCATGATTGTCGATCACGCGACAATTACTATACGGTCCGCAGGGTGATGGTTGGCATGGATCACCTGGCAGTGATGTCACTAGGACGAGATAATATTATTTTAATCAATAATAAAGAAATAGCATGAATTAAGAATTTGATTCTTTAACCCAAATATTTTATTATGAAAGTATAAAAAAGATAATATGAAAGAGACAATTTAAAAAATAATTATTATTTCTTTATTAGAGTAAGAAGAAAATTTTCAAATTTTGAAGCTTTTGTATTTCTAATACCATAAAAAAAAATGTATCATGACATGATATGAAATTTATAACACTTTGAGATTTCTTTGAGATTAATATTTACCAGGCAGTATATGACAGGATTTCAATGGATCGCCAGTGTAGCCAGAAAGACAGCTACACGATGGTTGATGATTGATCACTTGGCACTGAGCATTTATACCACAAGCACCCACGCATGGATCCTTGCATTTGTTGTTTATACAAGCTTTGCTAAGAACACAGTCGGAATTTTGAACACATTCTGGTCTACATCCTTGGTAAGGATCTCCAGTATAGTCGGGTAAACAGGTACACGAGCCAGCTCCGTTTCGTTCCTTGCAAACTGCATTTGCACCACACGGAGATGGATCGCATGGCAGTGGCACTGGGAAAATAACTGTAAAAAAACAACATCATTCGCGTGTTGTAATTTTAATTTAATTAAGATAAAGAAATAAGTTTTTAATACGAAACTGAAGTGCTAATCTCAGTTTTTAAAAAACACGAGCTTTTGTCAAATGAGAACATATTCGTATAATCGAGTTGTATCGTTGAAATTAAATATTATAATATTCTCTATTTTTCGTCATATTAGTCTTTATTTGGAATTGAACAATTCTCACCTTTGCTACATCCAGAGAATGGATCTCCTTCATAACCGTCGTTACATTGACACATAGGTCGATGATTCTGCACCGTGCAGTTAGTATTGAATCCACATGAACCAGCACACGGATCCACGCATTTCTTTTGAACACAAGCGAGATAATTTGGACAGTCTTGATGAATCAGACACTCCGGTCTGCAGAACGGTGGTGCTCCGAACATTCCGCTGATACACGTGCAAACTGGATGATCTTCCTGCACGCGACATTCGGCGTTCGGGCCACAAGGTGATGGTAGACAAGGATTCTTTGGTCCTGGCAGTGGTATGTCTGATAAAGAAAACGCGAGTAATTCATTAAAATAATTTACGATGTAATATAATTTATTAAAATTGATTTATGATGATAATATAATTTATTAAAATTATTATAATCGCTTAGAACACTTTCCAAGTTGAAAATTTGAGATTATTCATTCATTATAAATTCATATTTTTCATGAACAGAATTAAGAGACTTGTTTCACATGGCAAATTTTATTGCAATACTTTTACGACGGTATTTAATTATTTGCCTTCAGATCGTGTCAAGTTAAAGAGGAAAAAAATTGGAACCAACTGGAGAATTAAAAATTTTCAAAACTTAAATTACCTTCTTTGACGCATTGACTGAAGGGATCACCGAGATAATCCGGAGGACAGCTGCAAATTGGATTGTGACTGATAACCTGACACAAAGCGTTCTGTCCACAGAGACCAGGACAAGGATCTCCACATTTTTGACCAATACAAGCCAAATGTACAGGACACTCTGAGCTAACTAAACATTCTGGACGACAATTTGGAGATGTTCCATGATATCCTGGACTGCACGAACAAACTGCACGATCGTTCATCACTCGACAAATGCTATGCGGTCCGCAAGGTGATGGCATGCAAGGATTCTGAGATGGAAGAGCTACAAAAGGCAATTAAAATTGAATTTTAATATCCGTCTTAATGTCTTTAAATTTTCCATAAACACATAAAGCTACACAATAAAGATAATTGTGGAAATTGTTTTATATTTATAATTTTTCGATGAATAGAAATCTATATCACTATTTATCTATATAATCTACATATAATCTAAAATAATAAATAATTATTTATATTAAATTTAATATAAATAATTCCTATATTATATATATATATATTACAGAAATATATTTTATATTATAGAAATAAAAATGGAAATAGAAACAAACAACTTTTCGTGATTAATTAAATTTGCGAGCAATCATTTCTCTATTTCTGATTCAAACAACTACGAATAATACTTACGAGTGGTCTCCAATTTGCAAGAATCAAACGGATCTCCAGTATAGCCAGGTAAACAAGAACAAACCGGAACATGGTTAATTACTTCGCATTTTGCATTAGCACCACAAACACCTGGACAAGGATCTCTACAATGCTGATTGAAGCAGGCAAGATGATTGTCGCAATCTTGATTCACAATACATTCCGCCTCGCAACCGTCCATGTATGGATTTCCAACAAACGGTGGAATACACTTGCATTTTGGTATACCATGTTCTTCCACACAGACTGCGTTTTTTCCACAAGGTACCAGCACACATGGTGAGAGTACGTCTGGTGGAGACGCTGGAGACAAATAATAAAAATTATTATATCTCTGTAGATTCAATAGATTTCGTTACTTTATCTTTTAACTGTGCGTTTTGTAGATTCCATTATGTTCCTAGAATCTATAATTTCATAAAATTTCCAAAAAAAAAATGAAGTATTTATAATATTGTGATGAATTAGTGTTTAATCCTTAACAAATTAATCAGTCAATTTTTTAACTTTTACCTATAAAAATATATTTTATTTAACATTTTGTGAACTGAATGAGCCATTAAAAATTTAATAAATGCTTACCTGCGCAACTTTGATAAGGATTTCCAACAGTGTTCTTCGAACAGTAGCATGGAGGCACTCTATCCGAGTCACACTTAGCACCAAGTCCACAAGGATTAGGATTACACTGATCAGATTTAGGTACGCATCCTCTAATTGTATTTGGACTCTCGATGTACCCTGGCAAGCAAGTACATTTCGCAACGCCGTTCTTCAATACTGTACATTGAGTATTAGGCCCACATGGAGATGGTTCACAAGCGTTACTAGGTAGAGTGCAAGGTGAATTAGGTGGATTTCCTTCGTATCCTGGCAGACAGAAACATCTCACTTGTCCTGACAGCACTCGACATCCAGAATTAATGCCACATGGATTTTCTTGGCATTGATCACCCTCTGGTACTGAACAAAAAAATTTATTTTCAAACTGGAAGAAAACTATTATTTGAAATTATGGTAATTTACATATAAAAATCACAAAATACATGTTAACAACTTTTTAATTTTTTATTAATTATTAAATTATTATTAATAATTAACTTTTAATTTTATCACTTTCATACTTTGACTTCGAATGAATCTCCCATAGAATATTTTGATTTACAATAATTAATATATAAAATCTACCGACTAAATATTATATTATTATCCAATTATTATTATTTCTATTTTAATATTTCTAATTTCTTTGTACGTACTTTCATTTTCATTGAATCTCTATAAAAAGATCCTGATTTATGCAAAAACTAATCTATGCTCAAAATTTAATTATCTTGAATCTTTGAAAAATACTTACTGCATTGCTCGAAGGGATTTCCAGTCAATCCTTTCGGGCAGAAGCATACAGGATTGCCATTATCATTCTCGCACATGGCGTCCAATCCACAAGGATTTGGAACACAAGGATTGGTGCTCGTTAGCGTGCATTCAATGTGAGGATTTCCTTGGAATCCAGGCAAACATTTGCACTGAGCTTGATGGTTCTCTGGATAACAGTTGGCATTTGTACCACAGTCACTCTCCAAGCACGGGTCGATGCACTTTCGGTTAAGACGATCACAATACTTAGTCGGTGGACAGTCTTCATTGTATTGACATATGTTTCTACCTTCCTCTTCTGCAACGTCCAGTCCATGAATATTTAAAATATTTATTTTATATTTTCTAATACTCATGAAATAAAATATAAAATACATATCATTATTAGTCTGCAGATTTTTATGCATTTTTATGAACACAGTTAAAGAAATAAAGCATAGGTATAAATAGGTACTCTATGCATCTTCCATATTTCATATATTTTCTATAAATATATAAAAATCTGCAGTTTAATTTTTCACATTAACAGTAATATTTTATGAAATTTTTAAGACTTCCAGACTTTGTATAATTCAAAACTGTTTGTCGAGAATAATTATAAAATATAAAAACTATGTGAATCGTATTTGAATCTAATAATTCTGCAATATAACTAACGAATTACCTGGTTCACAGTAAGAGAATCCATTTCCGTAATAGCCATCCTCGCAGCTGCATTCCGCTTGATGATTGGTATTAACGCAGATCGCGTTTTTGGTGCAGGGATTCCAAACGAGGCAAGGTTCCTGACAAGTGCCCTCAATGCATGCCTCTGTCAGCGGACAATCTTTGTCGCTAGTGCAACCCGCTAGAGAAAGATTGAGAAAAAAGCCCGTATAGCCCCGAGAAAGAGTGCACGAGTATAAAAACAAAGGTGAAAGGCTCGTGTCGAGTGAATCAGCTTGTATGAAATACAGCGTAAATAATCTGTGTAAATATGCACGAAGAAGAATCGTGGTTGGTATAAAACAATCGTGTCGTTGAATGATTTTCAAAAGTTTCGAAAGTAAAAAGTTTGAAGAGATAGTATGTAATACTAGCAGATCTAATTGAAGTCTGATCTAATGGAAATTGTGGAAAATTGAAAGTTGAGTAATGAAAATGGCACGTGGTACGCACGTGCAATGTATATATATGTACAATACATATGTACATATGTACAGAACGATTCAAGTGAGCACTGTAAAAAGAAATCAAATGATGGAAGATGTTATACTCGTTCTCGTACGAACCTTTTACGCAAGTATACGTTGCTGGATTGCACTCTGTACCCGCTGGACAATAGGGACACTCTGTCTCGTTTACATCTAAGAAAATTGAAAAGAAAATAATTAAGAAAGATTTGCCTTTTTGAATAAAAATAAAGATGAACTATTAAAAATTTTTAGGCTGACAATTTTTGAAACGCCAAGTGATATTTTCTTAATTATAAATTTCAAGCATTTTGAAGATTTCAATTTTGGTAATTATTATTATTTATTGTTATCAAATCTAAAAATTTTCAAATTCTATGCATTTTACAATTAAATTTCTAAAATTTCTTAAATGTTGGGGAACATTATTTATTTGAGTATTAAATATCAGCTATAGAATATTAAGTATTAAATTATATATTAAGCATTACATATTAAATATTAAACATTAAAGTATTAAATGTTACTAACAATTACTAAGTGTCCTAGTTAAAAATATAAGATCTCAATTAGCAAAAATTTTTCAACATTGAATGATATTTTAAATTTTGCTGATTAAAAAATTAAATTCTTTTAAGAAATTAATTTCTGAACATTAAGAATGAATATTAAGTATCAAATATTAATTTTATTCTATATTGGAAATGTTGATTTCTATTTTATTTTCCCTATTAAGTGTAATCCAATTTTTTCTCAAATTAAATTTTTTTTTTGAATATTCTACCTTTCACGCAAACAGGTCTGTGATCTTGAACATGACAGACTTCCACGAAGTCGCAAGGATTGTGGACAGTGCACGGGTTCAGACACTGTTGACTTATGCAGGCCAATTGAGAGAGACAGTCATCGTGCGTTTTGCATTTGGTATCTAACGAAACGAACGTATATTAGAAGCTCAAAATAACTCATCCACGAACGTTCAAACTAAACTTTCCATATAAAAGATTATCATAATTTATTCATTCTTCGTATCTTATTCAATGACTTCTCTAAATAAAAAATTCTCTAAATAAAAAGTATATATAAAAGTATACACATATATCTAAACAAAAAAACTAACAAAACAATAAACAGAAAATAGTATACACAATCCTCTAATTTCTAAGACATATAGTGGTTTTCGTGTTATATGTGTAAAGCCCAGAAACAGTCGTTAGTTTTACCAATTTAATTTTAAAGGAAACGTTTCATTCAACATTTATTATTACTTAAAATTTATAATTCGGAATTGTACGAAAATCGTTTTAAATGAAAAATACTGTTCGAAAGTTTCCTTTAAATTTCCATGAACTCCACAAAAAAACAATACAATTAATTAATTACTACTAAGATAAGCGAGAAGAAAACGTGCAAGGGCGCAACACAATAACGTACAACATGCAAAAGAGCGCTAATGCAGCAGGTCCATGTCTGCAGTGGATTACAGCAATAAACTGTAATTATACTTATATTTATATAACATTGATTAAATGTTTTATTTTTCTATCGTTTCCACGAATAATCGTTCGATCATCATGTATCGTGATCGTCAGTCTATGATCTATCGATCAGAAAAAATTTAAAAAAAATATATATATAAAACTCTCCAGAATTGGTTGCCTCCAATTTTTATCTGGATACTCGGATGATATCACGCTGACGAATGATTTGTCGAGACATATAGATTGGTGAACACGAGAACAACACATTTACAACTCCCGACGAGAAAAATCTTTTACCTGGGAGTACGCTACAATTAGATGTACTCTGGTTCATTGTTAGGTTGAAGCACACGGGCCGACACGTGTCATTCAAACAGATTTTACATTCAGTACCATTGGTGATCGTTTGGTCGCAAGGTGTCTGTCCTGTAGTATTTATAGGGGTTTCTAATGTGGGATATAACTCGGTGGTGGATTGTTCTAGCTCTGTAGAGTATGGTACCATTGTTGAATATGGTTCTGTGGAATATTGTATTGTTATTTGTGGCTGTTCCGTGGGATATTGTTGAGTTGTTGAAAATTGTTCCTCAGTGGTTGAATATTCTGTTGAATGCTGAGTAGTTGTAGAAGATTGTTGCATTGAATACTGTGTCGATTGCTGTTCGGTGAAATATTGATTAGTAACAGGCTGTGTTGTACTATATTGTTCAATTGTTGTCAGATGTTCTGTTGTTTGCTGTGGAATTGTAAAAGATTCTTCTATCGAGTATTGCGGTGTTCCTGATGATTGTTCGGTGGAGTATTGCATTACTGTTTGTAACTGTTCAGTTGTTGAAGAATATTCCTTGATATATTCAGTTGTTAAAGGTTGTTCTGTTGTATATTGTAAGGTTGTGGAAACTTCTTCTGTCGTATATTCTTGTGTTATTGCTCGTTGCTCAGTCGTAGAAGGTTGTTCGGTTAAATACTGTAAAGTCATAAAAGACTGTCCTGTTGAGTATTGCGTTGTGGAATACTGACTAGTTGTAGAAGGTTCCGTGATGTATTGGGTTGTTAGTTGTGGCTGTTCCGTAGTATATTGTTCAGTTGTCGAACTCTGTTCCTTTATATATTTCATTGTTGGAAATTGTTCGGTCGAATACTGTAAAATTGTAGGTTGTTCTGTTGAATATTCAGTCAAATGCAGTTCAGTTGTAGAAAGTTGTTCCGTACTTGTTCGCGGCTGTTCAGTCGTTGAATTTTCCAAAGATTCTTTTGTAAAATACCTAGTCCCTGTAGCTCCCTTCGTAAAATACTCTGTTGCAAAAGATCGTTCAGTTGATCCTTCAGTCGTTAAATACTGTTCTGTAGAATATCCTGTAGTTGTTCCGAATTTCTCTGTAGAAAGTTCTACGGTATTTAGAAATGGTCTTGTCGTATATTCCTCTGTCACTGGCTCAATTGTTGTTCCATGTTTCAAAGGATAGTCTGCCAGCACAGTTACCAATGTCACACCTTCTGTCGTCGTTAAATTCAAATTCTCAGTAACCAATCCCACGGTACTAGGACTTTCTTTAATTGTAATATTCTCGATAAAACTAGGTGTACTTGTCGATTCAGTAATCTCCGTAATTTCTGTAGGATATTCACCTACGTATATTGGAGTAACAGTAACAACGTCACCCGATGGTAACCTCTCATCCGGAGGATAAACGTACGTAACAGGAGTGACTATTTGAACTTTATCTGATTCAGTCATTCCTTTTATTAAATCCGTAGTAAATGTCATTTCTGTAGTGGAAATATATCGCGTAGTGTTAACATGAGATACAGTAGTTATCTCTTCGCTACTAGATTCAATACCTTTCACAGTTGGAACAACTTCAGTATCTTCTTCAGAAATACCTTTGACAGTATTTTCTTCTGAAATATCTGAAGCAATGGTGCTTTCTCTGCCTTTCACAGTTGTCGTCGGCATTGTAGAAGTCTCAAACACATGGACTGCCTCTGTGGTAGGCAAAGTTGATTTGATTTCTTTAATAATAGATACTTCCGAAACATCTGAAGTGGTAGTAGTTTCTATGGCTTCCATATGCGTTGTCAACATCATGGAAGTTTCCGATACATCACTTGCTAACGTTGTAGGTGAAGTTGATTCACTTTCTACAGGCATAGGAGTGCTTTCTTGAATGGTAGAAGTCTCGGTGAATATTCTGCTCGAAGATTCGGTGGTTTCGCTCGAATATGGAATTGTTGTACTTTCTTTCATAACAGTACTTTCTTCCGTAACAACAGGAGTTTTTTCAAAGCTAGGCTGCATAGTTGTTACAAGTGTAGACATCTCAGAAGTTACGGGTGTCGAGTAGTCAAGAGTTGACACGGTTGTGATGTATATACAAGTGTGATCATGTTGGTCGCAGTCACAAACAGGCCTGTGTGCTTTAACCCGACATGGAACTGTCGATCGACAGTGGTCGACGCAAGGATCAACGCAGGATCCATCGACACAGGCTTCTGTGTCGTTGCAGTCGTCATCGGACTCGCAGAAATGGTCGGGCGTGTGGTGGAGTACTGCTGCGGATTACAATAGAATATAAAACACGCTGAACGTACCAAAGAGAGAAATCGAGATAGCTGAAAGAGAGGCAGCTGAAAAACGTTTCAAAGCTCATCTCACTCTTTTCTTCGTTTAGGCCAAACCAGGCTACGATAACGTCTGATTTACTGGCTTTACTCCAAACAATATAGTATACATATATATATAAAAAAAAATATATTGCCTACGAATTATTAAGATTAAGTTATATATAAGCATGCTCGCGTAATAAATAGACAAGCTATCGGTCAGAAGTATATATATATATATAATCGATTAGGGTCTTTACAGAGACAGATGTAACGGAGAAAATAATAATCGTTGAACAGTGAGGACGTCGGCAGAGTAGAGGAGAGTATAGGTATCGGGAGACGAATAGTTGTATCTGTGGCATTTTGGAACCTGAAACATCTCATTTTCCCATTCAGGCGATGGAACATTCTCACTTTACGAAACGAACGAATTAATTAAATTTCATTCTTCAACGCTTAAAGACTAGATCGATTTTGATTTTATCTTTCACGCAAATTCATTAAGTCATTGATGTACGGATTTATGAGAAATTAGAAACTGGAAAAATGCACATATGGTGAATGCGAAGATATATATAAAACATACGAAAGATACGTATACAAAATACTGATAACCAACACGTTATCGAGTAATTCCATCATCTAAACGGTAAGAAACCTGAAAAACTAGCAACTAGTATGTTCGGTGTGAGGCGAGTATAAGTATAGTATAACAGTATAGTAGTATAGGCGAGTAAGAGTCAGACAGAGATCCAGACTAATATCATCGTGAACAAACTCGGTGAGAAAGGGAAAATACAGTAATCTGTATCAGCGATTTATATATGTATATATATATATATCCAAAAAAAAGAACGTGGAGCGAGATTTATAGGTATAGAGTAAACATAGAAAAAAGACCTGTAGAGCGTGAGAGCAAAAAAAAAAAAAGAGGAAAGAATAGAGAAGTAAGACAGACAGAGAGATAGGTGGTGAGAAATGGTGTTTACCTTTCATGCATCCGTATTTAGTGTCTGGCACAAAGCCGGGGGGACAGAACTTGCAGATAGGCTTGTGCTCCTCCACGTAACAGGGGGCATCAGCCGGACAGGTGGAGTTTCTGCATGGGTCCACGCAGCGATAGTTGCGGCACGCCAAATCTGGAGAGCAGCCACTGTCTCGCAGGCAAATGGAGAGGGAGGGATTGCAGTTTTGTGTGCATATGCAGACGGGACGGTGGTCCAGGACATCGCAGGTTTTGTCAGCCGTGCACGGCCGTTTCTTTCGCACGTTACACGGATTCTGGCATTTCCCATTGACGCACGCGGCGTTCGACGGACAGTCGAAGTCCCTCGTGCAAGTCAATGTGTCGGGCGCGCATGTCAGCTCGCCGACCTCGTTCACGACGAATCCGTATTTGCATACGCACATGGGCCTGTGGTTCCGCACCTGGCATCTCTTATTTACCTCGCAGTTGTATCGCGAGCTTAGACAGGGATCGCGACACTCTCCGGTACGCGTGTGACAGGACAAACTCTCCGGGCAGTCGCGATCGGACGAGCAACCGATGTTCGGCGTAGGCCGGGGATTCAGCGTTTCGCATTTCGGGTCTGGATGACAGGCGGTGTGAGGCATACCGATATAACACTGAGGGCAGGAGCATCGTGGCTTGTGCAGAACCACACGGCACAGCGCGTTGATCCCACAGGCGCCGCGGAGACCGCACGGGTCCACGCATTGCAGGTTTATGCAGGCTTTCTCATTGGGGCACTCTAGGTCACTGGTGCATTCGCGCTCTAGATAACCCACGATTTTCACGATTCGTTTGTTCATTTTTGTTTAATTTTTTTTTTTTTTTTTTAGTTTTTTAGTTTGTATTTTTTTTGAGAGAGAGAGAGAGTCGGTGATCATGTGGCAGATGTGGTGATCATGTGGTGTAGAGTCACGTTGGTGGAGAATTGGTAGGTGGTGATAGTGGTGGTGATGGGATAGGGGGGAAAAAAAAGAAAAAAGCATTTATAAGAACTGTGAAAAGAAACTTTCTCACAAATAACATAAACCACATGCTTTGTATTCGTAATACGGAAATAAGTAGGGTAGCTTTTGTGAAGAAGTAGAGAACCGAACTTTTACACTGTTTTAACCGGGACATTAATACGAGACAAGATATCTCGTATTTATTACAATGTATGTATATACGTATAAATTGGCAAGCAGCGATATTTACAAACACAAGCCCCCACAGAATTCAAAAGAAAATAAGAGGGAAAATAATGTAAAACAGTGGATAAATCCAGCAAAAAAATAACAAGCATGGGTATATGAGAATGTCCCTTTCGCAGTTCCCAATCTGTATTCATTAGTCCTAGGTCTAAAAGAATAAACTGATCATTCTGGTGTTTCATTCTCTGTGAAATGTGTACCTTTTTTTTTTGCATTCTCTGTGATAATTGCCGTTTCTCTCTGTCTCTACTTTTTTTCACTCTTTTTCCGTTTCATTATCATTCTCTTTTTCTTTTCTATATCATACTTTTGTAAAAGTACTTTTTTTTTCTCGGTTTCCACAAGACAGATTGGATACTGAAATAAACATTCTACATATGAATAGTTATGTGTGAGACATGTGTGAAACGTGTTCCTCGACATATTATGTACAGTATTGCCTAACTGTATAGATATATATGTACAGGTATATAATGTCTTCCGCGCGACCATTTTGTGAGTAAAATCCAGTGTCGTACGCTCTTTGTATCGTATTTTTGTACAATATGTATATATAATAATAATAACGACAAATCTATTTACGTATGGAATCGTCTAAAATAACTGGTCCAATCACATCTGTCTCTCGATTGTTAAACGATTCACTGGATTAATACATTCTAATGGTATTACTTCAAGTCCTACTAAAGACGATAATACATGGTTATTCTACGGACCATGTTCCTCTGTTTCGTCAGTATTGCTCGCTAGTCACAAAATGCTGTACATGGAAAATTAATCGATCTGCCTGGTTAAACAGTTAGTAGGCCGTCTCTTACCTGTCGTGCACTCGATGTCCGGCGATCCACTGGTACCTGGTGGACATCTGCACACGAATATCGCTCCGTCTCGTATGCATTCCGCACCCTTGCCGCAACCATTCGTTCGACAATCTCCTGAACTCTTGTCCGCGATACCTGTGCTCGCGATAAAAAAAATTAGCCATGGATGAAAATTGAGACTAATGAAACGAACTCATAATTTTGAGGAAATAACAAAAAATTTTACGATTTACTAAATGTTATAGAAGTATTTTAAATGTCTCATATTTTATATTACACTGTAGTTTGTGCGATTTCCTGTAAATGCATAAAATCACTTTACGTCTAATCATAATATGATTATGAATTTTTTTCCAATATTAAACAGATTATTAAAGAAATAGAATTCAATGATACAAATTGATTGAATGATAATGTTGCGTTGACATGATGATTGACCTTAATGTACGAATCAAAATATCATTATCTGTTAAAAATTATTAGTATGAATTTACTTACAAGTCTGTGTTGGATCTCCAGATGGATAATTCGATGGACAATAACACTGTGGTTGATTCTTGTAAATCCTACACGCGGCATTCACTCCGCAGCGTATATCCTTGCACAGTTCTCCGCCGTCGCAAATACAAGCCTGATGAGGATCACCATAGCATCCAGGATCGCAAGTACATTCGAATCCATTGAGAGTTTCTCTGCATTTTGCGTTCACGCCACATGGTCTTCTTAAGCACTCGTCTCCACCTAAAACACATCATTCAAAACTAATCTTTGCCAAATTTAAAAATTACAGAATAAAATAAATTTTATTAAAAAAAAAATTCTACGAAATGAAAGAGGAGGAGAAAAATTTCTAAAAAGAAGAAACTCTACAAAATACAAGGAAAGAAAAGAAAAATATCTAAAAAAATTACCTTTCTTACAGTTGATCTTAGGATTTCCATAATGTCCAGGTGGACAAGAGCACTGAGCCTTTCTATTAACCACTCTACATTGTGCATTGAAGCCACAGACACCATGTTGCAAGCAAGGATTCGTGCAGACACCATCCTCGCTGCAGCGTTTATTAGCTTCACAGTCGTCGTCATGATGACACTCCAGTTGATAACATTCTTGACTGGGTTCTCCTTGATATCCTTCTGGACACAAGCATACTGCTCTATGGTTCGAAACACGACACAGAGCGTTGACACCACAGGGAGATCCATTGGCTGAGCAAGGATTCTCGCACTGACCACTGACGCAGGATAATGAGGATGGACAGTCGGAATGAGTGCGACAACCGATGAGGCATAGTCCTTTGTCGCAAACGTATCCCTGTAAGTTAAATGGTACATTTAATAAGAATATTCAATTTAATATTTTAATTGTAACTTAATGAAGAATTTTATATTTTATGGAAGAATTAAAGATTTTTTGAAAGTGGTACCTTTGGACAATAGTTGTTAACGTCACATATGATGCGACATTTCCCGGTGTGACAAATTTCCCCGCAAGAGCATTGATCCTGACTATAGCAGCTCTTCGTGCAAAAACCAATTTCATCGCATTCACAAGTACCATCGCAAGGAATCATAGATTTCGCGCAGCTAATCAAAGCATTCCCATAATAATTAGCTGGGCAACTACACTGTGCCACGTGATTTACCACGCGACATCCTGCACATTCTCCGCAAGCCTTGCCACCCTCACAAGGATCTATACAATAATGTATACTATATAATAATCTGTCAATCATGTATATTAATATTTCTATGAATTAATAATTGAGTATACCGATATATACATATCAGATGTAACTCTCCTTTTTTCAATTTTTTCCAATTATTTTAGATTTTTTATTCTTTACGCTACATGCACATCAATTATTTTAGATATCAAAATAAACACGAAAGTTAATATGCGAAAAACCATTGTACAAAATATACAATGATATTATATAGAAATCAAATTTTAAAAATATTCAGTCTATATTCGGTCTACTTACTTCTACACTTGTTATTCACGCAGGACTCATCGTTAGGACAACTGTTATCGCTTCGACATCCAATATCACAGAGCCTATTTTGACAAATCTGATTGGCCACGCAGTGATCGTCGCTGTTGCAAATAGCTTTGCAGATTCCACCATCGCACCGTTCGTCGCTCAAGCAATTAGCATCGCTACAAGATGATTTACATGGAAATAAATTCAAAAACGATAAGAAACAATCATGTTGTTTGAATGCTTAATCAGCTTACCTTCTACACGTAGCGTAACAGGATCTTCCGTAACAAGTCTGACCAGTTGCACATTCCTGTTCATTATTACAAGGTAAGAACGCCTGTTTGCAACCAATTAGAGGATCACCGACTAATGGTATAGGACAAGAACACGCTCTCTGATGATTTACGACCGCGCACTTCGCATTTACTCCACAGACATCAGGAAGAGAACAAGGATCTATGAGGCACAGATAAAATCAAGATTATAATTCAATTCAATCATGTTAACAAGTTTTATGACTTTACTGGCAGAATTACTAAACTAATTAGAAGATTAATTATTATAGTAATTAAATATCCATTCGAAAAGAGTTTCTTATTTAAAAAAAACGTCGTTTTGGAAAAGTTTCGCTTAGGAATAAGTCTGTTCGGGAAAATTTTCATTTAAAAGAAGGCTCATTTTCTCAAAACTTTTGTAAAGTCTTGTATCTTTCTATATACCATTCATTTTAATTTTAATATTATATATTTGAACTATTAAAATTTCTCACCTTGACACTGATTGTTCAAACAAGCGAAATTCTCCTGGCACTCCACATCGGCGCGACATCCAATGACACAAACCAATCCCTCACAAATCTCCCCGCTTCTACAATCCTCATCTCTTCTACACAACGATTTACAAATTCCTGAAGGATCACATCGTTCGTTACTCAAACAATTCAAGTCTGTAGAGCATACAGGAGTGCAGACTCCTCCTATGCAAGCTGTTCCTGTTGCACAGTCTCTGTTCGCTTGACAGATAGGCCCAGGTGATCTCAAACAAGCTACTTTCGCAGTTGGATTCGGTATGAAGCCTGCTGGACACGAACAAGTGGCTCGTTGATTGAATACTGTACACTTGGCGTTTGGTCCACAAGGGGTGGCTTCGCAAGGATTGGTGCACTTGTTCGTAATACAAGCTTCGTTCGCGTTGCAATCTTCGTCCGCGCGACAACCAAACGTGCACATGTTGTTCAGACAGATGTGACCCAGGAAACAGTCGTTATCGAGTCTACAGGTGAGAAGACAGTTTCCACGAACGCATTTTTCATTGAAGGCGCACTCGTTGTCGGTAGAGCAAATTGGAAGGCACACGTTGTCACGACAAGTGTTGCCATCGTTGCAGTCATTGGTGTCTCTGCAGGACACGGGCACTGAAACCAATAAATATTTATCTCATTTAAAAAATTCATTGTTATTCTATTTAGATGGACAGGAACAAAGTTTCTCGCTTACATCTGACGCATTCCACTTCCGAGTTACCAGTGAACCCAGGTGGACAGCTGCATTGTTTAATGTGACTCCTCACGTCGCATTCCGCATTTATTCCACACGCAGCCCTCACGTTGCATGGATCCAAGCATTGTCCGTTGAGGCACACGTCTGACAAGTTGCATTCTTCGTCCGATTGACAGGACGCTGCAAGAATTTCACAACACATCTCTCCTAATCCGTCTGTACATAGAAAATTGAGAGATTGCTCTGACTCATTGAACGATACTCACGTCGACAGATTCCCTCGTAACAGTAAGTATTGGGCGAGCAGTCTATGCCTGACGAACAAATAACCGGTTTAGGTCGACAACCTATACTTAGATTGTTCGAATCACCCTCGTAATCGGGCCGGCACTGACAGGCTGCTGCGTGATTAGTGGCCACACAGTCGGCGTTTGGACCACACTGTGTACGTGAACAAACATCTGCAACGTCGAGTATAAAATTAGAATGATTGATTGTGAGATAAACTGATTTTCAGTCTGTATCTTGTTTTTAGGGTTTCTAAGCGTATTAATCTCCTCGATCCAACAGATCTTGTTAAATTTTAAATCAAAGTAAATCATAAGATAAAATTAGGAAATTTTAACTTTCTTAATAAAATTAATTGAAAAAACAATCATCACTAAATGAATCTCTTTCAAAAAATCTAAAAATCTATACACATACCGAAGCATTTAGGTACATTGTTAATATTTATACACTTGGCAGACAGTGGACAATCTCCATCTTGCAAACATTCGACTGGTGGTTGACAGCCGCTGTTATAAGGATCTCCAACCATTCCATGTTGACAGTAACACTTATAAGATCCTCTGGAATTTTCACACACACCACCAGGAGCGCAAGGTTCGTTCAGACAATAATCGATCAATTGACATCCGTGAGTAGGTTCTCCAGTGTAACCTGGTTGACACGTGCAAACCTAGAACAAAATAGAAAATACAATAATTTTAAATTTAAAAATTTTTTAATTCTCAAATCTTCCATAATTCAATAACCAACTACCTGAACGTGTCTCTCCGCTGTACAAATAGCATTAACACCGCAAGGATTGTGAGCTAAGCAAGCAATTCTGCATTTGTGCGCGTCGCAAATCTTCTCCGCGCTGCAATCGTCGTTGACTTCACACTCAATAGGTTGACAACCGATCTTATCGTCCTTTGCATTACCAAAGAATCCAGATTTGCAAGAGCAAACTGCAGCATGATCATCTGCTCTACATTCAGCGTTACGTCCACAGAGGACCAAATCACAAGCTTTATGACATTCCGCTTGGCCAATATTATTCTTGAGACATTTTTCATCGTAAGAACAATCGTTGTCGGATATACAACGTAGCTCCTGAACACAGATATTGTTGTGACAGTACTGATACTCAGGACAACTGGAATTGCTTTTACAAGTGGGCTGGCAGAGTCCATTGATGCAAAGCTGGTCACCAATGCAGTCTCTCGTGCTTCCACAAAGTGCTTTAACAAAATGGAATGTAAGAAAGTATCGTGAATTTCGAGTAAATCAAAAGTTTGGGCTCAGTTCTAAATGTTAAATAATTGCAATAAAGCTTCTATATTCCCGGATTCAATATCCGCGGTTTTACTACTGAATAATCATACGTAATTTATATTTAGCAATATCCATTAAATGAATATTCAATACCAAAATTATAGTTGAAGTTCAATTTTAAAGTTATACAATACTGTGAGCCAGAGAAAAGTGAATACGTTAAATTATATTTCTCTACTCACCAGTACATATTCCTCCATTGCAAGCTGAACCAGTAGCACACTGAGAGTCCGATTTACAATATTGAACAGGCGTGCAGCCCAAATTTGGATCACCTGTGCCACCAGGCTGACACGTACACACTGCACTGTGATTTAAAGGAGAGCAATCTGCCCCGTGTCCACATACGTTCGAAAGAGAGCAAGGATCGACGCACTTGTGATTAAAACACGCGTCGGAAGGACCACAATCACTGTGATAATTGCACTCTAAGAGAATACATTCCGTCTAAAATTGAAAAAAACATGACGTAATTGTCACAATTAGTAAAAGGATTGTTGCAACAACAAATTAACTCTATTTTCACAATAATTTAAGAAAAGACCATAAAAAAATCAACTCAAAAAAAAACATTTATATTAATCTAATCTAATATATTATACTTACTGCTGGATTGCCAGTAGTTTGACCAGGACATCTGCAAAGTGGAACGTGGTCGTGAACGAAACATTCAGCGTTCCTTCCGCATGAAATTCCACCCGATGACACGTCGCAAGGATTGGTACACCTGTTATCGATACAAGCAGCAGTATTTGGACAATCGAGATCCGTAAAACAGTCTCCTGGTTGTTTGCAGCCGGATTTAAAAGGATCTCCAACCAAACCATGGGGACAGACGCAAGCGAACGAACTTTCCGTATTTTGACAACTATAAAAAATATTTTAATTTCGTGTAAATGATTAGTTTTTTTATTCATATCTTAATAAACCAATAGATAAGATTATAGATAAATTTATGTTAGAATATTTAATTATTGCATAATAATCATCGTGGTGAAACTGGTATTTCTATTATTATAGAATTGTATAGTATTAGTATAATATTGTATAGTATTAGTATAAATATAATATTTTAGAATGATTAAAATAAGCTGAATATCATCGACAATATAATTTTAAATAATATAAATGACAGAAAAGAATAAAATTCTGAGGTAACTTACAGTGCAGAAGAGTGACAAGGATTCTTTAAGCATTCGTCAATGTCTACACAAATATCACCAACTAACTCGAAGCCAGGATAACATTTGCATATTCCAGAATGATCGGATGCTATGCAATTGCCATAGCCACAATCCACTTGATTACAAGGACCTGGATAAATTAATAAGTAAGAAGAAAAAATAAATCACGTTACAAATCATAATTAATAATTAATTCTTACATATGTAAGATATTCACTCTGTGATTCACTTTCTGTGTATGCATATTTATTTATACGCTAAACCAAAAGCGATTATTTTCGTGAAAAGTCAAGCAATCTTCGTAGAAAACCATATACAATATTTTAAAAATTTTAAATTGATCAATATTAATTCATAATAATAATTGTTATTAATTAGTAATTTAATAGTTTCAAATAAATTTTTAAATGTATTTTGTGTATTTTAAAATAAAATTGTATTAGAATTTCAAGAAAATATGAAGGAGAAACTATCATATTCGATTTACGAAAAAAGAACTTCAACTCCCAAATTGCTGAATTGTAATTATTTTAAATGCCAACATAAAAATTAAAATCGAATAACTTATTTTAAGTAACTATTTTAATTAATTATAATTAAATTCATCACTTACTGCTACATTTATTGGTATCTTGGTTGCAATATTTGTCTATAGGGCAATCATTGTTAGATAGACATTCCACTCTGAAGCATCCTGAAGAGTCTCCGATGTAACCAGGCTGACATTGGCACGCAGCCGTGTGATCCAAAACAGAGCAAATAGTGTTGAGTCCACAGTCGACCAGAGAGCAAGGGTCGGTGCAATTATGTTGAACGCAAGCCTGTGAATCGGCACAATCTGCGTTTACGGTACATTGATGAGGAATCACACAACCTGATCCCACAGGATCACCAGCTGTGCCTTGCGGACAAACACAGCGATAAGATCCATGAAGATTAACGCACTCAGCACTCGAATGACACGGTTGATCGTCGCACTCGTTGATATCTAAACAGTGCTCCGGTCCGGCGATGAATCCATGACTGCATCTACGAAAGAAGATTTGAATAAGAGAAAATGCTTTATAATAATTGGAAATGAAAATAGTAAAAAATATATCAGAATAACTCTAAGTAATTATAAATAATTTTTAATATGTCGCTGTATCAGAGGAACATTATGAACACGTAATTCGAAACTGAAAGAAATATATTTTATGGAATCGTGTTAAATTCAATACTTACTTGCATTTGTTATTGATGCACACCTCGTTATCATTGCAACCGACGTCGGAGGTGCAACCTACTTCGCAAGCTCCATCGATGCATAATTCACCTGGCAAACAATTGCTGTCGCTGTAACACACTTTCACGCATATTCCATTCTTGCAACGTTCTCCTTCGGCACAGTTGTTCTGTTCGCTGCATTGACATTGGCAGAATCCAGAGACACAGAGATGTTGGCTAGGGCATTCTTGAGGACCTTCACAGATACTCGGTACTCTGACGCAACCTTGTTGGGGTGTAGGATTCCCGTGGAATCCAAGCGGACAGGTGCACGTTGTGGCGTGATTTGTGCAGCTACAGATCGCGTTTGGACCACAAACGTCCTTCCTCTTGCACGGGTCTGAATGGAAAATTAGATTATTAATTTATTAGTCAAATTAGATTCTAAAAAATTTATTACATTTTTAAAGACACTTATTAATGACTTAATACCTTGACACTTGTTATTAATGCAGGACTCCGTCAAAGGACAGTTTTTGTTGCTTCGACATCCAAGAATACATATTCCGTTGACACAAGCCTGATCAGTCTGACACTGTGTATGAGTAACACAAGGTACCATACACTTACTATTCACGCATTTCTCTCCAGCAGAGCAGTCAGTAGTCGCTCGACAAACAGCTACAACAAATAATAAATTGATTTTCTTAATAAAACCAATAATAAAAATTTCCTCAAAGGCAACTGAGATACACTTCATATAATAAAGTAATAATAATAATATTTAGCGTGAAAATTTCCAAAGTCTCCAAAAATGATGAATTTTATATTGAATAATATGCAAAATTAATATTCTTAATGAAATAGTAATATAATACATATTTGTTTTCATTATATTACTGCACATAATTGCTAAAATCAACAAATCGAATTTAAATCCTTGTTAATCCAAATTCTAATTTTCGCTATATTAAAATTGTTAAAAACAATAGATTAATAATTCTAGTATTAATTTAAGAAAACGAATCTTACCTATACACTGTCCTTCAAGACAGACACTTTCCACGCAATCAGCATCTACATTGCAATAGTTCGTAGCGCGGACGCAGCCATCCTGCGGGCCCTTCGAAGATGGAATGAACTTATGAATACACTTGCAAGTGGGTTGTCCATTGATAATGTCACAAATCGAATTCGGTCCACAGGCGTTTTCGCAAGGATTCACGCATCGATGATTGTGACAAATAGAATGCACTGGACAATCCTTGGCAGTGGCGCAATATCCCTCCGGTTGGCAACCTTTCACGTAAGGGTCACCAACAAAATTCGATGGACACTGGCAAACAGGATTATTAGACGGTCCAGGAACACACAGAGCTGTTTCGTGACAAGGATTCGGGTGGCAAGCTTCAAGAGCAACGCATTCAACATCAGGAACAGGATTGGGCTTCAATCCTGGTGGACACTGACAAATTGCCTTATGATCATCCGCGATGCAAACGGCGTTCACGCCGCAAGCATCTTCATCGCAAGCGTCGTAGCAAGTGTTTGTCAATCTATTGCAAAGCTGAGTAGGTGGACAGTCGATATTATACACGCATGGAACAGTTTTACATCCTTTCATAACGTCGTTAGGATCGCCAGCGTAGAGGCCAGGTGGACACTCGCAATTGGCTACGTGATTATGCACCACGCACAAAGCGTTTGGACCGCACGAAACAAAATTACAGACTGGTTGACAAGTCAGAAGGCCATCTTTCGTGCTTCTACAGGTCTGATCTTCCGGACATTCACTGTCAGTGGAACACCGATCCTTTCTAGGTGTCTGACATCCCTGACGATCGTTTGGATTACCAACGAAACCAGACAGACATTCACAACGGCCTCGATGTCTCTCTGCTACGCACTGAGAATTAATTGCACAAGTAAAGCTTTTACACACGGAGACACACTTTAATACACCAAGTGCATCTGGTCTGCATGCTTCTGTGGCGTGACAGTCGTCATCGGATATACAATCAGGGACAGATGGTTTCTCGCAGGATGATAGTATTGGATTCCATTCGTAGCTATCCTGACACCTGCATGTTGCGTGACCAGGGATTATATCAGGTTCACATTTTTGATGAGCACCGCAGACCACCTTGCTGCATGGATTCACACACTCGCGGAAACCACCGTCTAGAAGGATACAGAAGGAACCTTCCGCGCAATCTGAGTCATGTTTGCATCCTGGTGTTATCACTGATTTAAGCGGCTGACAGCCTTCTATGAGATTGCTTGGATTTCCCTCGTATCCATCGATGCAGAGACACGAAGACACGTGATTCTGGGTGACGCACAACGCGTTTGGACCACACTGTAACTTGCTGCACGCGTCCACGCACTTTCTGACGCCTTTTCCAACTTGGAAACAGATCTGTTGAGGTTCGCAGTCCAGATCGTTGGAGCAGTGACCGTGAAGATGGCAACCTTTGGTCAGATCGTTGGGATTACCGCTATAACCGGGTGGACACAAGCAAGCTCCATCCTGGCAAATTGATCTGGGACCACATTTCACGTCGCTGCAACGGTTTATGCATTTGCCAGATACGCAAGTGTAATCGAATGGACAGAGAACTGAATCACTGCAGCTACAGGTTGATGGATCGGTGCAAGGACCAACTTGAACTTGTTGACAACCGATGAAGGGATTGCCGAAATAGCTATCTTTGCAGCGACAGTCGTAACTGCCGATTGTATTGATGCACACTGCGTTGTTTCCGCAAGCGTTTCCATTGCACTCGTTGATGTCTAAAGTAATTGATAAAACTCATTTTGTGTTGTAAAGTTCTTAAATCTTTTTCTAATTTTTAGGAGGAAACACAGAGTTGTGAAAAGATTGACGATATCTTTTTTAACTATTCTAGAATTCTTAGATTTTTTAGATTTTCTTACGAAACAAGTACGAAGTTAGAGAAGAATATTATAATTATTAAAATTTTTTAAAGTTACTGTAGAATTCTTAAATTTTCTTCTAAAATTTTTGCAAGTGATTATATATGATTTTTATAGAGGAAGATTAATAGTATGTATTTTTTTAGTTATTACACAGAATCTTTGAATTTTCTAGAATTTAGAAAAAGAAATTATATGAAATAGATTTGAAAGACTAACTGATAAATTATTTTAAGACATTAAAAAAATTTCAATTTTGTTTAATAATTAATAATTTAACATTTTTCTAATGATACGAACCATGACACTGAATATACGGATTTCCAGCGTATCCTGGAGGACACAAACATTCAACAGCATTCGGTCCAGCATTACAGTGTGCATCCTTGCCGCACAAATCAGTCGAGCAATCAGACTTCTGTTGTACACCACAACCGTGATATGGATTTCCTATAGTGCCAGGATTGCACACACACTTATTCTCTTCTCGCAATGAATATTCACAGTGAGCATTGGAGCCACAAGGAGGATCGCAGGCAGCTGGATGAATTGCTATCAAATTACAAAAAATACATCAATTAGTATTAATGCAACTATATACATTAAATGTACTTTCATTGTGAGTTTAAAATGAATTCTTGATAAGATGAACTTTTAAATTAAAATTAACAGTAATAGTAAGTGATTTTCAATAAATGTAAGTTATTTTTACGAAATTAAGAAAATTGAAATTGTTTTGTTTCTGAGAGGATCAATTATGATTTCAAGTAACACTTACGTGGCATACAAAGGAGATCCGGATTTCCAATGAAATATGGATTGCACATGCATTTATTTGTCGCTGGATCGCAAGATGCACCAACGCCGCAGACTACACCTTCGCATCGACGTTTGCACCTTCCACTTATGCATACGCTTGGTTCTGCGCAAGGCACTTCCGGAGAACAAATATCTGGTTGACATTGACCACCAGGGAAAGGATTACCCATGAAACCTTCGATACATTTACACGTTGGTCCACTGTAACTCACGATACACTGTGCTCCAGAGCCACAGACGAAACCATCGCACTCTGTATAACAATTTTTACAGTTCCTTTATTACTATATTAAGACAGTTTTAATGTAAATTATTTTTCTTTTATATTAAGATAATATGAAATATTACATTATTTAATATTGATGCAACATAAGATTTAATTGCTAAATGTATATACTATATGTGATACCAATAGAAAATAAATGAAACCATCTTGAAAATTACAAAGTAACATATAATACTCACGTGAAACACATTCGTTGTTTTTGCCCTCCACGAATCCAATCACACATCTACACCATGGAGCGTGTTTATCAGGCTCACAGTAGGCGTTTGGTCCGCAAGGTATATTGTCACAAGGATTCACGCATTTTCCATTGACACAGGCGAAGATATTGTCGCAATCATCATTAGAGGAACATTCGTTCTTCGCCACAGCTCCAGTACAACCACCACCATACGGATCTCCCACTGTTCCCTTTGGACACTCGCAAATATGATCACCTTTGGTGTTAATACAGTAAGCACCGTGTCCACAAGGATTATTAGCGCACTCGTTCACGTCGACACAGCCATGTTGAGGGTCTCCTTCGTAGCCAGCCTCGCACATACATCTTGGTGGATCGCTTGGCGTACACTTTGCGTTTATACCGCATGGAAACCGATCACAAGGATCTGGAAATTAAAATGATGTCATAAAAATATTAAAATGATGCATATAAATATTTGTGTGCTCAAAGAATTTAATTTAGAATAATATGTGAAACATAAAATTATTGAATAGATAGATTTGATAATAGAAAATGAAAAATTTAGAAATTTAGAATAATAATGATAATTAATAACTAAAATGTTTCAAGTATAATTCTCTATAATATTTAATAAAAAATTTTATTAACAGCATAACAGGCATATTAATAGAGATGCTTACTTTTGCAGAGGTTTCCATCGATGTCCGTGTAAAATGGTGGCGGACAAACACATTCACCCGGCTGTACGCATTTTTCGTTAGCTTTACACTCGCTGTCACTAGTACATCTTTTCTGAGCTGGAGAACACAGACCGTTATATGGATCTCCGCCATAACCGTGTGGGCAGACGCATTGATGAGATCCTGGGAGATTTATGCATTCGGCTCCGTAGCCACATACTTGATGTCCAACGATACACTCGTTTATATCTATAAATCGATATTATTTTACTTTATTTTCTTTTTCTTGGCATTCATTGTTAAATTATAATCTTATTTAATTAATTTTTTATTATTAATATTAATACACATAGCAATATTAATATACATGTTATGAATATCTTATAGATATTATATAATAAGTATTAAAGATGGTCTCACTGAATATTGATACTTATTGATATAATAAATTGTGATTGTTTAGATACTTTCGTGGTTTCTGCAAGGTCTAATGGTTAAAGGAAAATAAAAATTTTGACACAAACCTTCGCAAGAACCGTCAGCCTTAGTAGTGTATCCCTTGGGACAAGCACAGTAACTGACTCCTCCAGCAATGGTAATACATTCTGCACCACTGGGACATTTCTCTCCCTTGGAACACCCGGCCAGCATACATTTTCCATTGACGATTTTATATGGAGGTTGGCATTGACACTCGATGCTGTTGCATTCTACAATTGTAATAAATAAATTATGAAATATGTATGCAAGATATCTAAATTATTAGCACCAAAATTTTATTAAAATTCTAAACTTTTTGTAATTAGGAAGAATTTGACAAAATTCTGGAGTTCGATAAAATAAATTGACCGAAAAGAATCGCAAATGAAATGTTACGTTAGCGCGATATTGTTCCTTAACAAGTTAAGCATACTTAACTACATTTTATAGTAATAATTCTAATGTCAAAAATCTTTCAAATCTTGAACACAAATATTTCTTACCTTCACAAAGGGAGAAAGGATTCCCATTAAACCCAGGTGGACATTGGCACTCGTAGCTGCCGGGTAAATTCTTACAAATAGCGTTTACACCGCAAGCAGGTTTGTCTCTGAGTTCCATACACTCATTGATGTCTCTACATTTACCAGTCTCGTGATCTCTAGTATATCCTCTCTGGCAAATACAAACGCTGCTACCCACGAATTCATCTTTAATGCACTGTTCTCCGGCGGGACACGGAGTACTTGGTCCACACACGTGAGGAGCCTTTGATTCTTGACAACCACCGCTATAAGGATCACCTGTGGTACCACTAGGACACTGACAGGAGAAGGATCCCGGCTCGTTATTGCAGATCGCTCCTTGAGGACACGGATTAATGGCGCATTCGTCAATGTCTCTGCAACCACCCTTCACGCCTGGCTTTCCTGTATAACCACTGCGACAGAGACACGTTGCCACGTCGTTTGACAGCATACAGTGGGCGTTTGGTCCGCAAGATAAGTCTTCGCATGGATCTAATTTTGTGAAAATAAATATTTAATTAATTTCAAGTTTGAATTGCAAAATGTCATAATAATTAGATACTCACGTCTGCAGTCGTTTCCAACGTTGGGCTCAGGACACAGACAACGTTTCTGTGGATCGCAAATCGCGTTTCCAGGGCAGTCACCATCCATTTCGCAAGTAACTATACCGACACACTTGATGTAAGGATCAGGATCCGGAATAGTTCCTTCTGGACAGGTACAAGAGTAAGAACCCTCGGTGTTGGTGCATGTAGCGCCGTGACCGCAGACATCTGATCTACTACATTCGTCTACATCTGTTTTAAATAAAAATTAACTAATGTAAATATTAATTATAGCAAAAAGACATCGTTATTAATATATTACTCAAAATAATTAATTATTTCTAAGCTTCCTCCTTGTGTTTATATATATATGTATTTTTTTAATAAATAATCATCTTATAAACAATTTCTATTACAGTGTAACTTCTATTTGTATACTTTCATTTGTACATTTTTTTAATAATTGTCTTTGATCCATCTGATTACACAATTACAGAAGTAAAATGCCAATTTTATAAAGTTACAATTATCTTAAACAGCATTTTTAATTTACTGTATATTAATATAATGAATCCTTGTGATAAAAATATTTTAAAACATACCCAGGCATTGTTTAAAAGCGTTCCCAGAAAATCCAGATTTGCACTGGCAACTAAATCCACCCAGAGTATTGGTACAAATTGCATTTTTACCGCAACGTCCCGAAGGACCATTTATCGCGTCACATTCGTTTATATCTAATTTAAAAAGAATTCCAATATTATTCTCTCTCCACAGAAACACTAAAATATCAATCATTTTTAGGAAATATATTTAAAAATACTTACCAACACAGCCAGCTGCGATATCGTTCGGATTGAAGGTCCAACCATCCTCGCAAATACAGTAAGCTTCGTGGCCATCTGCTTTACAATACGCATGATCCCCACAAGTTACTTCGTCACACGGTGCTGCAAAATATAAAATCACACTCGCAATTAAAAATCATGATACTACAAATTCTTTTGATATTATCTTCCGATTGTTCGAAATTTATTTGCCTTTGCAGGGTATGTGTGGAGGAGTTCCAACGAAGCCAGATTCACATTCGCAGTGATAACTTCCCCTGGTGTTGCTGCAGATCGATGCAGGCCCACAGGGGTTCGAAAGACACTCATCAATGTCGACGCATTCAGCTCCAACAGCTTTGAAACCATCCTTGCAGAAACATTGTCCTTCGATGCATTCGGCGTTGTTCACGCAATCGAAATTCGATTTGCAAAGCGTTGTCACGTCGGTCTATACATTTTACAATTTCGTTTAAGAGAGGAAAGAAAGGAATGATAAAACAATTAAAAATATTGTAATTAAAACATTTTTCATGAAAATTTAATGAAAAAGAAATAGTAAATATGATTACCTGTTCACAAGCGACTGTCGGATTGGGATTGGCACTGTATCCCGGTGGACAGACACAATTGTAACCAGGATCCGAGTTTTTACAAATCGCGTATCTTCCGCAAGGATTATCCAACGCTGTACATTCATCGATGTCTGGGAAATAGAAACATAATAATCCAAGTTAAATAAAATAGAAGAAGAAAATTAATACTGATGGAAATATAAGGAAGATAGATTAATTCATTGCCTTGTAATTTTTTATATTTTCAGATTTAAGAAGTAATTAGTACAATTGATGCATTTATGGGAAATTTGAAAAATGCAAAATAAAGAGATAAATAATTCGGTTAATAAAACAATAATCTCTATTTAAGTTCCAGTTTTTAATTAATAGGTAATTATTACTGATTGTATTCCTTTATACTAATATAATATGCGTAAGTACAAATAAAATAGAATCTGAATAATCATTTACATACATTATACATAAATACATTTTCATCTTTTAAATAGTAAATAAATATTTTAGTACAAATACTTCTGCTACTGAATATTTGCCATATTTTACGCATTTTTGCAGATTCAAATATCTCATAAATGCATAAAAATCCTCAATCTATTCGTGAAGCAATAAGTGAAGGACATTCAACATTTTTCAATGTTGCCATTCCAGTCCAATAAAGAAACCAAAAACGAAAAGAAACAATAATCTCAATTGCTGACCGCTGCATCCCTTAAACGGATCTCCAGTGTAGTCCGCCTTGCAACTGCATACGAAGCTGCCGATCGTGTCTGTGCATTCAGCATTTTCACCGCAAGGATTTCTCTCGCATTCGTTCACGTCTGTTAATCAACACGGTTAATCGGACAATGAGCATTAATTCTATCGTTTGTTACTGTGGGATTGAACCATTAAATATTATATCTAAGAAGAAGCATTACTTTTTTTCTTAATTCTGTAATAAGGTGAATTAAAACAGTAGCACAGAGAAATTAAAATATCGTTTTGTTCTTCTTTCAATTTTTAACAAAACGAATTAAATAATTGCCGGCTATTGGCCATTAAAAATTATATCTCAGGCTAAGCAGAGAGGGAGAGTGAAATGTTGCTCTTTTTGTTTTTTTAGTTTGTAATAAGATGAGTTAGGTGATGACTGACTTTCGCATAATGTTAGTCCTCGACCACTGAAGCCCTGGGGACAGATGCACTTATACGATCCCGGCACGTTGATGCATCTTGCGTTCTCCGCGCATGCATCCGGCCGGCTGCATTCGTTCACATCGATGCAACCGTGTGTTGGATCCATTTGATAGCCTGCTTGGCATCTGCACTCGAAACTACCCTCCGTGTTCACGCATTCAGCATCCGTTCCACACGGTGTACTCTCCTCACACTCGTTTACATCTGTTAGCGATGGTTAATCCTTATTTACTACGTGTCTCGATTAATCTATGATTTATTAATCGTGTTATCTACGAGAACTCTTTCAATAGATTAATAAATATATAATATAACTTGTATTAATTTAATATTAACCTTAATTATATACTAATATATGTACATATAATTAATTAATATATTTACATAAGTTTTGTTCTTCATCCTTTTAATTTACCATTATTAAATTCAACAGTGGTTGTAGAGATTGAATAACGATGAATCGTGTTTCTTCATTTAATTAATTCTAATTCATATTATAAAAATCTATCAAGTATTATAGTCTCTGGTCATGAAATCTAATCAAAATTCTTGGTATTTTACATCTTTCAGATTAGTAATTAAAATACGTTTCAAATGAACATTTAAAATACTTAAATTGTTTCGTCTAATTAACAACTTATTCATATCGAGTTGTTTAATTTAGCTACCTTGGAGTTATTCTGGATAACAGTTCTTATTTACTTACCCTAACAATAGTAATTTAAACATTCAAAAATCATTTTTACTGTAGTTAGACAATTAAAACTTGCTCCAACTCGATAACCAGATATTACACGTAAAAAGCTTCAACTTCAAATAATTATTATAAAAATCGAATTTTCACACGAATTAATATACAATATTTAACGTTGATTTCCTTCATTATTCTTACTGATAAATAGTAAGATTGAAATATTCCATAGAGATTCACTTGGTCTCGTATAAGTTGCTAAGAAAATGTTTCGGATAATTAGAAATCGAGTTACTCACCGTGACAGCCTACCCAAGGATCGCCGTTCATTCCTTCCGGGCAAGAGCAGCGGAAACTGCCATGTACATTTGTGCACTGAGCTGAACGACCACAAGGACTGCGCAGGCACTCGTCGATGTCCACACATTCTTCTTCAGGATCGCCGTTATGACCCTCGGGACACTCGCATTTGTGGGTTCCCGGAAGATTCACGCACAATGCACCCCTTCCGCAAGCACCCGCGTAATTGCATTCGTTGATATCGATACACTGCACAAAATTGATATTCCTTTAAACTATACGCAAACAGCTGTTGATTTTATCTTTTTATATTCACCACGTAAATCTACCTATGTAAATTCGCTTTAGTTTTTATGATCGCTGGATTTTTTTCGTATATGTATGTACAATCAATAGTAAAAATCTATATTGAACTTCGATATATACATAAACATAAATATTTGAAAATTATTTTTGGATAATTATTCACATTTCTTACATTTGAATAAGTGTGACATACAAATAAATCGAAAACATGATTTTAGGAAAATCATTTCTGTATATATATATACAAATTTTAAATAAATTTCAAAATATTTTATATAAAACATGTAATGTGTATATATTGTCGTACATATATGTATATATATTGTATATTATATATATATATATATATATATATTACTGTATAAATATAACATTATATATAACACATGTAATAACATATATGTACATATAACACAATAAATACTTACAGTTTCGTACGGGTCTCCCGTGTACCCAGGTTGACAAGCGCAAGTATAGTTTCCCGGTATATTATTGCAAATAGTATTATCGGCACAGGCTCCAGGTATCGCGCACTCGTTCACATCCTCGCAATGCACCTCGCCGTCACCGATGTAGCCAGATTTGCATTTGCATAGGAAGTGCGACGGAAGATTGCAACACTCGGCGTTCTCGACGCATCTCGCAGCAAATACCGGATTATCACACTCGTTGATGTCTGCAGACACGCGTCAAAGCAAAAAATCAAATAAAAGCAGAATGATAGGCCGTGAGAAAGAATAATCCGACACGCATACCTTCGCAATGGAAACCATCGCCTTGATAGCCAGGGAAACAGGAACATTGGAAGCTACCAAGAGTATTCGTGCAGTGAGCGAATATATCACAGGGTCGGTATTTGCACTCGTTCTCGTCTGCAAACGTGTTTACACTTACATGAATAATGATTATGCATAGCATACAATGAATATAGTGTACATATGTAACATACATAGTATCGTATATGAATTTTATTAACATACATAGTGCGTAAGTGTTATCAATCAGAAATTTTTATTACTTCTTTAATTGCATCTACATTGAATTCACCATTAATTCATATTATTAATTCAAAATTAATATTACGAATTTAATTTCTTATATTTACAATTCCATAAATAATCAACATATCGTTATTTTAGTATATTTTCCTAACAATTTATTCATTTCATTATTCTAAACGTTCAAGTTTTATCAATACTAAAATTTCAAAGTCCTTCGAATAAAAATTGTTACAGGTCATTTTTAAAAATTGCACTAACTTGAGGCAATTGACTTGACTGAATAGTATTATAAAGAGTATTAAAGTTTGATAAATCATTAAAGAAAATAATTTTTGGCCCTCAGAAATAAATGTTGGTTCCTCACCTGGAACCTGACAATTGCAACCACCGAAACCATCGTTGCAATGGCACACGGAATCCAAGCAGACGCCGTTCAGACACCTGGTCCCGTCCTCCTTGGTACAATCGTCTGTGGTAAACAAACAAAAAGGTGTAAATCAATTACCGATTCACCGTGGGTAAGTGTGGAACACAATTCCTTAGTCACTCGGTGAGAAAAACAGCGTCGTGTAAAAATCGAGTTGATTACGATGAGTAATTCATTTCCCTACGTCTTACGTAATGCGTTCATCACCCATCCGTTCGTGATCATCGAGGCAAAACGTCCGCGTTTAACGCACCTGCATACGCCAGCGGAATAATGATAGTAAAAACGAATGTCGTCGATTAATCGGCGGCGGAAGAGCGGCTCGATGGAGGAGAAACGCGACGACAGGTTCGCGACTCCTCGTAATTGCCGTGACGGGATGACGTTACGCGCGAGGCGTGTGTACGCTTGCGGTTTCACGCGAGAATCGCGTAATCGACGCCGAGAACAACAGAATAATATAAAGGAATAGTTGCGATTGTAACGGTAGTGCGATATCGTGTCGTGTAACTAGTAGAGCCTCGCTTTTCCTGTCAAGATCTAGTCAGACGACTACTTTTCCGTGTTGTTCCCCTAGAAGACGTGTCTATTATTCAACTTATTTGCATCACGAAGTAAATTACACGATAATTTATTTTATTACATTATTATACAATAGTATATGACTGATCATACAGCGACTCTGGAAAATATTCATACATTGAAATACACTCAAATCCTTTATATCCTGACACAAAGCACCGCTACTTGAAAGTGCAGCTTTATATAAACATTATGTGACAACAATTCCACGTGGTATGAGGAAAGAAACATGTAAGTGAATAATCACTGAAAGATGACACGAAAATATTTATATATTCCTGTTTTGTATTATTGTACTGTTTATTCAGTTTACTACCAGAATACAGTAAAATCTCCCTTATGTGAACTTATTTTTCAAATATTTTACTAGAAAAGAAAAGATGCACGAGACAGTGATATTAAATTCTTAAAATTAAAATTCTAAGTCGTGGATTATTTCGCTTAATGATGCAAATGGATTAATACATTACCTGTGCATTTTAATCTATCGCGTTGCTCGTCCGTTCCTTGATAACAATCGACGTTATTGTCGCAGAGTTTGGATAATTCGAGGAGTTGTAGGATGTCCGTCGATTCGTTTACTTGACAGCCGAAATAGCCGTCTTCGAGGTTCAGAAAGAACACTTCTCTCCTTAGTCCATGGCCGAGTCCTCTCAGAGATTCGGCCTAGAAAACATTACAGATACGAAGAATATTTAGAATTACTTTTTCAATTGTAATTCTACTAATTCGAAGTTGATGTTTTCTTTTAATTCTTAATGACAGCCACTCGTTAACACGTTTCACATCTTCTGCGAGGATTTCTAATAATGTTCAATCAGCATTTCTAATAGATGATCAAATACATGTAAATAAATAATAAAATATAATAATGAAATTTAAATAGACAATTAAATATAAACAAGCATCGTATAAGTATATGAAAATAGTAAAACTTCATTTATAACTAAGCTTCCGTTTCAAGAGTAAATCGTGGATAAAAATTATGAGCATCGTGAGAACAACTTGCACAATGAGAATTTCCGTTATCTGTACCTCTCCACTCGAAAGATTCGAATAAACACGGTTTTACTGCTAATACAAAAGCTCTGTTTGAAGAATCTTCATCTACAACCATTCTTTCATGCGCCGTCGATACACAAAGTTGCGTGAAAACATCGTGGAACGTATTAAACGTGTAATCAGTTGTATGTGTAACCATTAGATAGGAAAGTAACAGATTCATTAAAATTCCCCTAATGATCTCTAGATTATATAAATAATTTCAGTGAAACCAAATCATTGGTTCTACTTACTGGACACAGGAACAGAAGTATCCACACCACCAACGGCCAAAGATGTTTCATCTTGACTGCAACAGAAACCAGAGTTAATCTATTGAGACACTTTCTCCTAACGAAATATTTATACAATAATATTTTGAGTTGTTAGATGTAGAAATTAATTCGATGCCTTTGCATTAACAGTGACAAATTGTCGCATTTATAAAACATATTGTACATTATTTTCAATTAAAGATTTTATAATACAAATGATACCCAATTAATTTCTACACCTAATATATCTTGTAAAAAGAATTTTAAATTCTTGTAGAATTTTTTTAGCTTTCGTAAAATAAATTACAATAGAATTCGATTGTTTTTGCGATTATTCGAGGTCAAACACACGCGTGCACTTTTTCAGCGATTTTCTGAATTACGCTCGTTCAGTGACATCGTGCTCCAACACCAGTTTCACTCCAAAAATCAATTTTTAACACTACGACAAAAACAACGAAACATTTTTATTGAAATCGCTCGAAAAAACGGTGAGAAATGTTGAGTTCTTAACGATGAACCAACGAAAAAGTGCAGGCTCGAGGTGGAACAGGAAGAAACTATCCGATAGGATAATTTTTACAAAGGGACCCAACACGGGAACACCTGTTTCAGCCATGTGTCGGCATTCGCGACCCCCTCACGAATAAACCCCGAACCTAACCGTATCAACTTACTTTAGCCGTGGCCCTAAAAACCCAATTTCCTGGTTACGTGATGTTTTGAAATTTAAGAACTCCGTTTATTTTATTCCTTTAATAATCATCCTATAATTTTATTCCTTTCCAATTTTTTGGAGTTTAGTTATAATTGTAGCATAATAAAAATAATTATAGAATGAGACATCAATAAGAAAGTGGTTTAAATCGGAATATTATATACTATATATACTATTAATTATAACTACTATAATAGTTATAACTGTAGCATAATAAAAATAATTATAGAATGGGATATCAATAAGAAAGTGGTTTAAATCGGAATCATTCGTATTCATCCATTCACATTATCCAAATCAAGTCATATTTTAATAGAGAAATTTTCGTTTGCAAACACTGAAATATTTTATAATACATTTTATAAATATTTTATAATACATGTAATACATTTTATAAATATATAATACATTTAATATTTTATAATATTTTACAATACATTTAATACATTTTATAAATATTGTAAATATTTTATAATACATTTCACTATTTCATAATACAAATTTAAATATAAATTTACATAAAAATCTCCAAAATGTACTCGTAAAACAGTTTCTTGCAACATTTCAGAAATTTTCGAAACGCGCATCATTCTCCAGGCATCTATAAAGATCTCACGGCGGTGCAACGCCACCGGAAGCGCAGTTTTCAGGGGACACCGATGCACACGCGATTCGCGGAAGACGTCCTTTACGTGCTACGCGGCTTATGGCGAACGCGAGGTACCTGAAGCGGACGCAACGTACGCGAGCTCGGAACCTGGCACGTCGCACAATAAGTCAGAGCTGGCGATCAACCGCGCGGCGAAATGTTAACGACTGTACGTGCAGGGGAAGAGGGAGGATTCACCACGGAGGAGAGAAGAACGATCGAGAACGATGGAACGTCGGCGGGGTGAAAGAGAAGGACAGTTAGGGGAATGAGCAGGAGGAAGGTAGAAAGATGGCCAGGAAAAACGAGCAGGAGGAGGAAACCCGGCGGCGAGGACGTCAGGAAAAAGGAAGAGCATCATTGAAGAAAATGTTCGAGTAAGAGAGAGAAAGGAAGCGCGCAAGGGGACAAGAATGATGGAATTAGAGGAAAGGAGGTAGAACGAAGGGTTGAAGAAGAATGGGAGAAAACTAGCAGAAAGATAGGCTTTTGGATTCCCGGTCTTGCGAGTTTTTCTTCGACGATTTAGTCTTGATCTTGATAAAGATTCGCTACGTATGTACTTATGAGCTAGAGAGGTTTCGTAAAAATATCTGAAGAATGTCAGAATCATGGTTATTTTTAGTCTTGTCTGGTTTTCGAATTCGTGCATAGAGAATATAGTTTTTATGGTAACATCTTAAAACAATCCATCTTCGTTCGTGTTCACTACACAGTTACCTGGAACATTTTGTTACATTACGTATAGAAAATGAACGTATCTCTCGTTTCAATATCATGTGTTCTATGTTATATGTAATATATACTTTAATTATATGTCTCGTTTACTAAAATGATAGCAGGATTGAAATATAAAAATTTAGGAATCGTAGCATGACAGTAAGATAATACATTTTATTCGCGAACAATACATTTTACACTAACGGACATCAGCATCCAAATGGAAGCAAGAAGCCCAGAAAAAGAAAAGGAACGACTCGGAAGAACGTAACAAAGACGGACATGCGAGTGCGATGCACCTGTGACCCTCCTATTTGCACCTACCATCTTCTTGTACCCTTAATTCTACAACGTCGAATGGCTACACAGCTGTCAGGCCTATTAGACCATCTATCCCTTGACTATAAATTTTCGTCATGGAAATTAACTACCATCTTCACTACGAAATTCTGATGCGTCAAGACTGCGCCATTTCCGCAATTCCGTGCGAAACGTTCACGGAAGTGGCTTGAAAAAGTACGCGTATAGTGATGTAACAGAATGATACCATCTGCTGTTTTGAATTCAGTATTTATTGTAGAATTTAATTGGATACTATTAACAGATGAGATAATGTTACCTCGTTGAAATTCAATTAATGGATTAGAAGATTTTCTTTTGGAAACAAAAACATGGTGACTGAGGAATTAAAGGAGTATCTACACTTCTTGGGACAATTATTATATTTGTTCCTTTTTCGTTTTGAGTTTTTAATAAAAAATAATTAAGAAAAAAGGATACATTCTAGTACAGTAGAAATTCATTTACATGAACTCCATTTATTCAAACCAAATTTTAATCAATATCGTTTAAATGAATCTTTGCTAGTAAAATCTACTTATATCCTGCAATCAGTTTATATAATTAAGTTCTATCTGTATTATAAAATTCTTATTAAATTCTTATTTATTTCGTAGATATAAAACCAACGATAAAAATATAATTGTTAATTCAAATGTAGGCAATACTAAAAAACTAGACTTAAAATTTCCAAGAAAGTTCACTTTCCTTTACGAATCCTTTTTGTAGAAAGCTTTTCAATTTCTCTCACTGAAAGTGGTGTACGAAGCATGGAAAAAACTCTACATGCGTAGCACTCTCACATGCGTTCACTTTATGCAAATAGTCATGCTACTTTGTCGTGGCGCTCGGTAAGAGTATCGGCATGAAATGTGTTACCGTGTCAATGATATCATCCAGTAGGCAGAAGGAAACTATGACAAAACCTATCAATTAGTCGGCGTTACACACACGCTAGCCACAATAACACGCGTGCCTTTGCACATATGTATCTCCGGTGCCAATAACGCAAAACTCCCACGCATCTGTATTGCAACACCTCTCGGAAAAAGAAGAACGAGTTAATGAGAAGAATTTGTTGAAGTCCTTCTCCGTGACCTCCTTTCAATCATATCTCGATCGTCTAAGCGTCAATTTCTGTTCACCACTTTTATTGTATTTGTATTATTTATTACTTATTTTTTTTTTTATTTTTATTCTGCAATCATTACTCTGCAAAAGTAATAGGAATGAAATGAGCATTTAATTAAATATAATAGGAGTTAAATAAAAATTTAACAAATAATAATAGGACTTAAATAAAAATGTATTTTATCAATTGAAAATTTTAACTATCACTCTACGCTTGCATATTGTATGCATCCTACTTTTGCATCTCACATTTCGCATAAATACAAGAGTATAAATAAAATTTGTATTTGTAAAATTTATAAAATTCTGTGATTTCGCTTTTTTTTTCTTTTTTGTAAAATTGCAACGCTTTTCCCTGTTTTGCTCTTGAAATTTTATCCTGTCACTAGTCTAATTATTATCTGTGCAACGAAAGAACCTCAAAAAAATCCACAGCCGACGTAGTTCACGATTTCTCTCCATATTTATGTTGATTTCGACATTTGACCGTGTGATTAATCGAACGATTTAATTATCATGCACCGAACAAGCACAGCTATCACGTACCGACTTATCAATTAAATTATCGTGACGTCCTAAATTTTTTTCCTCGTCGAATCGCCCACGTTTCGTCGCATTTTATAGAAGATGCGTGGTTTCTTCGACGCCGTGAAAGTGTTTAAATGTGACACAATACGTCTGTAATCTCGACAACTTGTACTATTTTTTTTCTTTTTTTTTTTGCGTTCTAGTCTGTGTGGATGGAAATCGTCCCACACATTTCAGAAAGAAATTTCACCTCTTAGGTTAATGTTACGGATAATTATAAAAATATTTGTTTTAATAAGCGTTGAGTTAATGCTATATCGCTGTATATAGTATTAAGTTAGTTAATAAATTCTAACTGTGTGTAGTTTACACGTGATGAAACTGTAAATTATTATATATCCACAATACACATTTCATAATGTGTCTATCAAATACTCGTAACATTATGTAGTAATAAATTAATTAATAACATGTAACATCAATTTAAAATTCATTACGTACTGTAATACAGTACACGTGATGAAACTATGAATTATTTTTCTACCATTTGAAAAGGACAATGTGTAATCTTTCAGATGTATCACCAAAAATTGACTTACAAGAGAATTCAAATTTAAATTATCGAAGATATTTAACGTGAAGCTTGAAACAAAGCCTTGATTACGCTATTTATCTTTTCCCCAACTAAGAACATTGATAACTCGAAAATTCCCATTTTTTTTTTTTTTTTAATTTATAGCAGACCTCGAGAGAAGACTCTTCACGGAGAAAATTTAAAATTTTCTGCTACGTTGAAAAATATATAGAATAAATGCAGATAAATATAAAGCGCACGTAATAAAAATGAATATTTATCGATCGATGTGCCAATTTAACGGCAAAAAATGACGCGACGGGAGACTCTCTCTCGCCTTGGTCACGCATATCTGTTGCAAAACCGATTCGATCCG